TAAGTCAACGCGACTCCTTCACCGCGTGACAGGTAATAGCTGCAGAACTCGGTCACCTGATTCGGAGAAAGCATCCCTTGGTGGACACCTCCGCTTCAGCTTAAGCACGACCATCCAATCAACAAACCAACCAAGTTATGTCTCACGGCGATCTTCTTGCAACCCACTCTGTGAAGTACAGTAAAGTAGTACACTAACCACCTGCATAATTTCGAATGTTTTACCTTCGGGATCAGGGAGGCTCTGTCACACCATCTTGTAATTCAAATTGCGTTTGATCATCGAGGTTTCAAATATCCATCAGTAAGTGACCCAATCACGCCCGGTCAAGCCGTGATCACGCTCCGGCTTTGGGAGCAGGTAGTCATAAGGCCTCTCATGCGCGTAATCGGTGGCTTTATTCTTTTTTTGTTTCTTGTCGCGACTGGTCGGTCATAGTTGTGCCGAAGAGGAACCTAGATGGTGGCCTGCCCTGCCTTTGAAGAGCTGGCTGCGGGTAATCCCTCCAGCCATACACACAGACTTTGCGCCTCGCTGCTCCCTCGGCGTCACGACGTGGGAGTTGTGAAAGTTAAAACGGTATGTAAAAATTTACCATACGCTAAGAAGCAATAATAAAAGTGAGACCCAGGCAACCAGCCCATTCAAGGCATACGGACGGGAAGGCCACTTCGGTGGGGTCTTCAAATACCGCCTGGTGGGGGTTTGCTCTAAGCTGAATAGATTAGTACGCATATCTCTCACCTTCGACTCGATAAATAAAACGTGAACAATTTTATACAAGATCCATTAATGTGGAATTAGGAACCCTCATTGTAGCAAGACAACACCTCATGATTCGAGAGCCTCAATCTCAGCTGCCAAGATGCCCACTCGTCCGTACCTCGATTTGGCGAGGCGGAACAACGATGTCTTGTGGTAGCCATAATCCAAGAATAAGTGATGTTCCACCTGCATCTACAATTCGTGTTTACCCACAAACACTGGGGTGCACTGCACCTCAGCACTTCGCGCTGTGGCCAGTCCAATTTCACGAGTCTCACGAGACCGCCTACGACGTTCAGGTGTTTATTTGACACCCCTATCTATTGAACACACACTCATGCTTGGGCGTTGGTGCACAGTCATAATACCCCAGAAATCAGCTTGAATCTTTGAGTAATTCGCGCAACGCCCTACTAGTACCAAGTGGCCATTCCATTTAGCCCCCCACATGGACTAAATATCGCCCTCTGCCATTCCCCGATCGGAATTGTAGATCCCGACCGGATCGTAGCCCTAGATTGCGATTGACGTTCTCATTCAGATCCTGCTGGATGCGCAGGATCTCTTCAAGCCCCCCCCCCCCCCCCGCCTCAACGGCGACATGGGCCAGTACTCGACACCACGGGGCGGATTGAGTTAGAAAAGCCTTCACGATCCTGCGGTCGCCAGAAGGAGCGAAGCCAAGACACTAGGTCTCACGCATTCTATTCGGCTACCGTAGGTGTGAAACCTTGTTTGTGGGTGCCAGATTCCTTCAGAGGTATGGAATGACGAACAAAGTCGCCATGAGATGCTAGTACTAGTAATAGACCAGTGTATTCAATTTCTTGTCCCAGTGTACAATGTACTTACCTACCTCTCTTCGGCCGTTTCTCAAGTCCGGGGCTGGACGAAGGGAGTCAACCTATGAACCTGGATCTCTGTAGCCAGCTGGAAACGCTCTGAAAAAAGGGCTGCTCCGCCAAGGTGTCTGATTTACAGCCTCCCGCCTAGTAGCTGTTGTGGGTGTGAGTAACTCCACTCCTGGTCTCTTGCGTTAGAGAGCCTACTGGTACCCTGTCGTCCCCCGCAATACTGGACTTTTTCCGCAGCAGTGCTATCAATCAGTGGTACCGAGTACCGAGCCTACCGAGTAAACATGGGGAGTACGGATTCAGCCTCGACCCCTTCCACGCCCCACAAGCCGGACGCCAAGCCCGGCTAAGGCGGAGGTTACTCAGCTTACCCGTGGAGATCCGTCCAGCGTTGTCGACGACTCGACATGAGCGGCTGCAGTATTAGTGCAGGAATTGCAGGAGGTGCAGGACAGGGTCTCGCGGCCATTGGACCCGTTCTCCTTCTCGTTCAGGACGCCAGTGGAAGTTTGTTGGCAGAGACGGGGGGCCAAATGGTCGGAGATGCTTCTGAATTGGCTTCTGGTTGGTCGAATTGACGGATGCCTACACTGGCAGGGATGCTGGTCCATCTGGTCACTTTGGTGCATGGCGACTCGGGACCGCAAGAAGGGACGATGGGTTTTAGGCTGCTATCCTTACCGGCTCTTTTGGCGCCTTATTCCATCGCTCGGAATGGTGTCCTGCGGTGTGATGTTAGAGGTCCCGCCAGAATTTGAAGGAGTTGGAATATTTGAATCGTATTCGTCTGACATCGATCTTTCGCTGACTCTGGCCGGTGATCAGCCGCAGGATATCGAATTGATCCGCTATCTTTGAGCAGCTCGAACTTTGATGAATTTTCATTTCCGTTTTTCCTTGTTATTTCTTTTGATTCTCCTTTTGAGGGTGATTACTCATCCTCGTGCTGCCCGCCCTGGATTCTCAGCCACCAGAATACGAGGTATGCCGGTTTTCCGCAGCGGGACGCGAACAGACAGCATTTTATCTTGCCGGTGGGGTCCCATGAGACCAGAAACCCCGACCCTTGAGCGGGCGCTTCCGCAACCTCGTTGATGGTCGAATCGGGTAATATCGGTGGACACGCTGAGACAGAAGTCCAGCAGCACTAGTCAAGAACGCAAGACCGATGGTCGCGGTGGCAGATGGGAGATGTTTGCCGACGAATTTGTGGTTGGGCTCCAAGAGTTCAAGTTCAATCAACCACCGCCATGGAGGGACCAAGTGCATTAGCGCGATCGCATCGCTTCGGTGGCAACCCTGCGGCCAAGCATTATTACGTGAAGATCCTGGAAAGCACTGGTCTGAGGTCTCGAGCCGGGTAGCGAGGACTGTTTGTGTTGGAACTTCGAAGTAAGTTACTGCCGTTCTCCTCCATGAGTGGGACTTGGAAACCGGTCGCGCGTGGCATTCTGACCGTCCGGGCCTGGCAGGAACCCCCAACCTGGAAGAGGAGAGGCCGGATGGCCAGACCGGTCAGTCGGCTCCACCCACCAAAGGCCCACTGCAGCTCGATTGGCCTCCTCCAGAGAGATCGTTGAGGCAGATCCCACCGTCGTTGAAGATTCCTTTTCCACCTTCCGGGGAGCTCAGTGGACCAGGAAATCCACGTAGATGAGATGAGAGTCTCAGGCTCCCGTCCACCGCCAGCGATCGAGGCCGACCATTTCTTCATCAAAGGGCTCGTCAGACCCCAATCAAAAGACGAAACTTCTTCCGTGGAATGATCGGCGGGGACGCCGTCAGAAGTGGCTGCCAAAATCAGAATTGTGAGGCGCTAGAGGACTAGGGCTGACTGAAAGCGACTGCCACCTCCTCACGGGAGCAGCCAAGGACTCGGCAACGGCGGCGATGGCGAGCGCGACGAGGCTTGCAGAAGTGACCAAGTGAGACAGACGGCATCGCGTCAGCCAAGGGTCTCTCGTCATGGAGTCGATAGCAATTCATCCTATATTGGTAGGCGGACTTTCGGTCTCGACCACGAATGTAGTCAACACTCAACAGAGATGCACGAGAGCCAATGGCGGCGGACGGTCGTAGGAGCAATAAGCGATGAAGATGTTGCAATGATCGTCGGGTTCTGTTCCGTCCCAAGTAGAATGTTCGAAAGTGCGAGGGATGATGTCAAGCCATTCAACGATCCAGCCTCCGAGGGTTCTTTTGGCTGCGAAATGGTAACGCACCTGGTCTGGTTTCCCCGAGGGTGCCATCACTATCGCCAAGATCGATCTCGCTAGGTCGGTCCCTCCATAGCCCATACTATGGCCTGCGGTCCAATTCCTTTCTAAACGGGGTGCCGGGGTGCCTCGAGCAGCAATTGGGAATCAACCGGTTCATCAAACACAACTCTTGGCTAACAGTCCAGGATTTGAACGAGAGCTAGAACCAGCCGGAGAACACTGGTACTCGACGCATGGATGCAACCATGCAGAGCGCTTCTCGTCGCTGATTGTCCACTCCCCCAAGGAGTCTTTCTGCTTTTGAATTTAGGTGGAATGAAACACTAAATCCTCCCCCGGCTCGACTGACTGGGGACCACTTTCCCCTTCGGCCATTGGGGCTGTTCCTTTTCTCGAGGGGATTTTTCCAGCTCCATTTTTCTCTTTGGCCGGACGTCGACACCAAATCGTGTCGACGGAGAAGAAAAGAAACCCCCCCCCCCCCCCCCCCCAAAAAACCTCTCACTCGAGCCCCATTGGGATTTGACACACTCATCCACCTCACTCTAGCCTTCATTTGAGATATCCGGCGAAGGATTCATGCATCCAACTACTCGGTACATTACTAGTCGGGACAGAGTCACAACAGCGCCTCCATCGGTACCGCAGTACCCGACTTCAGAAAAGGAAATCTCCATATTCAGCAATACTTGGCCAGATGCGGATGAAGCAGCCCCTCTCTCACACTTCTTCCTCCATCCCCACCCGGCGTCGAGACAGCTGGATCGGGCTGGTCCTGCAAAGTCGGTTGCTCGTCAGCCGGGCCTTTTATAAAAGAGGTCGGACAAGCCTGCCACATGGACAATGCAGATTGTGAGAATATCGCGCATCATCTTCCATCGCAACCAGCCCGTAACCGAACGCTTCCAGAAAAGCATCTTGCAAAAGTTTATCCAGGAGAGGGATCTTCAAAAAGGACACACAGAGTCGAGCTTCTTTCTCCGTGGCCCTGCATGGCGATGCTTGGTGAGCCCGGATGCATTGTGATCACGTCGGTCTTGCCCCTCCCCCGTGCTTCTGTGATCCTCGTTGAGCCTCTTCTTCCACTTTGCCCTCTTGCCGCTCCAATCGATACCCATACCCGCTCCACTCAGAATGAAGTTGCCTAAAGGCTAATGTGGACATGTTTGACACGAACAGAGCCCCTGTCCTTGGCGAGAATTGGGCCAATATCAGCGATCCAGTGGAGCGACGACGAGCTCAGAATCGGATCGCTCAACGGGGTTACCGAAAACGTGAGTAGCCACCCGGATAATCAAGCAGTCGAGTGACTGAGACCTTACGTGGACGTGGACTGCTCAAGTGACTGACAGAGAAGCAAGGTCTTCGACAAGGAGCCAAGGCGAGCGCAGAAGAAAAAACCGAGAAAGGTGGACGAGCAAAGGAATCGGCTGCATCCACAACAGCCACCAAGGCTCCTTCTGCTACCAGCAAGATTGGGAAAACAAGGACCAAAAGGTCGTCCTCCCCGCCTGACCACAAGGCAGACCCATCTCAAACACTTTCACCGCAGGTCTCCATCGTGGGACCACCAACGCCGCCGGGGTCCGCCTGGAGCTTGTCCCAAGGAACCCACTATCCCTTTCATCAACACCAGCAACAGCGAACTCCCCCACCGTTACCGACGGACTTCAATCCCTTCCACGCTCAATTGGAACACCCATCCTTTCTTGGGCGATCCTGGACTGCTCCACCCCCGGAGGAAACCCGGAATCAGGGTCGCTTCCCCCTGTCGACTCCCATCGACGAGCAGCCACTCTGTCTGACCCCGGACGAGTTGCATCCCCCGCCGTTTGTTTCCTCTTCGGCGGATGCAGCCGCGTTCCTGGGATTCCTAGGCCGAGATGGTGGGAGTCTGGTCCCATCAAAGAACGAAGGCTCGATTCCCCGTGGCCACACGGCCTTACATCGTGCCGCGTTGCATGGCCACGGGCAGGTCTTATCCGTGCTGCTTCGCGCCGGTGCCGATCCCACCATCCCTGACAACACCGGACTGACCCCTCTGCATTTCGCCGCTCAAAACGGCCATGTCGGTCTGGCGCAGCAGCTCCTCGCCAGCACACCCTCGAATCGGGATCTCGTGCGCCAGGCCACTCGCATGGGGGAGACCGCCCTCCATCTGGCCGTGCAAGCGCGGCAAACGACCATGGTCCAGGTTCTGCTGGAGCATGCTCCCCATGTGGTCAACGATCAAGATCTGCAGGGCCGCACGGCGCTCCACTTGGCCTGTGAATCGAATCAACAGGAACTGGTCGATCTGCTGGTCCGCGCGGGAGCTCAGCTCGATATTCGAGACTTTACGGGTCAGACGCTACTCCACAGTGCTTGCATGGGTGCCAATCTATGAGCGTGTTGGCTCTCTGAGCACTTGAAATTCTCCCATCGTGCACTGATTTAAATCGAGGATCATGTCGTTTCGCCCGTAAGCATGCCAGCCGGGCAATGCCACTGGTTGGATGGTTCTTCCGCCGCGGCCAGTTGGCGCCTACCATGCTTAAGGGCAGACCGTGAATCCCCCATTGGCTGTGGGAATCCTTCTGCCTAAATTTTGATGACCAGCCTTCTCGTGGCCAGGCACAAGGTTCGGTGTTCACTCGTCAATGATTGACCATTCCCCATTTTTCATTTTTGTCTTTCTTCTGCTTCTTTTTTGATGCACTCAAAAGAACTTGATATCGGAGCATTCAATGCCAATCGCATTTTATCAATGTGGGATTGTTTTAGCACCGGCGTTGGGACGTGGATGTTGAGAATGGCGCGGGTTTCGCCGTTCGCGCAACCCTACGGAGTTCTTGGCGTTGTTTTCTCTTTGCACATTTTGTTCTTCATTTTCGACGGCATACATATGTGAGATTCGTCTTCGTCACTCCACCTGATCATAGGATTTATTCCTAAAGATATGAGGGCATTCTCATGGAATTCACTTGCGTTTTGAAGAGTAGGCCTTGGAAACCTTCAGTATGCCTCAAAGTCTAGTAGAGTATTTGATCAAATGACTACATCCACTATAGTAGCACAGGATTCATTAGGTCGACGGTGAGACGGCCAAACCTGGGGTTATATAAGGCAGTAGCCCGTAGCACCACCACGAGGTCGCTATGCATGGGTACTGGTCTGTATTAACCATAAGAATTGATCCACTTACTCCGTCCCCTCTCCGTGCACAGCTTTTGGTGTATGAATCTTTCCATTGGCCAACATGCACATTTTCCAACTTCAAGTAGCTCAGGGGGATTCTCAATATGATAAGCTGCCAAACCCAACGCAGATGCAATATGACTGGCGGTCAAAGATCGAATACAAATAGAAAATAAATGAAAAAGATGTATCAGCATGACAATGACAATCTGCTATCAATCTATCGTTGGCGACCATGCATGGGATAGGCGTCCTCGTACGTCCCTTCATCGGCAGATGTCAGGTGGTACTCAGAGTCCCGCTTGCCCCTCCGACTCGACGAGCGCTTCCGGCCCTGGCGCTTCAGGTCTTTCGCCTCTTGCTTTTGACGCTTCTTATCCTTGCGTGAGACCTTGATCTTTTTGGGGAACTCGCTCTCCTCGCCCTGGAGGTAGCGGCCGGGATGCCAGATGTTCCAAATAATCATTGCCGCGAACATCGGGACGCACTCCAGGCAGTAGAAGGGGGCCTCGTGCACCGTCAGGGGACTCTTACCAGCGGTGTCGGTGTTGGCAAATTCAATGAGACGGTAAACGATTCGAATCTGTGTCGGGATTTAGACTCATACTTCAAAAATTTCACGTTGTGGCTCAATTTGTTTGTGGAGAGTATGAGAAACAGAGCTCTAGAGCGAGATTCTTACTGTAATGCAGGCCAACGTCCCATACATCGCAATCACCAAAGTGTGCCAGTGCGGACCACGCGAGTAGTCTCCGGCTCCCTCGCGCATTCGCCGATGAAAAGCGTAGATCAGCGCACAAAATATCACGATGAAGAGCTGCTGCACCGCGATTCCTGCCGTATAGATATGAAGACCGATCTTGTTCATCTCGGGACTGAAGTCGGAGTCCATAATACCGCCCGTCGCTTGAACGATGAAGGAGCTACAAGGATGTTCAGAAGTCAGTCATCGGAATCGTTCAAATCGCTGAGCGAGATATTCTCAATTTCTCACCTCACATCAAGCCAGATAAAGACTTTCGCCAGTGACTCCGCGCGAATGCCAAACACTCGTTTCTCCGGCAGGTAATAGTACACCATGCGACCGAAGATCATATACACAAAGGCATTCACCCACAGCGGAGCCAACAGGACCAACAATTGGCCCGCCGAAGCCGTGTTGGCTTGGGTCTGGTCGATTGTGGAATAGGTTCGCATCACCAACCCGATGCATTCCCATAATGTGCCCACGACCATGACCCAGCAGAACTTTTTCCGGTACATCACGGCCTGGACCAGATGTGCGATCCAGGTCAATCCAAACAGGACAGAGAAGAAGACAGCCACTGGCCCATTAGCGCAGTAGGCATACTGGGCATCCGCGCTGGATAAATCTAGAAATAATGGGTCAGTACGCCATCGGCGGAAGAACACTGCTATAGTGGTGAGGATTCGACAGGGTGTAAGTGTACGTACCGCAACGCGTGGGCCAACCCATGATGGCGATGTGTATGGAATTCTTAGAACGACCTGGATAGAGGTAGACTCAGGGGCGCTACCGTCGTGAAAATGATGATAAGTGGCCACGCAATCGTGATGAATCGACGCAAGCTCAATGAAGTAAACACAAAGTTTTGATGCGCGCAATGGAGCCCACAAGCGACCAGCCTGACCCAGGGTATCACCAACTTGAAGAGAGCAGCAGCGATGTCTGGCTCGTTTTGCGTGACTGGAAGAATAAGAACTGATGCGAGGGCTGAAATTAAGGTACGAGATCAGATCGGGTAAGCAAGGTGGAAAGAGAAAATAGAGTGAGTTGGGACGACTACAGTGGTACTTGCCGACTGGCGTTCAAACTGTTTAATATTCTAGTCCGTCCGCCGGCCTAGGGGCGACCAAAATCATCAGTACTTTCCCGATACTGTGGCCATACTGGGAGTACTTTCCAGCGTGTTAGTTCCGGTTTTTTGGAGTGACTGCCTAACGGAGGGAGTGCAGTGCATCGCCTCCAACGTCCTTCTTGGACCAGTCCACCCCGAGCGGGTGATCGACAGCCTACCCACGGCCCAGCGCCAAGAACCTTCTTTAAAAAAAGAAACAGTCAGAAATGATGACACAGTCTTTTTTCTTCGGGGGTTTTTTTTTCTTTTCTTTCAAACGAGCAACGAACACTCAGGGTGAGATTTGGGTTATAATGGTATCTGCCTGATCGGTTCCATGGGCGCCTGCCAGTTCTCAGGAGGTATGTGCACCTTCATTAAGTTACAGCCCTGCTACATTGGTAGTAATAAGTCACAAAGTGGTAACTTAATAGGAAACGGTGTCATGGACTTGGTGCTTCCGGCGGTGATGGACAAGCTTGACGGCCAGCCCCGTCCAGCGTCAGTCCCGTCCCGATTTCCGCGTGGGGAGACACGACCACCTGACTTGACACCTGACTTGACACCGGAATTCGACGCCAAGGTGCGCTGCGTCGATGAAACTACGGCAGGAATCACCTGCAACGAGAGAGAGACACTCTCCGACATTCTTACACTCCTTTTGATCTCCCACCAGATCACACAAATACGACCAATTGACTCACGCCCTGAATTTGAGCCTTTTGCGCCAACCAGCCTTGCCAGAGAGTTCCCCTGAGGACTTCCACTTGGGTAGTCTACGGTCTGCACCTCATGTCCAATGCAGACCAAAGTGAATCACCCTTTTTCTCTCGGTCAGGATTCAGGCCGAGACCAAATGCCAAACAAAGAAGTACGGGACCCACCGGGAATGCGGGCTCAGCTAGCGTGGCTGCACGGTGAGATTCAAGTTCAAGGGCTGGGCGAGATTCGCTCGGGGTCTCTGCCCGCAAAGTTCAGGTCCGCCATAATGTACAGTCAGTTCAGCATGGCGAGATCCATCTCATCAGGCAGTTGAGAGTAAGATCAAGTCATCCATCGGTGATGGTGACAATGGTGCCTCAAATATATAGGACCGTGAGCGATGACGGATGCCGCCCATACTTGACCACGAGATATACCCGTCGAGCTCAGGGCAAGAAGTGTGTCAAAACACGGTCACTCATTGCGCGATATATTGATCTCGAAATCGAAGAGCGACCGACCAAAAGAGGCAGAACTTCCCCAAAAGGCAAAAGCCCCCCCCCCCCCCCTGCGAGACAGGAATGTCGTAGCCTAAACGAGGCGCCTGCATTACTCATCATGATTGTTATGACCGACCATGCGGATCGTCAATTGTTGATGTCCCGTCCAGCAGATGCGAGTACTCTCGCAGCCGAAGTTTCATCCTCCAGCTCCTCGACATGGTCGTTGCCTGATCACCCGTCAACATCATCCTCCTCAGCCAATCTCTCCGCGAGTCAGATCCTGACCATCTCGGATGGTACATTCGCGCATACTCTCTGCGTAACAACCACCTCCTTCCCCGTCGCGCTCCAATTGCGAGATGACTTTCTCCAACATCTGAAATCGGCGGTCGGTGGGGCCGTCGAGGTCACCTCTTTGGTGGAGCTTTGGGCCCGTTTCCTCGGCTTCACCGTCGATCGCCTGGAACATTCCCCGGCCGCCTTGGCAGATGATCTACGTCACTTGCTCACCATCGCGTTGGTCACCTTTGACCAAGACATTCTTCAGCAACGCGAAATTCATGGCGTGGTGTACGCTCTGGAGATCACTGCCGAGGTGCAGTCGGTGATCTTGGCGGCCTACGTGCGTGCACGGCAAACGCTGCGCAGGGTCGGTTCCAAGCACACCGCGTCCTCTGTCCTCTTGACAGCCGCGCAAGAGCGAAAAGCGAAGCTCTACGCGGTCTTTGGCGGACAGGGAAATGACGAAGATTATTTCGAGGAGCTTCGATCACTATGGCAGACCTATCGCCCGTTGGTCGAGGATTTGATCCTCTCCGCCTCGACCACTCTGCAACGGGAAATACTGGAAGATGGCATCAGCCGTTTCTATCATAGTGGTCTCGACATTGTCACTTGGCTCGAGAATCCAGACCGCACTCCATCCTCTGCCTACCTGATCGGAGCTCCCATCAGTATGCCCCTGATTGGGCTTCTGCAACTGGCATGGTATCGCGTCGTCGGGCGACTGGTGGGTGCCACGCCCGCTCAGCTGCAATCGGCGTTTATGGGAGCAACTGGTCACTCACAGGGCATTGTGGTGGCTACAGTGATCGCAGTCGCTCAGTCCTGGAGACAGTTCGATGCTCTGGCACTCAGTGCGCTGCGACTACTCTTGACAATCGGTACCTGCAGCCAGGACCAATTCGCCGTCGCCCAGTTGCCCCCCGCGATTGTGAACGATGCTGAAGCCCATGGAGAAGGCTTCCCCGGCCCCATGCTCAGTGTAGCAGACTGCCCAATCGACCAATTGCGTGGCTACATGGCGGCAGTCAACGAGTACTTGCCATCTGACGCCCGCATTGAGATCGCGTTGATCAACGGACCAAGGCACGTAGTGTTAGCGGGTCCGCCCTTGTCGCTGCATGGCTTCAACGTCTGGATTCGAAACGTGAAAGCCCCTGCAAAGGGAGTTCAAAATCGAATTCCATTCAGCCAGCGGAAGCCTGAAATCCACAACCGCTTCTTGCCCATTACCACCGCGTTTCACAGCAGCTACCTCGCTGATGTGGCCCCCGTTGTCCTTGAACGGATCAGCGATTTCACCATCACGGGCGAGCAGCTAAGGATTCCTGTCTATTGCACCCATACCGGATCAGATCTACGAAAATATGGGTCAGCGAATCTCCTTCCGAAGCTGGTATCAATGATTACCACGCAAGAAGTCGCTTGGCCCCGCGCTGTAAAGTTCTCCGGCGCGACGCACATTCTGGCATTCGGTCCTGATGGTGCATCGGGAATTGGAACGCTTACGAACAGATTGAAGGAAGGCACTGGGGTCCGTACAATTCTCGCCACCGGCAATTACAATCCTCGCTCAGAGCTCGGTAATCGGAGCGACTTCCTTGATTGGAATTCAGCCGTCGTGTTTGGTCCCGTGTGGCGAGATGAGCATCGACCTCGGCTGGTGCACATCGCCGGTGGGGGTGTGCTCGTCGACACGAAGCTCAGTCGCCTGTTAGGTCTACCGCCGGTCATAGTGGCTGGAATGACACCTACCACTGCCGCTTGGGACTTCTGCGCCGCGATCATGCGCGCTGGCTATCACGTCGAGCTTGCCCTGGGAGGCTTCTACAACGCCGCTCAGCTGGAAACGGCGATCTACAAGCTTCTCGATTCCGTTCCTGCGGGTCGCGGAGTGACTTGCAACATGATCTACGCTGCCCCTCATGCAGTGAAATGGCAAGTTCCACTGCTGGCCAAGCTGAGAGCCGCCGGTGTTCCAATCGAAGGTCTTACTATTGGAGCCGGTGTGCCGTCGCTGGACGTTGCCACACGATACATCAAAGATCTTGGCCTCAGGCATATAGGTCTAAAGCCCGGTACGTTGCCTGCAATCCACCAGGTCCTCGAGATTGCTCGGGCGCATCCCACTTTTCCCATCATTCTGCAGTGGACCGGCGGTCGTGGTGGAGGACATCACTCCTTCGAAGACTTCCACCAACCAATATTGCAAGCGTACGATGCCATCCGTCGTTGTCCAAATGTTATTCTTGTTGCTGGGAGTGGCTTTGGCGGTGCCGCTGACACGTTCCCGTACCTGACTGGTGAATGGGCGTCTTGGTATAGCCGGCCCCTTATGCCATTCGACGGAATTCTCCTGGGAAGTCGCATGATGACAGCTAAGGAAGCGCACACTAGTCCGGCTGCGAAACAAGCGATTGTCGCCGCCCCTGGTCTCGAGGAGGAGGCTCAATGGGAACAAAGTTATACACGATCAGCGGGTGGTATCATCACCGTCACCTCGGAAATGGGTGAACCGATTCATAAACTTGCTACCCGTGGTGTGAAACTCTGGGCCGAATTTGACCGCACGATCTTCAAGCTTGATTGTGCCAAGCGTCTTGAGTACTTGCAGAAGCACCGCGATTCCATCATCAGTCGACTGAATGCTGATGCCGCCAAGGTGTGGTTTGGCCGCGACGGTCAGGGCAATGTCGTGGACTTAGAGGAAATGACATACGAGGAGGTTCTGCGTCGCTTCCTTGCCTTGACTTACGTGGCCAGTGAGAAGCGCTGGATTGATCAGTCTTATCGTGATTTTCTCTCGGCCTTCCTTCTTCGTGTTGAGGCTCGTCTTGGTCGTCACAATGCAGCGACGGGCGAACAGTATGTCATCAGCAAGCATACTTTTTCTGAAGCCGAGAGCGATCTCCAGTCTTTCATCGAGAGACTCCCTGCGACTCAAGACCAGCTTATCGGCACTCAGGATGCGCATTATTTCATTCACTTGTGCCAGCGACGTGGTACCAAGCCAGTTCCCTTCATTCCTGCTCTGGACGAAAATTTCGAGACCTACTTCAAGAAAGACTCTCTTTGGCAATCTGAGGATTTGGCTGCTGTGGTCGATGGTGACGTTGAACGCGTTTGTATCCTGCAAGGACCAGTCGCAGCACGGTACTCAACCGAAGTTGACACTCCCGCCGGCGACATTCTTGAGGCTATTCACCGGGGCCATGTGGAACGTTTGCAAAAGACTGACCCTGACTATGAGCAAGATGGTATCCCGATCGTTGACTGCCTCAGCCCGAATCTTGCACTCAAAGTAACTCAGCTGAGTGAGATCGGTATCAACTCGATGTCAATGGGTAGCACTGGGTCTGTGCTATTTGAGGTGATGCACTCAAATGGTGCGACTGGACCTGTTCCAACCCCATCTCTGACCGAGTGGCTCTCTGTTCTTGGAGGTACCGAGGGCGGTTGGCGTCAGGCTTTCTTCCGTGCCGAGACTATCGTACAGGGTCGCCACATCTGCGAGAATCCGCTCCGGCGTCTTTTCCAGCCTACCGGAAACTCGTATGTGATGGTCCAGCAGGCCAACTCAAACCACAAGGCCGAACCGATAATCACTCTGTTCGAACATCAAGCTCACTCTGAGCCGCTAAGAGTGGTCGAGGTGCGGATGGACGCTCCTGGTATCATCACTTTGGAAATCATCAACCATCGCAATGCCGGCGGCGATGCGGTGGGCCTTGAGCTGAAATTCCAGTTCCGACGTGAAGCTGTCTACGCCCCCATCCACGAGATAATGGAAGGTCGCAACGAGCGTGTCAAGTCCTTCTACTATCGTGTCTGGTTCACCGGTGATGTCCCTGAAACATGGCCCTCGGTGCATGATACTTTCACAGAGACAATGTTCGATGTCACGGCCGATGATATTGCTGAGTTTGCCCACTGTGTTCAAAATGCCAGTGATGCAGCGAGCAAACGCCGAGGTAAGCAAATGCTGGCCCCACTGGACTTTGGTGTGGTCATCGGCTGGGAGGCTTTGATGAAACCGCTGTTCTCGAGAGAGCTGGATGTCGACCTTCTGACCCTTGTTCACCTGACCAACGGGTTCCGAATCCCGGCGGATGCGGAACCGATCCAAGCTGGCTATGCACTGGAGACCAAGTCACGGATCAAGGCAATCACCATCGAGGATGCGGGTAAGATGGTGGAAGTTCGCGCTGATGTTTACCATGGCAACAAGGTTGTCTTGGAACTCAGCAGTCAATTCTTATACCGTGGCTCTCACAATGATTGGGAGAAAATGTTCCGCAAAGTTGACGAGGAAGAGATGGAGTTGTGTCCTCTGAATCCAATGGAAGTGGCAATGTTGAAATCGAAGTCATGGTTCCATCCAATCGACGGATGCCTTGATTTGCAAGGGCAAACATTGGTCTTTGTGCTTCGATCCACTTACCGGTACGCTAGCAAGGAAACGTTCAAAACGGTCACAACAGTGGGTGAAGTGCGGTTAAATTCTTCTCTCCCTGGTGGTTCACGCCCTATTGCGACCGTGGACTACCGAGCAGTCAACTGTCGCGGTAACCCGGTCATGGACTATCTGCAGAGACATGGCAGTCCTGTGCAGAAGCGTGCCATGTTTGAACAGCCCAGTGCAATGACCAGCGAGGGATCGTCATTGATTCTCAAGATGCCCCCATCGAACGAAGCATACGCACACGTATCTTGGGACTTTAACCCGATTCACTGCTCAGCATCACTTTCACAGTATGCTGACCTCCCAGGTTTGATCACCCATGGCATGTATACTTCGGCTCGAGTTCGTGGTCTCGTTGAACACTATACCTGCGCTTCCGATATTGGCGCTTTCCGCAGTTTCCAATGCTCCTTCACAAGCATGGTTCTTCCCGGGGACGAGATTGAAGTCATTTTCCAACACGTTGGTATGCTCGCTGGGCGGAAGATTGTTTCCGTTGAGGCTCGGCATGTCGGTCGCGGTGAGACTGTTTTGCGTGGTGAGGCTGAGATTGAGCCGGAGGAGACAGCATTTGTCTTCACAGGCCAGGGTAGTCAGCAGAAAGGAATGGGTATGCAGCTTTACGAGCAAAGCAAAGCCGCACAGCAAGTCTGGGACTACGCTGATACCTACTTCTCTGACAACTACGGGTTCCGCATTACAGATATTGTCCGAAACGATCCCAAAGAACTTACCATCTACTTTGGTGGGCCTCAAGGTCGCTTCATTCGTGACAAGTATCGCAGTATGACCCGCGAAAGCATCGCAGAGGACGGCAGCGTCCAATTACTGCCTCTGTTCCCACACATTGACGAGGATACCGAGTTTCACTCGTACTCCTCACCTGAGGGACTGCTCTCGGCTACCCAGTTCACACAGCCTGCTCTCACCCTCATGGAGCTGGCTATATTTGCCGATCTGCAATCTCGTGGACTGATCTCAGAGCGCAGCTCCTACGCCGGTCACTCGCTGGGCGAGTATTCCGCTTTGGGGGCTGTGGGCAAGATCTTCAATGTAGAATCACTTGTGCAGATTGTGTTCTATCGTGGTCTCTTGATGCACTTTGCCGTCCCTCGCGATGAGCGTGGAAACTCAGACTACCGCATGTGCGCAGTTGATCCTAGTCGTGTGGCTCGTGGTACGACTTGGTTCCTACGCTCCACATGTTCTTTTCTCGTTGCGCGTGCATACTAATGTTTCTTCTTTGATAGGATTCGGCCAGGAAGCTCTTGAGCTGGTTGTCAAACAGATTGCTCACAAAACACAACTTCTGCTCGAAATTGTCAACTTCAATGTGTTGGGCGTGCAGTATGTGTGCGCTGGCCAGGTAAGATATCATAGTCTATGTCATTTTTCAGTCGCATCGGCTAATATTGATGTGGTCAAAATAACAGCTTCATGCCCTGCATTGTCTTACGTTGGTTCTGGATCATCTGCACGGTCTTTCAGAGATCCCTAAGGTACTGGCGGACCTCGATGCATTAGTTGACAGCAAACTCGCGGACTTCATGCGAACGAAGACCCCCACCGTTCTGACCCGCGGCTGTGCGACGATTCCGCTCCGAGGCATTGACGTTCCTTTCCACTCGTCGTCTCTACTTCCCGGTGTTGCCGGGTTCAGACGCTGTCTGATGGATTTGATTGACAGTCATGCTCTGGATCTCAAGTGTCTCGTCGGTCGGTACATTCCGAATTTGACAGCGCGACCGTTCGAATTGAGTAAAGAATACTTTGAGCTTGTGCACGGGTTGACGGGCTCGAAGGCCCTTGAGAGCGTTCTTATTGGGGTGAGTTTTCTGCATTTTCTCCCCATCGTGGCTTCTTCCCAATCTTGACTAACACTCTCCATCAGTGGGATGACTACCATGGTTCCGAAAACTCTACAGGCCTACAGAAGATCGAGAAGGCGATTCAGGCTATGAAGGCGTATTGATAAATCTTACTGAAATTTGAATTCCTTGAATGACGGTCTTTAGAAATGAACTAGCTTCTGCATGTATTGAAAATGTCGCAGTCTCCTCTTTAGTATCATTTTCACTCGAAGTAAGGTGTTATATAGACTACTGCACCTCTTCCACGCATACTGGCGATGTTGTAATTGTTTCAATTTCGTCCTGGTTCACTGAATTCTGACTCTCAACTCGAATGGATACCAAACTTAACTCTTCGGGGAAAGTCTAATCACAGGCCTGATGATCTCTCAATAGATACGAGCACAAATGGTTCCTTCCAATTGATTGGGGTAATGAAATTTCCCGTCCATCTCCAACGGATCAGACACTATAAAGTCTAGCCGTCAGCTCCGGCTTGCTGCCACTCACAGGGATTCTCACTTCTTTCCGCGCCCTCTCAGTCCATATACTCCAGTCACTTAGGTAACGGCTCGCTGTTTTCAGTTTTCGCGTTCAATCAACCATGTTTGGGCTATCTGCCATCGTGGGATTGTTGGGTGTCGCCGTCGCCTTCTCATTCTTTGACCCAAAAGCGATACCTGGAATCTGGCATGTTCGTCTTCCCTTATCAATTTCCTTCGATGAATCCATCTACCATCAGATTGTCCCACTGACACTCCACCGCTGTTCAGATGCGAATGGTGAACATACTCTTTCGACATTTACTCTGGCATAAAGAGCGCACCCTCACGGCGTTCCCATCTCGCGCTCCTGCGGCCCCATCCACCATTTTTCGGAGCCACCACACTCGTACCTACTGCTCAACCGTAGAGATTGATGTGAACATTCACAAATCCAACAGCACTTTCTACGCTGATCTTGATCTCAGCCGACTTGAACTCCTGATGACCCTTTTCAAGGACGCTCTGACACCGCTGAGCCCGCGCGCTACGCTGGCGGCTGAGCATGCCTACAGCCGTCGCAACCGACTGCGCCCGCTGATCGCCGCTCTTGGGGGCGTTGCATGTCTTTTTCGACGAGAGATTAAACCTTACCAACGCTACGATGTCATTACACGGGTGTTGACCTGGGATGACAAGTGGTTGTACATGGTGAGCTATTTTGTCAAGCCGGGCAGCGCAAAGGGATCGCAAATTGCCGAGGACCATATCTTTGCATCTGCCATCTCGCGATACGTCTTCAAGAAGGGACGACAGACTGTCACTCCCGCAGAGGTGATGCGCCACTCCGGACTTCTGAGCGATGAAACGTGGCCCAGCGATGTGGACATCGCCGCTCGTCAGCGCGATCGCCCTGCTCTTCCCTACCGAGATCTCACCCGCGACATAGCTGTTGTCGACGGAAAAGAGGATTCATGGACCTGGCTCGATGTGGAAATGGAGCGCCAGGGTGGCTTGTCCTTCGCTCACAACTTTAGCGGGCTGAATGACCTACAGAGTATGAGCGTCTAGAATGACCCCTCATGTTTAGGCAGGAACTGAGGATGAGAGACGGTGATGAAGGTCATCGATCAGATCTCGTGTGAGACTTCATCACTGAATCCTACTAGACGCAGGATGAGGTGCGATCGCGTCGAATTGGACTGGGCTCTATGGGGTCTGAGAGCAATTCATGCAGAATCAGATATACTTTATTGTGTCGAGATATGTTCTCAGACAGAGAGGGGTTTACATCCTCGTTGGGGATCATGCATGCCTGTTCATTTTAGGTGGCGAAATTTCCTTGCATTGGATTCAATCGTGGAATCTGTCAAGCGGCTCTATTGCCTGCAGCACGTGGCGGAAGTAATCGCTTGTAATGTTGAGTGCATCCCATTTCGTGCTTTAATTGACATTGGATTCTACCATCGATGGCACTGACATAAAAATTGCACTCTTTCAGTCGACTGACCCTCTTGACTGGTCAGTCTACCCCATTTCTTGCCCTAATGCTCACCCTGCAGCGGCCAACTGCACGCTAAGCGGAGGGGCGTAGCGCCTCCACCTCCGCCCCTGATCGGCCACCACCCACTCGAAGTAGAGTCATCCAATTCAATAGACTTGCCATCTCACATCATCGCTTACCCCCAATCTGATAGAGCACCAAAGGAACACCCAATTTAATTTCGGCGCTTTCTTCGTGGAGCCTGGGAGCCCATGTTCTAGAAGGTAGCTGACGGAGTCTGTTGATGGATTACTTGGAGACTACATGCACTGCCTTCATCTCATACCACGTTGTGTCAGCCCCACGCATCTGGTTCACTTTACCTTACATCTCCCAGCTGATGCCATTTCTTCATCAAGCGAAACATCTACTCAGGACACAAAAAAACATCGAAGGCAAAAAGAGAACAGAAGCAAAAGAAAGGCGATGTGCGAGGAAGAGATCTGCAGTCTCAACACAATTTCACTCACGCAATCTTGGCATCCTTCCCGGTGTGCGCAGTTTTGAGTGATGGCAGCATCATGGATGCGACCTCGGACGATCGTCTGCTCAACCGACGTGGAAGATCACTTTGGACCCATCGTCAGTGAAGTATGCGCTTCTGGGTTCGACTTCACATGGTATTTTGAATCGGTGATCCTGTCCCTTCCGGTCACAGCCGTCTTTCTCGTATGGGCTCTCCCGAGATTGTTCAATTTGCGAAAGCAATCTATCAAAACTCAAGGGGGATATTGGGCGACGGTCAAGCTGGTGAGCATTCAAGTAGTTTATGATGAAAGTTTCTGGTTGACATTCGGGATAGGTTCTGTATGTCTTTCTTGCAATTATCCAGGTCGCGCTACTCGGTCTTTGGGCCTCCTCACTGGCACAGAGAACCCGTGCAACGATCGGAACCGCCGTGGTTACACTGGCTGCCTACGTTGTGCTGGGAGTGCTGTCACAATATGAACATTCACGGTCGATTCGACCATCGACTGTTAACGCCGGGTATCTTTTCCTCTCGGTCGTGTTGTCGCTGCCAGAAGCCCGCACATTGTACTTCATCAACACAACACGGGCCATCCCCATTCTGTACACAGTGAATCTGTGTCTGAGAGTGATCACCCTGATTGTTGAGTCGATTCCGAAAACCTCGATTCTCAAGCGCGCCTACCAGAACCCGCCACCAGAGTCGGCTACCGGTGTGCTCGGCCTGAGCTTCTTCACATGGATCAACCCACTGCTACTGCTGGGCAACAAGACAGATTTAACTGTGGAGCTTCTACCTGCCCTTGATGACTCGTTCTGTGCAAAGGGGGTCACCCCAAATGGACTCGAGAGGCTCTGGCGAAAGAGTAGGTTTTCCATTTCCATCTCTTGGAAGAAAGCCGCGAGTGTTTCTGACATCGTCATTTGTTGGACAGGCGGCAACATTAATTCACCCCACAGCTTGCTGTGGGCATCGACCAGATACTTTGCAGGAACATTCCTTGTCGGAATCTTGCCACGGCTTCTGCAAATTGGCTTCGTTTTTGCGCAACCATTCTTGGTCGACACAACCGTGAGCTGGGTCGATGAAACGACCACAGAGAACACGATGAATCGAGGCTATTCGTTGGTTGGCGCGTTCGCCATCACGTATACGGGTATTGCGGTGCGTACTAAGCTCGGAGCTTTCTACTGCAAGATCCGGCCTGACAGTATTAGATCTCGACGGCACTTGCTCAGCACCAAGCTTATCGGTTGGTGTCCATGATGCGAGCAAGTTTGGTTGACATGATCTTCCGACACATGACCGTTATGCGGGAGAGCGACATCGATTCCAATGCGCCTGTAACCCTCATGAACGCAGACATTGAGCGCATCGCCAGTGGCTTGCGATATGTTCACGACGTCTGGGCATGTATTGTCGAGATCCCAATTGCATTATACCTGCTATGGAGGCAACTCGGAATCGCAAGCATTGCTCCCATCGTCGTCGTCATTGGTATAATACTTTTCCCATTGAAGGCTTTCTCAATCTCATACTGATCTATTCTGCAGTCTGCATGCTGATGTGTGTGCTGATCTCTGCTCTGGCTGGTCCGCGTCAAAAGCTTTGGCTGGAGGCAATTGAGCACCGTGTGGACATCACCTCCCAGGTACTCGGATCTGTCAAGGGTGTCCGCATGGCTGGACTGACTGATAATCTGTACAACATCATTCAAACTATGCGGGCCCACGAAGTTCGCATGTCCGAGCGATTCCGTCGTCTTTTGATCTTGGTGGTCGCCGTTGGTAAGAGTGAGCAACTTTCTTGATATTTTCCACGAACTGATGAGTTCCTTGTATTACAGCATACAGTAATCAATCTGTATCCCCTTTAGCAGCTTTCTTGATCTATTCTCTCAATGCCCGGTCCTCCGGCGACGGCACGCTGACACCAGCCCGGGCTTTCACCTCCTTGACACTGTTCACTCTTCTCTCAACTCCACTCTCCAATCTTGTCGAGGCAGTAACAGGTATTGCGACAGCCGTTGGGTCAATCAAGCGCATTAACTTGTTCTTGCAGAGCTCTCCCCGTGATGACGGTATGTCAATCGAACCCGAGGACGACGCATCAACCTCTCACAGCACTCTCACCGTTAATTCTGAAGTCCAGCTTCAGACTCTGGCACCAGATATGAAGGAGAAGCAAGGCGTCGACTATCCCCGAGTCTCAGTTGGCGAAACTTTCCCTGGTTCCGATTCATATCCACAATTGGACTTTGTAGCAGAGAACCGCAGCACTGGCTGGGATGAAGAGAAGCCAAATGTTATCAAAGATGCTTCCTTCAATATCCAACGGGGAACTCTCAATATCATAGTGGGTCCTGTGGGCTGCGGCAAATCAACCTTTGTCCGCATGTTACTGCGAGAAACACCTATAGTGACAGGAACACTTCATGTCAAGGCTGGCGCAATCGCTTATTGTGCGCAAGTCCCATGGTTGACGAACCACAGTATGCAAGACAACATTCTTGGAGAGTCTCTTTTTGATCTTGCTTGGTACAACACGGTTATCCAAGCTTGTGTGTTAGAGAAGGACATTCTTGATCTTCCAAATCGGGACCAGGGTCTTCTGGGATCTGGGGGTGCAACACTCAGTGGTGGGCAAAAGCAGCGTGTGGTACGTCCCGCTACTGTGACTTTCTGCCATGGATTAACTCGAGACTAAAGATTTGGACACTAGGCCATTGCGCGTGCAGTTTACTCGCGAGCGGAGACAATCATCCTCGACGATGCGCTTAGCGGCCTTGATCGTACGACGGAGGAGACCATCTTCAATAATCTCTTTGCTCCCGGAGGCCTGCTTCGCAGAATGGGAACAACAATTATCATGACTAGTAACAGTGGTAGGTCTCTGCAAATTGGTAGTCCACGAAACCCTTCAAACTGTCTCGACTGATTCTTGGTTTCCAGTTTCTCGTCTTCCCGTCGCAGATCACGTTATTGCACTGTCCAAGACAGGCAGCATTGCTGAGCAAGGCTCTTACAAAGAGTTGATGGACCGACCAGAGAGCTACATTCAGACGCTTTCGGTTCCTGAAGGCAGCAAGCAGGTGGCAGATGATGATATGGAAATCACAGCCGCTCCAGAGACTAAGATGCACCGTCCACTGAGTCTTGCCAGTCTGAATCTCGAAGCTCCACCGCTCACAGATGGACGACGAACAGGTGATATGTCCATCTACTGGTATTATATGAATATTCTGGGAATCTGGCGATCTCTTATTTTCGTCTTGCTAATCTGCTGCTACGTGGTGGGCATTGCTTTCCCAAGTACGTTTCTTCCACGTCAATCTCATCTTAATCATACTGACTCGTGCAGCGATCTGGGTGCAATGGTGGACGGCCGACAACTTGAAATATCCCAATGATAACCTTGGCTACTGGCTTGGAATCTATGGCTGGATTGCAGTTATGGCTGTTTCCACGCTCGTCTTGGCCTGTTGGTGGGTTTGATCCCTACAATCAGTACCCTCTCGATTTTTCTCTTCTAATACGGCAGTCTATAGGCATCTGATGTCCAATCTGGTTGCTCGTGCCGCCCGTTCTATGCATGGCCTGCTCCTGAAAAAGGTCTTGGAGTAAGTCCTTGCGCGCGGGGATCTTCTGGCCTTCAGCTAAGCTATTTCTCGCAGTTCTCCCATGTCGTTCTTCCACACAACGGACGTCGGTCAGACAACCAATCGGTAAGGTTCCACGAAATCGAGCTTGTATGATATTGGAAAATCTAAAAGAAGATGAGCTAACCTTCTACAGATTCAGTCAAGACCTTCAGCTGATCGACATGGAGCTTCCACTCGCCGTCCTCAACACCATCCTAACTTTCTTCACATGCGTCGCCCAGATGGTGGTGGTCTGTATCTCTACTAGCTACATTGCTGCCACTATTCCGGCCTGCTTGTTTGCATTCTGGTGTGTGCAGAGATTTTACCTGCGAACATCTCGACAGATTCGATACCTCGACATCGAGGCCAAGGCCCCGTTGATTTCACACTTCCTTGACACGCTCAATGGCCTGACCACCGTTCGCAGCTTCAAGTGGGAATCGCAGTACCGTAAGAAAAACGCAGAACTGATCAACTCTAGCCAAAAACCATTCTACTTGCTGTTTGCCATCCAACGCTGGTTGGAATTGGTGATTGCTTTGTGTGTTGCCGGGTTCGCAGTTGTGCTTGTAGGCATTGCTGTTGCCACACGCGGCAGCTTGAGTGCTGGTTTCCTGGGCGTTGCTCTCCTAAACATCGTCACGTTCACTGAAAATTTGCAAGGGCTCATCATGCAATGGACAGTGCTGGAGACATCTATTGGTGCTGTTGCCCGTATCCGGCACTTCCATCGCACGGTCGACTCGGAGCATCAAGAAGCCGAGACGGTGGACCCGCCGGCCTCTTGGCCTGAACATGGCGAGATTCAGATCACTGATCTCGTGGCTTCTTACAAGTAGGATGAGCCCTTTGAGGATTTTGATCGCTTTCATGAAAGAGGTATGTGTGCTCATGATGATTGTCTGCCACTAGGGATAGTGCCAATCGTGCCATCGACAACGTCTCGTTATCGATCCGACCGGGTAGCAAGGTGGGTATTTGCGGCCGAAGTGGAAGGTGAGTCAAGAATTTGCCGTTCATGGTGTCAATCTATCAAAGCTAAAACTCATTGATACTCGTTTAGTGGGAAATCAACTTTTGTCTCCTCGCTGTTCCGGCTCATTGAACCCTCAAGCGGTTTCATCATCATCGATGGGCTTGATATATTTACCGTGCAACGACACCCGCTCCGCGCCCGATTGAACTGTATTCCTCAAGAACCTTTCCTCCTTCCTTCGTGCTCGATTCGTGTCAACATGAATCCAGGCGGCGGTGTGGATGACGAGCTCCTGATTGACGCACTGAAAAAAGTGCAACTGTGGGAAGTTGTTGAGAGCCTTGGCGGTCTCGATGCTGACATTAATCCGGAAACATTCTCGCCTGGTCAGAAACAGCTTTTGTGTTTCGCACGCGCCATGGTGAGAGTCGAAGGCAAGATTCTGATTCTAGATGAGGCAACAAGCAGGTACGTGATCAGGCTTCAGGAGATCTACTCAAAGCCAGCAATTCTGACGTTTTGTAACCTACAGTATCGATATGAAAACCGACGAACTCATGCAATCCTTGATTCGTACCGAGTTTGCCTCGCATACCGTCATCGCAATTGCCCACCGTCTGGAAACAATCGTCGATTTTGACGAGGTCATTGTCATGGAGAACGGCCGGGTCAAGGAGCAGGGCCCACCCAGAGAACTGTTGGAACAGAAGGGCGCATTCTCGGAACTCTATTGGGATTTGGGTCGTGGATCTACTCGTACACCTATGGCCATCTAGTATAGCTGTAGTGGTAGATTTATGGTGTTGTGGTTATGTTTTTGCAAATGACTTTAATGTGTTCGAATCATCCAGGGTTCGCACTTTTTTGCGTACGAAGACCTCCAGCTGCGAACACTACACATTACAAGTGTTCGTGGACAATCACACGGGGGATATGGATGTCTCCGATCGATTGCTCCAACGATATGTTCCAACTTCCTCCCGAGTGAAAGCAAACTGCCGGTCTCTACCTATTGTGACGTAGACCTGACAACACGAATTTGTTCTTAGGTTGATTTGAAAAAGATAGGCAGTCATAGTTCCAGACCTTGTAGAATAGCCGAGGGCTGCCTCCACAGCGGTGATCTTGCGCTACTAGGCAGATTACTCATTACATGTACGTTTGTACCAGGAGAGTCACATTTGACATCCATCTTCTATTCCAGGAGGAGACCTTCTCGGCAGTCTTCAGAACTTACCAAAGCTAAGGTTGGTATATCGCAAATGTGTTTGAAATGGCAGTCACTCACCACGCGTCGTGTGTACAATCGTACATACATTGCATCAAATGAACATAATCTTAAAACCCAAAGTATCCAAGACGCAGGCGGCCTCAGACTCCGTGAACTTCCAGAAATTTGACGCCGCGAAGTTCTTCTACTTGTGTCGGGTCCTCAGAAAAGGTAGCGCCAAACTCTTTCACAATCTCAATCATTCCATCCATCGCAAAACTCAATCCGCCGAAATCTCTGGGCCGATATAAAGCGCTCTCATATCTCAAGGCCCACACACCTACTCCATCTACCAGCCAGCCATAATAAATAGTTTTCTTTTCTTCCAGTGTCGACTGCCGCAGTGGCGTAATAGCTGAACTATACCTCGTGGCTCGGCCAAAGCTCCGCCCCAACGTGTTACATGAAATTGCAGAATTCATCATCTTCTTCTTCGGCACTGGGCGAGCGCTCTGATGGGAAGAAGAGTGGAGCCGATAGGAAACGCAACTCGACAAGACTCCGATCGTCTTTAATCAGAATTCCGCTAGTAGATTGGTAGCCGTAAACCATGCATCCTCTGCGGTTGAAGATAACTCATTCAGTAACCGTCGATTAGATAAGGTTCATTGAATTTGCATTCGTCAAGCGCACCGCGCAAAACGCTTGATCTTCCGAGGGGCGAGAGGGGGTCTTGGTGGGAAGAAACCAGGCCATAACTGGCTGATAGGGAGCGGATGGAAAGCTGGAGATGATGGCGACGACCATGATGCCTGACCTTATGACGTTTTAAAAATCTTTCAAATAGGATACGAATGATTTCTTTTTTCAATCACGTGAGTCTGTTTATTTGAAAATCAGAACGCAGGAAATTATTGTCAAAGATACTTGATATCCTCGTACTGAAGGAGCATGAAAATTTATGGGCTCGAAATTCAGGTCAGGAGGGGACCTACCAGGTAGGAGATGCTCCAGCGGTCACCTACGGTAATTCGAAGCATGTAGACCGAATGCTTGCCTACCTTTACTAGCTTGATAAAGTACCTCAGATATAGAATTGTAGAATTTGATCTCGAGTAATCATTGCATAGACAGCTGCCCAGTTGGGCAACGCCGCCATGGTCAAGCCCCAAGCTTTCATCTTCATCTTTGATTCAGTCAAATGATCCATAACGATCCTCAAGCGTTTGTATGGCCAGATTATAAGCCATCCCAGAGCAGCCGACTGCACATAATTCAACTCTGTAGCACTTTGGCCACCACCCCTTCGGCAGTCTCATTTTCGACTCCCAGAAGTGGTGCATCGGACTCCTCCCACGAAGGCGCCACAACACATCGGGCTTGTCCTTCATCATACATCTGCGCAACGACCATTTCAAGTGCCCAACCACCCAGTCCAGCCTGAAACTTCTGTCGACCCTTCTGAGCAACATCTTGGACGGAGGCGTGCCGCACCGACCATTCTTGACCTGTGCTGCGTTGGAAAGCCTCTAGAAGTTCGTTCTGGTTGGTTTTGATCGACAGGACTTTGACGAATCGGTTTGACGTTTCACTGGGGTGCTGCAGGACACCCACAACCGACTGCCCGATACCTGCGAGGGTTGTGCCAGTGAAATTCTCGGTTCCTGTATCGTAGATTGTGGCGGAGGATTGGGCAATGTCGAAGCCCATCAGGGGAAATTTCTTGATAGCCTGTTGAACATGAGTAAATGTTGGAATGCGCCCGAGAACAAAGTTTAGAATCAAATCAAAAACTCACCCAGTCGATAGGGTTCCCAGAAGTGATACCAGTAAAAGTAAAGTTAGGATTGGTCTCGGCCTTGGCTCGCGCACAGTCCCAGCCCGCACGGCGACGGAGATGAGGCGCTCGAAACTCGGGCAGACTGCGGTAATCTGGACCCCAGCCAAAGTCATTCACGATGAATCGTTTCACACCGGCCGCCTCAGCAGCCTCAATCATCGTGACTTGCGAGTCAACCCCGCCAGGGCCGACCGCGCAGATAGCGGCATCCTGGCCGGCAAGCGCGGTGGTGAGATCCTCAAGCGTATAGCGGATGCGAATGACGGGAAGTCCCCGGGGGAAAGTAGAAGTGGACTCGGCGCGAGTAATTATGGTGACCTGAAATCCGGCGTGGCGGAGGGCGGCGGTGATGGGAGCGCCAAAATTTCCGGATGCCAGTGAGTAGGTTAGTCGCGAGAACAGAGGATGTTGAGCATGTCTAGGTGCACGATATGTCGATACTTGGTAGTTTAAACAGTCAAGTCATCGGCCTCCCGGTCATGATTACGAAACGTACTCCGAAAATGGCGACTTTGTTGATTGTTGGATTAGACATGATCGTTGAGTCTCCAGTGAGATAGTGACGGGATGGAGAAATTGCAGAATAGGTATGGATTGGATACTTGGGGTCGGGGTTGAGATGGAGGTCGATGAGGGCGCGGTGCTGCGGTCCAGAGGAAGCCTTACCACCAAGTATGATTTCACACTCGGGCCTTGTGCCGCTTAAATAGTCATCCTGGTGAAGGTACCGTGATAAAACCTAATATACTGTCGTACCTAGTACCTTACCACACTCATCAAATCATTTGTCATCATAGGTTGTTTTGAGTGATGGAAGAACATGGATGAAAACCTGGCGAGAGGGCTAATTGAAATGAATGGCTTTGCGGCTCTTACATGTCCTAATCGAGTTGTCGGAGGAAGGAAAAATGGACCGCACGTAAGCACTAAGGTATCTTCCCATTTACGGGCCCCCTAACAAGCAGATGAGAACGGCAAATTCAGCCCCGCCTCGACTGGGAATGTTTGATCACCACTGCTGGCCGGTGAATAAACGGTGGACATTACGTGCGATAATGCGATCAGTCAATAGTTAATATATTCGCTAGCCTTCCAGTCACATATACGCCAATGCCGAAAATAAAAAATCAAAAGAACTTCTCTCTCATATTTCAGTTTGCGGGTGAGGAAGAGCAATGCGGGAAACAAAGTACAATATAATTGAATATATGCAACCAAACCTCAGCACCAGATTGTTTACGAACCAAACGCATACTGAATCGCGGAGCCCGTCGAGGCGGCTGCGCGGGCGGTGGGATTCAGCAGAACCGCATTCTGCTGGGCGGGCGAATACGGCGCCTCCGTCTTGGGCACAAACATTGCGTTGGTCATGAGCCCGCGGTGGAAGAAGCGGAACGCTTTCCGGTACCGCGTCAGCCGCCGAGCGCGGTACCTTTCATACTCCTGCGCCTCCACCATGGCATACAGATATCGCGGGTGCACCACAATTGCCTGGGCTCCCTTCTGGCCAAACCCAAAGGATGTCAGAGAGAACGCTTTGAGACCCCCGGTCTGAATGCTGTGGTTGGGATAAACAATGTACTCATTCTTCTCGAGTTGATCGTCCACACTGTCGAGGTTACGGTTCCCAGGGATCAGGCCACTGTCCAGCACCTGCAGACCCCCGTTGAGCATCCACGCACCGGCAGCACCCTTGGGATGGCCTGTTAGGTACTTTTGCGAGATAGCAAACAGGGGATTGCCCGGTGTCCGACCGAGATGTCTCATCTGCGATTCGAGAACCGCAGGTTCATTCTTGTCGTTCATGACGGTGCTGGTGCCATGCAAGGTGACAAAGTCCAGATCATCTGCCAAAATCATAATCAAAGTTAGCGACAGGCTCCACTCGGAGAGACATTGCTCGTCTCTAACAGGGGGAAAGAAAAGAACAAGGCGACTAACCCACGTTGAGGCCAAAGACCGCGAGAGCGCCTCGAATAGGCGAGATTGAGTCCTGATTCTTCCAGAAGTCATTGCCAAACAGATTTAAGGCCTCTTTGCGTTGGCGTTCAGCTTCTTGACGAACGAAGCTCAGATGATGCTCGTATTCCTCTCGGTGAGTATCGGGGATGGCGCCAGCCTCATCGCTGAGCTCTGTGCTCATACTCTGAACCTCCAGGTCAATCGACTCTTGGATCTGAGCAAAGCGAGCCGCCAGACGACGTTTGCGGTATCGCACGTCGAGAAGGGGTGAGGGGAATCGACCGCCCGGCTGCTCGCGAGCATTGGTCAAAATGCCCTGACCAGGGGCCGGCACCGACCGGCCGATCTTGTCACTGGCGGTACCTACCCAAGCGACAATGCCCTGAATCGGCAATCCAAGGTCTAGCGCCAACTGCGCCGACGCGATCACTTGAATGCCGCTTCCTTGCGCTTCGACAAACCCACTGCGGCTCTCCGCCGAAGGGCGGGACATCTCGTGGGGGAGTCGGCCTTTCTTGGCTTCCCCAGCGGCATCAGTGGTGGCTTTCATGTTTGCAAATTCTTCGGCAATAGTCTGCGTCATATCATCATACCCTCCCACGAGACAGATCTTAGCGCGGCCGGTGGCAATGGTCTCGTATCCTGTTTCCAAGGATTCGACTGAGGTCGCGCAGGCACCAACTGCCGTGCGAATGGGGCCAGATGAGGAGAGCAGCAGCATGTTGACCCAAGCGGCGGTCGTATTGATGAATGTTTCCTGAAGGATATCCTTCTGAACTTCTTTGTCCAGGTATCGATCTTGGAACATCATCTTCAACGACTGCATACCGCCGACGCCAGATCCAATACAGTTTCCGAATTCGGAGACATGGATATACTGATATAGTTCGTACGGGTCGGTGATACCAGAGGCAATCAAGGCTTCAATCGTGCTCACTAGAGTGAACAAAGTTCCTCGGTCGACTTGGCTGACAATGTCGTCAGGAATGCCGTATGTGCGTGCATCCCATCCTGTTGGGACCAACCCTGCCACTGCATGTCCATAGTTCAAAGCCTTAGGGACCATCAAAACAGCACCCCTTTTAAGGCTCACCACGCATCGATCGCCTTGCGGCAAGAAGTCAACGCGAGTTTCTCCATGCTCGTGAAGAAGTTGCTGCGCCACTTCATGCGAGACTTCGAAGCGCGGCAAGTCCTCCTCTAGCACAATCTCTTGCAAAAGAGGTCGCTTGCTGGGCTCGTGGGAATCGAGGCTTGTGTCGATCAAGCGGATACCGGTATGCGCGAGGATATGTTCCTCATAACGAGCCTTGACATCGAGGTCTTGCACAGGTTTCTGGGTCTTGGTGTCGATCCAGCCAGTGTAGTGCTTACCGTCCAACAGGCCGTTGTGGTGCTTGATAAGACCCATCATCCAAGCCATCTCCACGCATCCTTCCAAGGAGAGACGGCCGGTAGCCTCCATTTGCCATCGAGTCCGGGCGTTACCAAATGGTCCAACCTCAGAGAAGCCAGTCACGACAACAACACGGTCCAGGTTCGCCATCCCAAGCAGTGTCTCTCTCAACGGCTTAATCTCGGCGTCTTCATTCGGGAGCTTGGGGAAAGTGAAGTGGATATTTGCGAGGGGTGGTCCAGCTGTCTCATCCTTCTTGGCAGACTGTCCCAAAACCCCCAGCTTCTCCTCGGCCTCTCTCTCCTTGGCGAGGTTCCGACGCAGGGTGCTCTGATCTAGTATATCCCGTCGGATTTGATCCAAAGTGGCTTTGAGATGGTCCATAGTATTGAGTCCTCCAGTCAAATCAGCATACAAAGGTCGAATGTTGCATTGACTGGCGAACTTCCGCGTGAGCAATACGAGGATGTACGCTGCCATCTCGGTTGTTGAAAATGTCTGCACCCCATGACATTCGATGCCCGCAGCGACGATATTATTATCCGCCATGAGACCAGTGCCGCGAGTCCAGCCAATGACCGCACCGCAGATCGAAAGATATGCAGACCAACTTTCGGAATGCCACTTGTCGAACAGAGTCTCAAGAGCAACCTTTGACTCGCCGTATAAGCCGTCATTACCGAATGCGCCATGATTGGGAGAAAGAGGAAGAATGACTTGAGTAGGACGAGTGCGGTATCCACGAGCCTGCTTCTTCTTTTTGATTGCACCCAGCAGACGCAAGGTGTTAGTGAGCATGATGCGATGAGCAAGCTCTGACCGGGAGTCGATGCCATCGATCTCACGGCCTACTTCCGAGATCGCGGCGAAAGGGATGACGTGGTCTAGATCCCATCCAAGTCCAGCGTCAGAGAATACGAATTCCACAAGACCATCCAAATCTTGTTGGCTGCCTTGGTTGAACGGTGCAACGATCAATTCAGACCCCCGCGCTCCGCACTCGACATAAAGATTCTGATAGAAGCGTGAAGTGGCCGAGGAGTAGCTACTGGTCGTGACGACAACCTTTGCGCCACCACTCAGCAGACCCTTCAGGACGTCGGCATTGATCGATCCGGGGCTGACGCCTGTCATCAAGACATACTTGTTCCGGAAGGTAACGCCCTCCGTCCACGACGACTGAACCTGATCTTTGTACATTGTGGTCAGCGGTTGATCGATCTTCCAGGAGGCCTGGGCGCGAGTTGCAATTTTGATCGGTGCAATGGTAGGTGTATCTCCGCGAGGAACCTCGGAGTATTTGATGTTTCCATCGTCGTCCACCTCTGTACTGGGCCCGTTGATGAAGGCATCGAAGTTGGCAGCCAAGGGCTCGAAGATGGGCTCGCGGGCTGTCTCGCACCGGACCAAGAGGCGGTGCATGGCGGCCTTGGCTTCGGACACGCGGGGTCCCCAGATCAGGGATTCACTGTTCGCCAGATATTTCATCATGCTGAGAAGACGAGGACTGGATCTGTTTGCGACGGCGTTGCCATACTTTGCGAGGTTGGCGTCGGGGAGGTCATTGCGCAATACGCGATGGAAGAGGTCAAGGGCATCTTGCAAAACCCAATTCCAGCTTGAATGGAAACGTCGAACTTTCGCTGCTGACCAGAGGGGGCGGATTCCTGCTAGGAAGAAGTCGCCCACCTCGGCGGTGATGTCGTCGAGTTGGCTTTGAAGTTCAGCAGTTGCCAGGTGCGCTTTCAATGCTTCCTGGGCATCTTGACGTAGATTCTTGCCCAATAGCCGTGCGTAAAGTTCCATCAAGGATCTCTTCAAATCATCCTGATCTTTGACGACTGCTCCCAATGCCGCGCTATCGAACGGTGACGCAACGGCGACTGCGGTTGTCGCACCTTGAGAAGCAGCCGAAAGATCGATTCCGTTATCTTTCGTGTACTGCTGGACAACTTCATCGAAGAACGCCTCCGCCTCCTTTGTTCCCCCGAGTCGCGACGAGCTTTGCGTGGTGCTTGCTCTAAGAAGAACAGCATTCTGACGGCCTTCGCCAAGACCCCATCGAGTCTGAATATAGTTGCGAACCTCTCCACTCGCGAATCCTGCTGGCAGCTTTTGGGCAAAGAATTTTGAGATCAAGCCATTCGATACTTTTCGCAGCTGGCCAGAGAATGACGGTGCCGATTCCAGCATGCCCCCCAGTTGCTCGAGAGCAATATCCTCAGGCTTCTCTGGGAGACTACCGAATTCCGCATCAAGGTCACCAACGATCTCATTCTCCATCGTTGATCGACCTGGAAGATGAGGTTAGTATCACAACACCCGTGTGTGTGAACAGGAAAGGAACATACCACTCGCCAAAGCCTTGATACTCTGCTGTGCTGGGACTTCGCTGTGATGCTTTCGTAACTTGCTGCCGACAATGGCTAGAAGAATTTCGCCAGCGGGGGTCGGTGCATCTGAGATTGGGGCGACATTGGTCACTTGCGCTGAGACCCTCACTGTCGCTGCGGCTTCTGGTGCAACCACGCTTGCAGTTGCCTGTGTGATTGAAGCCGGTCCAGCCGCGGGCTTCGTTGATACCACAGGGCTTGTGCTTTTTTGACTTCTGTGGGTCTCACTGGGAGTCGTTGGTGCCGATGAAAGCAGATAGTGGATTTCTTGTGCATTTTGCGCGTACGATAGGAATCGCCGCGTCATATGACGAGCCGCATCATGAGACTTGAAGTGAAGAGACACTGTCTTCTTCAGCATTCCTGTGAGGGTGTCGGCTGGGCCAATCTCAATGAATCTCTCGACATTGAAGTCTTTGAGAAGGATGTCTTGTGTTTTGATCCTATGACGACCTATAAGTTACCTGGTACTTGTGCCATATTCTGAAGCCAAAGAGAACTCACCATTGGACCGGCGATGCGAATTGATGTCTACATTTGGACCACGAAAATTAGCACACGTACGAAATTCGATTGATGAACTTGGGGTAGATTTTGCGGTCACATAGAACTTACGCCAACAACTCGACCAGGAGCAGATATGCTAGCTGCTGCTCGATCTGGGGCTGCATTGTGACCGATACCATATTGGAGAGAAAAGTCAAACCTCCGTGGGCATTACCGGATTCAATAAATTAAAGCAATGACCGATACTTCCATCATCTATATCCCTCTCCCACTCTCTGATCCTAAATGCCATATTACGTGAGTATGCTCGCGACCGATGAGTTCCTGCAGCGACCCACCATAATCCGCTGCAGCTGAGAGCGACCATGTGGTAATTCGCCGAGGCCTAGCCCCCACGTGGATTGAAGAAATAACCGAAATATTATCATACGTTGTTGGCTTAAGCATCTGTTTGGAATGAAAAAGCGAGGAATTGGATTAGCGGCTGACCCTGCATGATGATGCGACATACATCGGCGGGTGCGAGGCTGACGGTGACGGGCACACGGTCGGAGCCACGATCGGGGTGTGTGCTGACGAGTTCGATGGACTCATCTTTTCTCTCGATCGGGACATACCTGTAGAATCAGCCAGCCTAGAGTAGCGACATGGCTTGAAATACGAATGTCGGCAGATGATGATGGAAGTTGTAGCAACATGCTGCGCTGCACCTTGAGATTTCGTGGGTTCTGGAACGATGAAGCTCACTTAGTGATCGAACGTACCACTCCCATTATTGTGTCTTTTGTGGTTCTTCTTCCGGGGCATCCTTGTTCTGTCGAACAATAAAATCAGGAAGTTCTTTAGCAAATCGGGATTGAGGCCTCTAGTTTCTCGAGACCCTGCCTCAGTTCCTCTGCGATGGACGCAATTCAGCGGATTCGCGGACAATGGGTCCTAACGCTCGTCGAGAGTGTTGGACTGGCAGCCTTCATCTATGTGAGCCAATGTACACACAGATGCTTGCTTTGGGATGGAATCATTGACTCGTGGTGGTACAGGTTCTGAGTATCGTGGTGTACCGTGTATGGTTTCATCCTCTTGCAGGATTACCTGGGCCCGTTCTGGCAAAGGTTACGAATCTTTATGGTGGTTACCATGCTTGGACGGGTGATCTGCATTTGAACATGCTGCAATGCCACGAGAAATATGGTTCGCGAATTCCGGTCTTTGATCCATCCCCCCAGCACATTTATTGACTATGTTCTCACAGGAAATTTTGTGCGTTACGCACCAAATCGTGTCTTGGTTAACACGAACACTGGTTTGAAAGGTTTGTGACAGGTTCAACTGAAGAGAGTCCTGGCATCTGATCTAACCTTATTTCCTCTCTCACAGACGTCTATGCTTTCACTAAGCAATTTCAGAAATCCACCGTCTACCAGGCGATGGTACACCGGGCCCCAAATACTCTCACTTTGATCGATAAGAAGCAACATGGACGCAAACGTCGCACCATTGGTCAAGGGTTTGGAGACAATGCTTTGCGGGGATTTCAAGATGCCATCATGGAGCTTGTCAAGATTTTCTGTGACGCGCTGATCCAAGACACTCCTGCGGGCAACTGGTCCCAGCCGCAGAACATGGGCAAATGGTGTATGTCAAGTATTCCACGGCTTTTGAGCCTCGTCAATGGCTTCGGCAACAATGCCTGGCCGACTTGATTGACGCTGACAATTTTTTCTTTAGCGAACTATTTGACATTTGATATCATGTCGAAGCTCGTCTTTGGGGAGAGCTTCGACTTGCTCGGTAGCCCCGATAATAGAGATATTGTCCAGTGTATCGAAGATTCAAATGTCAGGACCGGGGTTCTGATACAAGCTAGCGAGCTTTCTACGCGTCGCTTGGACAGGAAGCTGTTCCCTCAAGCTATCAAGGGGCGCAACAAGTTCATTCGTTTTGTCACGGATCTTCTGAAGCAGAGAATGGCCGCAAAACCTTTGAAAAGAAAGGATGTTTTCTCTTTCCTTCTCGACGCTAAGGATACGGAGACCAATCAAGGCTTCACCCCGGCCGAGATTGGAGCCGAGAGTACAACTTTGATCGTTGCGGGTATGGACATTTCGAAGCTGGGGCGCCTCACTCATGAGTTCTTTTCTTACGGCTGACGGGATATAACAGGATCCGATACAACATCGACTGCAATCGCCTCCATGTTCTTCTACCTTGGTCACTATCCCGACGTCTACGAGCGATTGAAGAACGAGATTCGAGCTGCATTTGCCAGCGCTGACGAAGTCACCCTTGGATCAAAACTGACAGACTGTGTTTACCTACGAGCCTGCATCGACGAAAGCCTGCGCATGTCACCTCCGGCCGGCGGCTCATTATGGCGAGAGGTTGCCCAGGATGGAGTTGTCGTTGATGGCCATGTTATTCCTCGAGGCTACGATATCGGTACGTGCATCTACGCCATCCACCATAATCCCGAATATTACCCTGAGCCATTTGAATACCGCCCGGATCGCTGGCTCGGGAAGCCTGAAGAGATTCAGGCTGCTCGATCGGCGTTCACGCCATTCTCAATCGGGCCCAGAAGCTGCCTCGGAAAGGGCCTGGCCTTGACTGAGCTTAGTCTGACTATGGCTTACCTCCTCACCAAGTATGACTTCCGTCTTGCTCCGGGCTCGGGGAAATTAGGCGGTGGCTCAGCTTCGGATGGACCTGGGCGCGATCGTGAACTGGAATATCAACTCAGAGATCATGTCACGGCTGCGAAGAATGGACCGCTTGTTCAGCTTCGTCTGCGGCAGTGAGGTGGTTGTGGTGGTTGGTAAGGTCCGTCTCTACGGCTGCCAACTCAAACAGCACGTGGCGGGATTGGGGAGAAGTGCGGTTAGAAGCTCTCGGGGATTTTCTAATTGAATACACCAATCTGAGTTAAATTTACTGCACTGATCAGGTTCAAGTCCGCGGCATACGCTGCTTTGAAATCTCGTTTCATCCAAACTAGAAATATCCATCGGGTCTAACGATCGTGGGGTTTTGGGGGACTGAATTCAGTACTGTGCAGCCTTGAGATACTAAGGAAGGACTAGGAAGAACTTACCACAGGTTACACCTGCTCATTGGGTGTTTTGAAGAACTATCGTCGAAAAAAGACGTGTTAGGTAGGAGTGTCCAATGAATTTTGGATTATGTGTTATATTCTTCACGTGCGGATGGCCCGAAGGCTCCGCAGAAAAGGGAGGTATGTACGTAGTACATACATTTATGGTGCCTGAACAGGGAATTCTCGAGTCCATAAAAGAGTCCCAGGGCTGCTTCCGCATGGGTAGTACGCCGAATTTAATTCAAGAGCAAAAAACTACGGGCTAACCATCTTCATTGGGAGGACATGTAGAGTTTGCGAATTATAATTGCGCTGAGAGCCATGTACGTTCTGCAGTCATCTGAATATCAGCCTAGACATAAGCTTGCTGCACCTCGAAACTCCATTCCGGAAATTCCTCGCTATCACCGCGCTGAACGCTTGTCAACTCTGCATACAACTTTTGGCAGATTGGACCTGCAGTCTTTTCTTTCGTATACTGGAAGTAATCATCGTGCGAACGATGTGTGATGGACGAGATCGGCACCAAACAGGCAGCCGTCCCTACCGCCATGACCTCGCTAAAGGTTGACAGTTCCCAGTATTTCACCTAGGCAGATGACGATTTTGTGTTAGCTTTATCCGAAGCTTTAAGAAGAGATGGACGTGGAGGGTGTATGGGGTGGCATACTGATCGGTTTTCCACCTGATATCCCAAGGCTCTACCAATCTCCATCAGACTGTTGGACGTGACACTGTTGATGATGTTGTCACTCTTGGGCACGACGAGGACGACTCGTTCAAGCTGGTCGGCCGTTTCCTCCGATCGCACTCCGATGAAGCCCGAAGTGGAGAACTCGTCGATCTCTTCGCCCGTTTTGCTGTCCAAGTGCAAGGTCATGGGGAATCCAGCCTTGGAGGCTTCTTGCGACCACTTCATCACGGGCGCATAGTTGCCACCGATCTTGGCATGACCAGCGCCCTTGGGAGCAGCACGATCAAACTCCTCCATCACCACCGCCGGCAATGGTGCGACTCCATGGTAACTACTGAAAGGGTGGACATACACGCAGAGTGTGTACTCATTTGGTGGCGTCAAGGCTAGATGTCCACTGGAGCCAAACAAAACCGGGCGGATATACAGTGCCGCACCACTCTCGTACGGGGGCACCCATTCTGCGTTGCGTGCCACCGCCGCATTGATCACTGTCATAAAGTGATCGATGGGTACCGAAGGGATCGACACCACTGCGGCCGAATGCTGCATACGTGCAGCATGATATTCGGGCCGAAAGATCTGGATCTTACCGTTTCGAGTGCGGTAAGCTTCAGAGTTTGTTAGTGCGACAGGGTCTATTTTTTCGACCTTTCAATTGCTGATTCCTCCGAGTGCGAACGATTTCGGTCTCCACTATTGTTGCAAGTGCTGCTGGTGCCAGAGGGATTCCCCAACGGCGCCCAGATCTTTGAAAGGGAACGACCTGAGATGCATCTTTGACGTACCTTTGAGACCTTCATACACCTGCTGACCGTAATTCAGCCCCGGCGCCAAGCCATGCACGCGAATGAATGGGTCAACCACGAGTCGGGGAGCTGACCATTCGCCTGTTTCAACCGAATACGTCGATTGCACATGGCCATTGACTAAGGATGATCGGCGCCACCGTCAGCCTCTCTATTCTGAAACATCATGAAGACTGCGTGAGTCTGATAAATTGAATTAGGATCTTGCAGGATTCTTTCCCTACCCATGTCCGTGACGGCGAGGCCGAGCTTGGTCCAATCTGCTCTGTCAGGTCAAAATCGTGCTTCAACGTTGAATCTCCAAGGGAATCAATGTCTAGTGTGGGTGTTTACTGACCAACATCGGGCGCGGGCGCTGGAGGGAAAGTCATGCTGCAGACGATGGAGGGTGTGGTATGAATGCACGAAGCGTTCGTAGCTGAACCTTGTGTTGATAAAGGGCTCAGTGCGAGGTGTGTTGTTCTTATCCTAAGTTATACGACTCTTCGACTCCTTTTTCCCAGGAACTCTCCTAGCATGACATCGAATCGGATGGGGAAAATGATCGCTTTGTCGGACTTGGTCTGATCTTCCCGACTGAGGATTGTCCAGGATGATTGTTTAGCTTTCTGTCGGGTACTAAGCTGATCCTCAACCTGGTGGGTCAGCAATCTTCATTCTCCAGCTCAGAAGGTCCTTCGCACACATGAACTGCATGGACTCAGTCATCCTGCAGGAACAGAACAATTTATGGTCCGCTGACGATGCATCCTCGCTTCTGCACGTCAAGGCGGAGTCGAAACGGGGGTTACTTCAAAATGCATGGCTAGACTGGCTTCGACCCCGTTGTAACCTTATGCAGCATCAGCACCCGCCCTATTATGGAATATAATTCCAAAGAAGAGAGACCCCCATGGAGAAGACACGTAGGGAGACAGGGAGTATTTTTGATTGTCCTGGGGAAAAAATTGAACGATGTGCTTTTCTCCCCCATGATCTCCATTATGCATGTAAATGAAGGATGATGATCTGAAGGTCTTCGTATGCACGCCGCATGCGCATGCATGACTTGGGAGGTCATCACGAAATCCCCTCGAGGCACTCTAATGCATGCTTAGGCAAACATGCCATTTGTCGGACACATTTCCGCTGTGCGACTAATGTAGTAAGATTCTAGATTTTTGAGAAATCATTACGAGAACCTTGTGCTGGGCTACTGGCAATCAGGGTCTTCGTTCCACGTTGTCAGTTGTCGTAGCTTCTCACTTGAGGATCGACGCTAGTTGAATCATCTTTCACTCGTACCAGACAACCATATCAATTGATTTTATCCGTACATGTACCGAACAAACGAACACTCTCCGACCGGACCTTTTTGAACAAGAAACAATAAGACTGGGAAGCTAGACAACTCATCGCGCTCAAATTCCTCTCGTTCGCCGGCGTTTTGGAATCTATCTCGGTGTTCGATCACATCAATCTCCAGTCTCCCTTCGAAGTGTGGTGGTAAATTTAGCCGATCGACTTCACGGTAGTGATTTCACAATGCATCCTACTGAGGGAGATCCGATGCTGGTGTTCACCCAGTGGCACGACGATGATCTGGGCATGACCGACAGCTGGACAGGCAGCAACGATCACTCTCTCCCCCGAGCTCGATCTACTCATGACCGTTTCGGGTCAACTCCAAGATGACTCTCTCTCACATCCGGGCACTTTCTTCATGGTATGTTCGGAGTTGCTTTCGAGAGTCGCATATACAGTTGCCCATGCGCACTCACTATCTCTTTGATCTGTCCTCTCATTGCCCGATCTTGACGACGTTGTGTCCGTCCTCTCCTCTGTTCCTAATCGGACGCAGCAGCGTTGGCCACAGTGATCACTTCGCGACAAACAAGATCTAACGATGTCGATTAGGATGAATTTGCAATGACAGTGCCAGCCGATACGGCTCTTCCTACGGTCCTCGCGGGCAATGCATCCAACCAAGTCAACTCTCCTCCATCATCACTACCGCCTCAAACACGACCAAATTCCATCCCCGACCAACCTAGCCAGCCGGGCCCCAATTCCTCATGCTGTTCGGCTCATGAGCGCATCGTCCATCTCTTGCTCTCCAATGGAGCCAATGTCAATGTACAGAATGCAAACGGACAGACGCCTCTTCATATTGCGGCTCAACATGGTCACCTCGGCATCGTTCGACTTTTATTGGCTTCCAAATTTATCGATGTGAATATTCAAGACCATCGTGGAGCGACGCCCTTGCACCTTGCAAGCGAGAATGGACACGCGATGGTGGTGACTCTCCTGGTGGAGCACGACGCGAGGTTGGATGTGAGGACGACAAGTGTATGAGATGATATAATGCTTTTGGGTCTTTATTTCCAGTTTCCCTTCCCTTCTTCTTTTCATTTTTCATCAAGCGAACATTTTCCTGCACGTCCCCAAGATCGCATGGAGACTCGGTGATGAGACTCCCTTGGAAAAAGCTGTCGAGTTCCCACATCTCGTCTCTGATTTATATAGAAGCCTCATATTCAGGACTCCATTAATAGCGCCATCATCCACATCGAATGATATGTCACGGCTCTGATATTTAAGTTCCCCCTTCGCTGATCTTGGTTCTCAACTCAAGCCCAAACTTTCGGGAATTTATGTGGCACTACGGCCCATTCCGTCAAGGGATCGCGGGCGGGCCCGCCAAGCAAGCTTTGGTGTTGACCCAAACTTCGGACTAGCCCGTTCCAGACTCTGGTTGATGACGCCGTCGATTACGCTCAGGTCCAACCCTACTACCCTCAGGATTCTCTTCGACAGCAAAACATTAGAGCCTCGTCGTCCTTCATCCTAAATTCAAGTTAGTATCTGTCCCAAAAATGGCCAACTGAGTCTCAGGCGGTGTGATGTGACTGATCACCGGAAGAACTTGACTTCATTGCAGTGGAATTGGAGGTGAATTCGGTTTCCACCTCGTCACGCTCACGTGGCCTTCCAGTCCCAAAGAGAAAAGTACTTCAAGCACGGTAGTAGGTGCCTGGCGACACCCATTACCTCAGACCTACCGTATATCTTCAGGTTGGGTAGGTACCTACGTCCTACTGGAGGTACAGGGAATCAAAACAAAACAGCTTCATGGAATGTAAAGTAATACCTGGTATTCATAAGGTGGGGTGGTGTAATCCAGGGTTCCAGAGGTAGGCGGGGGCCATGGATGGATGTAGCTTGTAGGTATGGACTACGGTGTAGACGTAGACCCGGATCGAACATTGTGGAAATATATTTTGTGTCGAGTACCTAGGTAACCTTGGTATGCTCACTCAGCGTGTTCGATCACCTGACAGGGCATACGTATCGGGCTGAAAGCACTTCAACCTTAATGGAAGCTCTTCATTGCTTCGGTAGTTTCTTGTCAAATGCTGTAAATAACCCTACCATGGACCGGAATTAAAGTACAGACATGGATCCCTCAATTCATGAAGCCACCAATGCGCAGACCTTCCTATACATCCGGCGGATTGGAGATCGTTGGGCAATCGCAACATCCGCCCGGATCTTATCGTGCCTCAGGGAACGTGCCCAGATAAAGATAAGTAAATGCCCCACCAATCACATGATGTTCCTCCATCCTAGGTAGGTCTGGACCAAATACGCGCGAAAAAGGCGCGTAGGGGCAGTACTGACATCCGTGTCTTGAGTCTCTTGACTGTCTTCATCTGATTAATTAGCAACGATGCCGATTAACAAGGGACAGATCCCTTACTCCTCGACCGAACTGATCTTCTGAAACATTTGTAGCCACCCACCTGACTACTGTTAAACTCAAACTATTTATCTACAGCGCATCACACATCATCTTCGAAGTTGGCTTGTAATTTCCTCCATTTGAGCCATCCATGTTTGACTGATACATCAACGGGCTGACATTACAATAGATAACCACACAGCAATATATCCAACAGATTCGACTTTCTTCATATCTGGCTTCGGTGCGCACACACGTGTGTTTCCTGGTGCGCCTGAGACCTTGGTAACTTCCCCTAGGTGGTGTGGCCAAACAAGGATCTGGGCAAGTGTGCATCATCACCTGCCCCCCACGAAAGGGTCGCACATTTCAAACTGAACACAATACCCTACTGCCCAGTTTCTCAAACACCAGTCACCCACTGCATACTTTAGCTGGACAGTTGTTACTGCGCAGCGGGGGTGCTCATCTCTATAGACGACAGTCACGGCAGTACCTAAAATCCCGAGCTGAGAATCCCACGAGACAAAGTCGCGCGATCTCATGCGATCTTCCCATGCCACAGGAATACCTTATCATCTGGCCGTCGCCTGAAAGAGCCAGTTGATCGAGCACGCCACCAAGAAAGACTGGGATCTGTCTCTTCCAGGGAGCCCCAAAGTGCGCCGTAGTCTGCTCGAATTCGTTGCCAGAATTTGTCGGCTACGCCCTGACGCCAGTCAGCCCGAGACACTGCGAACACGGCGAGTTCTGGAGTGACCTCAATCCCACTATGGTGGCTCCGCTTGCCATGGAGTTCATTGGAATTGGAGTCCGGTAGGATGAGACTGGGTGTCTGCCAAGGAAAGGCATTCTGCGGAAACACAAAGGCCAGATTTCGAATTGTCTCCTCAGGAAAGGACGCCGTGAAGTCGTAATCATAATAGGCTGTGAAGTCTTCCCTTTCGAGTCGGGACAAGAAATGGTCCAGGTTGTTGCCCACTGTAGGGTCGGGATGGCGCTCGAGCGCCCTTCGAAGGGCGTCCTCTGACGGAAAATCCTTGAAGGAGGATACAGACTCTACAGAGTGCGACCCTTGTCTTGATCTGTGTGATGACGCAGTGTTGAATACGGCTTGACCCAGCTCTGCAGCGGTTTTGATCACGATGTTCGAGCCGGTGGAAACCTCTTTCGTAAGGACGCTCGATGCCGCGAGCCTACCAGTGCTTGTCACAGGTGGGCTATCCGGGTGCACAAGAATACTGCGCGATGGCTGAAGCTCACGTGTTAAGCTGATCGCGGTATCCATCAGATTCAGTGCGTGCAGTCGAGAGTCCGCGAAAGAAATGCCAAGCGTGGCTATGATCGGCACGCAATCAGCACGGATGGCTGATCTAATGCTCTTTATTTCAAGGTCGGCAATTGCCATGGACGGATCAGACATCTGACAGTTACGCTCTCTCGAATCAGGTTCTGCGACTGCAGCGAAGACACTACACGGAAGAGGGCGAGTCTCAACATCGCGTTGCTCGAGGAGTGTGCTGATCTGGAGGTTGGTCGTGCGAATGCGACGTATGAGCCTTGAGGGTTCTGATTGTCTGTCATATTCCAGCTCTGGCGTGTCAGGCGCCCTGACAATCAATTCTCCATGTACGACGACAGGAAATAGTCCGACACGGCGTAAGAAAACCAGAGAATCGATGAGTCGCTCGAGCTGAAGACCAGTGCTGGAAAAACGACTTGGTGGCAGGAGTGCATTCGGATCGATTGCAATTACAGCCAGTGGAGGGCCTGCTGTTGATTGAATTTCGTCGAGGTACTCTCGGATCTGGTGTTCCGAATCAACGAGACGAAGCAGTCGGGTAATCACTTCGCGATTTGTCTGGGTGTGTGAGGATTGTACTGTCGCGAAAGTTGCAGTACGAAAACCGACATACGCGGGCCGCTCACGCAATCTGGACCAGCGGCGTAAAGCCTGCATGATGAATCGGCCATTGGCTTTACCCCAAGCTGTACTACCTCTACCTCATCCGTGAAGACCGTTTCATCGTACCGGGAAAGTCGCGATGTTATGGGCTGAGTAACTCGCCGTGGGCACTCTTCAGTTCTCCATTGGTAACCGTCAACTACTCGGTCGCTCATAGTTTCTGTTCTCATGTTTTCGCCAAAACGAGAGGATCATCGCTGCATGGTGAGCTCAGCATGATCTGTGGGGCGACTTGTTATTGGCGTCACGCTAATGCACGATCATCCGTCGTGTACCTCCTGCAGCATCGCCCCCACGTCAGATCATCATGCAATTCAGTGGTCCACAACCGCGGACGCACACCTGTCTACATGCTGCCTGTACTCACAACGTGGCGTCCATGCGATTCTGGCCGGCCCGCTGAACAATCTTCTCGATCGTTGCGGGTCGATGCGCCCTTGAGACTATTGGTCACTCGACAGACTGCCATACTAACAATTGAAGAAACGTCTCAATCAGGTAATTGAATTGCTCCATGTCAGCCGCGAGCCATCTTGCGCCAACCGGTGGCAGCTGTGAGCAACACTTTCAATGATCAATGGTCATTGGTCGAGATGCATACTGTTGCTCATGGGAGATGATGGTCGCATCATGCAGTCGTTACGAGAGTCAATATGAAATGAACTATATGGATTCCGCAGCACCATTCTTTTCCCTCTCTTCTTCTTCAACGAGTTAAAGGCGCAGAACACTATTAGATTCTCCCTCAGGGTGTCTCGTGCTTTGGCCATCTTGACGCAACCGTACATCGCCGTTCGTGAACTCTGATCGAACCCTTCCTGCTTGTCGAGGCAGCATTGTCCAATCTTTCTGTATACTCCTGATTCCAACCAAATCAAAAAACTAATTTTCTTCATTATGGGTGACTACGGCGAGAACACGCCCGCCGGTCCTGACGCTGTTCAGTCGACCTTTGCGCAAAAAGCAGGTGCGTCCTTATTTCCGTTTTTGACTGACGGTGTTCTTTTAGATGAGACCAAACACGCCGACCAGCGATCGGCGAGCAATTTCGAGCAGACCAAAATTATTCTCAATCTGCGACCCGAGACCTCGATGGCGAATCTCACAGCCTTTTGTGCGCGCCACCAGTGCACATTACTCGGCTTATTGAACGTGGCGTGGGCCCTGGTACTCTCCGCTTACACGGACAGCGAGCTCGCGCAGGTTTTGTTTCTACGCTACAAGAATGGGATACCTTACACTGGCCTGTCAGAGATCGCGATCGATGACGGAGTGACGGTCGAGCAAGCACTGGCACTGGTCGAGCAGCACTTAGCTAAGGGCATGCCTGTTCCTTCAGAGACCAGTGTCACTGACCTGCAAAACTGGACCGCGGCCGATGGGCACCAAATATTCAACAGCGTGGTCGTCTTTTCAGACAGCACCACGCTTGAGAGAACAGAGGTGCGAGAAACAATATGGTTGGAAAGTGAGACTTTGATGGAGTGGCTATTAATGTGATTGAGAACCAGGCTGGCGATTACATCTCTATACACGCCAGAGCGACGGGTGATCGACTTGTCATTAGCGTCCAAGCCCCGAATCATTTACTTCCCATGCGACAGGCTCAGAACTGCGCTGCCACATTGAGCCACGTTCTTGGCGAGATCGTGCAAAATTCCGATCTCTCCATGACCGAGATCAACCTCATGAGCCCTCAAGGGCTGGACCAGATTTCGAAATGGAATCACATTCCGCCGGCCGTGGTCTCTCGTTGCGTCCATGAACTAGTTGACGAGGTCGCGAAAACTCAGTCTCATACGATTGCCATCGATGGAGCCGATGGCGCTATGTCGTACGGCGAGCTTCAGTCGTATTCCAACCGCCTCGCACACTACCTCAAGGAGCGGGGCGTTGGCCCCGAGTTCACAGTCCCTCTCTTTTTTGAGAAGTCCAAATGGGCGATTGTGGCTATGCTGGGAGTGGTGAAGGCCGGCGGAACCATTGTCAATTTGGATTCCAAACAGCCAAAGGAGCGTCTACGGGGATTGCTTGCTCAGCTCCAAGCCACTCTCGTGTTGACCTCTGTACAGAATGGCGGTCTCTGGACCGATGAGCTCTCTGTTCTGGTCATTTCAGAAGGATTTCTGAATAAGCTCCCAGCGATGACACAGGAACCATCTGTCGCGGTCACGCCACGTAATTCCCTATACATCATTTTCACATCAGGAAGCACAGGCACGCCCAAGGGCTGTGTGGTGGAGCATGAATCGTTCCTGACAGCGGCTGCGGAACACGTCAAGGCTGGAAAAATTCTTCCATCAAGCAGAGTTCTGCAGATGACTCCGTATACGTTCGACGTCAGCATGCTGGAGATTTTCACCACCCTTACAACTGGAGCCTGCATTTGCTTCTGCAACGATAGTGAGGCTGCTCGTGGTGTTGCTCATATCATTAACCATCTCCAAATCTCTTGGACTTTCATGACCCCTTCTCTTGTGCGCTTGGTCGATCCGTCTTCCGTTCCAACTTTGAAGACTCTTGCCCTCGGTGGTGAGGGCCTTGCCCGAATTGATGTGACCACCTGGGCTGAAAGGTTACACTTGATCAACGGTATGTTCAATTATCCTACCTTTTGTGTGCTCTTCATTCGCTGATTATTGATGCTTCCGAACTCAAGGCTACGGACCCAGCGAGTGTTCAGTGGCAGCCACAATTCATGGACCTTTGTCTCTTAACTCGGATCCTGCCAACATTGGTCTTGGAACCGGCGCTGTATGCTGGGTGGTTGATCGCAACGACCACGATCGACTTGTTCCTATCGGAGCCGTTGGTGAGCTTGTCATCCAAGGTCCAATTGTCGCCCGTGGCTACCTCAATGAGCCTGGGAAAACTGCGGCCGTGTTTCTTGAAAATTTACCTGCCTTCGCAGCCTCGATGCCGCGACCACCACCGGCCTTCCGCCTCTACAAGACCGGGGATCTTGTTCGCCAGAACAGCGATGGTACACTTACATTCATCGGGCGCAAGGATCGTCAGGTCAAGCTGAATGGACAGCGGCTGGAACTGGGCGAAATCGAGCAGAGGTTGTCGGAGAACTCATTGATCCGACATGCTTTGGTTCTATTACCCAAGCAAGGTCCTTGCAAGGGGCGGCTCGTGGCAGTTTTGTCGTTGCAGGACTACTTGTACACCGGTGAGCCTGACGCCAACATTCACGAACTCCCCGCGGAGGAATACCAACCTGCACGAGCTCTTCTTCCTGCTATCGGTGCTCAATTGGCCACACAGGTTCCTGGGTACATGGTCCCAACTTTTTGGGTCATCCTAGCAGCGCTCCCTTTTACTACATCTGGGAAAGTGCACGGTGTTGCTATGACACAGTGGCTTCATGCGATGTCTGAAGAAACTTACAACGAGATTGCAGACGTCAGCGACGAAGCGCCTGCGGTCACGTTGTCAAGTAAAGCTGAGTTGCAGCTGCAACAGATTCTAGCACAGGAGATGGGGATCGCAGTCGAGGATTTGAAAATGAATCGCTCCTTCATCGCTCTTGGAGGAGATTCACTGAAAGCAATGAAAATTGTCGCTCGCTACAGGCAGCAGGAACTGAAGATCTCTGTTGCAGACGTTCTTCGCGCTCCCAGTCTCATTGGACTTGCCGAGCGCGTTGAGCAAGCTTCTTTCGAATCTAACCGCCCTGAGGGTGAAAAAGACCAAAAGAAGAAACGCGCATCGCCGGAGGAACGTGTCGCGGCGCTTGATGAGGCTCTTATCACAACAACCGGCCTTGCGAGAGATCAGGTCGAGGACGCCTACAGGTGCACGCCTATGCAAGACGGCATCCTGCTCAGTCAAGTCAAGTTCCCGGGAACCTACGAGATTCGTCGTGTATTGCACGTGCAATCAACTCGCGATGCAGAGACCACGACATCCCGCTTGAAGGCCGGGTGGCAGACAGTTGTCAACCGGCATCAAGCACTGCGGACTGTCTTCGTTGAAGTGGCTGGCCAATTCCAACAACTGGTCCTCAAGAATGTCTCCGCATACGTTCAAATCTGCGAGTGCTTGGAGTTAAAGGATCACTCTGCCATTGCAGCCCACCTCCAATCTTTGCCGCCACCCACTTTCGAGTCTTCCCAGCCACAGCACCGCCTGACCATCTGCCGCGCAGGAAACGACGAAATCTTTTTGAAATTTGAGATCAGTCATGCACTGATCGATGGCGGTTCCACCGAAGTGATCTTGCGTGAACTTTCCACTGCCTTTGAAGAACAAACCTTCGCAGGGGAACCTGCCCGCTTCAGCGACTACATGCAATTCATTTCCGCATCACAAGCCGCTGAGACCTCCATGAACTACTGGGCTGAGTATCTCAATGGCATGCAACCAACAATTGTGCCAATGTATCCCATGGAGAATCGGGAAAAGCGAAGTCGCTCTGTCCCGGTACCTTTTACGGACACAGCAGCGCTGATTGAATTCTCGGAGACACATGGTGTCACGCTTGCCAACGTTCTTCAGACTGCTTGGGCACTGGTCCTTCGCACTTACACAGATACTAATGATGTTTGTTTCGGCTACGTCGCGGCTGGCCGTGATGTACCTGTTGAAGGAATTGACCAGGCCGTTGGTGCTTTCATCAATATGCTTGTATGCCGCGTGCGTTTCGAAGAAAGCCCTACTGGCCTTGATGCCGTTCTCGGTATGCAGAACCAGTACTTTGATGCTCTGCCACATCAGCACACTTCCCTCGCTCAGATCCAGCATCGATTGGATTTGTCAGGAATGCCGCTGTTCAACAGTATTATCTCTGTGCAGAAGGACGTGTCGGACCAACCATACGGCGACTCACTTGCTTTCAAGCCCGTCGAGGAAGACGACCCCACAGACGTGAGTGATTGACTTTTCCACTGCCTTGTATTTACTCATGTCTAACAACCGGCTGCAGTTTGATCTTGGTGTTGCAATTCACGTCGGCAAAGACAGCGTCAGAATTGACATTGGATACTGGTCATCGCTTCTCACGGAAGGAGATGCATCGAATCTTGCGAACACATACAGCAGTGCGATCTCTCGTATCATCAAAGAGTTTTCTGCCCCTGTTGTTTCGCTTGATCTATTCAGCGAGCACGACCGAACTCAGATTCTGGCATGGAATCAGGACGAGCCGAAAGCCAAGCCTGGAGTTGTCCACGACTACATCTATGCCAAGGCACGCCAGCAACCCGAAGCCCAGGCTGTCTGTGCGTGGGACGGACAGTACACTTACAAAGAGCTCGATCACTTGTCAGAGAAATTGGCACATCACTTGGCCGAGCTTGGTGCTGGACCTGAGGTCCTTATTCCCCATTGCTTCCCAAAATCAAAACTGGCAGCCGTTGTCATGCTTGCCATAATGAAGTCTGGCAGTGCGGGAGTCGGCCTGAGCTCCAGTCATCCACGCACGCGAGTTCAAGATATCGTCGAGAACTGTGCGGCAAAAATCTCAGTTGTGTCAGCGCAAAATGTATCTTTTGTGGATGGTCTTGTCGACCGGGTTGTTGTTGTGGATGAGGAGTTCCTTGAGAATCTACCCGCGCCAACCTCGGACACTCCACTGCCCCGTGCTGAGCCCCATAATCCTGCCTTTGTTTCATTCACATCAGGAAGTACTGGCAAGCCCAAGGGTATTGTGCTTGAACACCGATCCTTGATCACCAGTATCCTTGCCCACGGGCCAGAGTGGGGAGTGGATAACACAGCCCGAGTGCTCCAATTCTCAGCTTATGCTTTCGATGCAAGTGTGTCGGACACATTCACTACGCTTGTTGGGGGTGGAACAGTCTGCATACCTCACGAGAAAGACCGCGTTGACGACCTTGTCGGTGCCATTCACCGATTGAATGTCAATTGGGCATTCTTGACCCCGCGTGTGCTAAGTCTTCTTACTCCTGAGCTTGTACCAACCTTGAAGACAGTCGTCCTCGGAGGTGAAGCCATCTCCAAAGAAGATATTGCCCGCTGGACGGACACCACCTGCATTCGAGTCGTCTACGGTCCGACCGAGTGTACCATCTACAGCATGGGTACAATGCCACTTGATGCTCGAAGCGATCCTTTGTGTCTCGGTCACGCTGTTGGCACTCGTCTATGGGTCACACATCCCGATGACGTTAATAAGCTCATGCCTGTGGGGTGTGCCGGTGAGCTGATAATCGAAGGTCCATTAGTCACTCGAGGTTATCTTAATGAGCCAGTCAAGACAGCGGCAGCTTACTTTGAAGATCCTGTGTGGCTTCCCAGAGAGGAGAACGGCGAACCTAGACGCTTCTACAAGACCAGTGACTTGGTGCGATACTATCCTGACGGCCAACTGAGATTCATCGGACGCAAGGATACTCAAATCAAGATTCGCGGTCAGCGAGTTGAACTTGGTGAAATCGAGCACGCAATTCTTGAGAGCCTGCCAAGTGCTTCGCACATCACCGTTGATTCGGTTGTGCTGCCACCTCAAACTCTCGTCGCTTTCTTATATGTCGAAGGCTTGCCGAACGATGAAGGCTCGCTCTTTTTGACGCTCGATTCTGAAATGACCGAGAAGCTGCGCACATTGGAGAGAAGCTTAGTGGAAAAACTCCCTAGCTATATGGTTCCAAGTTTATTCATTCCCATTTCTCATATTCCCATGACCATTTCCGGCAAGGTTGACCGAATCACGTTGCGCAGGGTTGTTCTGTCTTTGACCGAGCGCCAGCTCAAGATGTACGCATTGGCAGAGGAGGTGAAAGAAGCCCCACAGGGAGAACAAGAGCATCGCCTTCGGGACCTCTGGGCTTCGGTGCTCAGGAAGGAGGCCAGTGCCATTGGACGCCAGGATAGCTTCTTCCGCCTCGGAGGAGATTCCATTGGGGCAATGAAGCTGGTAGCAGCTGCACGACGGGCGGGCTACTCTCTAAGTGTCGCTGACATCTTCCGCCGTCCCGAGCTGACAGAGATGGCTCAGCGCCTTGATATCACTGATGGAGCCAAGGCTGCTGCCTATGCGCCCTTCTCGTTACTTCCCGCAGAACAAACTCAGCGCAAAGCTATTCTCAGCGAAACCGCGAAGCAGTGCATTGTCTCCGAAGATGCGATCCAGGATGTCTATTATGCAACCCCCCTCCAAGAAGGTGTCTTCCTGATGTCGACGACACATGACGGTGCATATGTTGCACCCACCGCATTTAATCTGCCCTCTACATTCAACGTTGAGCGATTCCAGCACAGCTGGCAGGAGCTGGTCAACGCACACCCAATCCTGCGCACACGAATTGTCACCTTCGATGCCGTCTCTTACCAAGTTGTTCTGACAGCCAACGCCTCCTCTATTTACTGGGAAACTGCAGACTCACTCAGCGAGTACGTCGATCGTACTCGGGCTGCCCCGGTAGCTGCCGGCAGGCCTCTCTCAAGATTTGCATTGATCCCAAACGAACAATCCACTGTATTTGTTTGGACAGCCCATCATGCCCTGTTTGACGGATGGTCCATGGGCCTTCTTTTCGATCAGCTTGCGCAACTCTACAAAAATGGTACCAGTCCCACAAAGGCAACGTCTTTTGCTGAATTTGTGCAATTCACGAGACAAATTGATCAAAAGGCATCTCAGAGTTTCTGGGCAGCGCATTGCCCGCAAGAGCCACCAGCAGTTTTCCCCCGTCTACCCTCGGCAGCATATCATCCAACCGCCAACACCTCTTGCTACCGCACTATTTCTGTCAGTATTCCAAAAGAATCCGACTTCACTATGGCAATTGTTCTTCGAGCTGCTTGGGCAATCGTACTTGCTCGCTACACAGATGCCGAGGATATCTTATACGGATTGACCCTCTCTGGGCGCGACTTGCCAGTCTTGGGAATCGACAAAGTGATGGGACCGACGATCACAACGGTACCCATGAACGTCCATCTCGATGGAGGGATGTCCATACGAGAATTCCTACAACGACAGAATGATGAGAATGTTGAGATGATGCGTCACCAACATATGGGACTGCAAGCTATTCGGCGTATCAGTCAGAAGGCCGCAGCTGCGACAGAGTTTACCAACTTGTTTGTGGTGCAGCCTCAATCGACTCAGCTCGGCGGTCTCACGGAGCTGGCTCAGATCCCCACCGACATGACGCGCTTTGACCCGTACGCGCTTATAGTTGAGTGCAATCTCGGCGAAGGTGAGATTGTTTTGGAAGCTCGCTTTGACAATGCGATTCTGAGCATGGACCAAACAATGCACCTGCTCGGCCACTTCGAGCATGTTCTGAAACAACTTGCAAATCCTCAACTTGGGCGCCGAATTGAAGATATTGATGCGTTCAGTCCGGAGGATGAGCGGCAGATATGGGAATGGAACGCCTTGGAGGCAGAGTCGGAAAACCAATGCGTTCATGAGTTAATTGCTACCCAGGCCCGTCAAAATCCGCACGATTTGGCCATTGATGCATGGGATGGATCCTTCACGTATGAGGAGCTTGATGATCTATCCACCAGACTAGCCCATCACCTGATTGCCAATATTGGTCTCACCCCAGAGTCTCTGGTTCCCCTGTGCTTTGACAAGTCGCGCTGGACAATCGTTGCCATGCTCGCTGTTGTGAAAAGTGGCGGTGGCTGTGTGATGCTCAATCCCGACCACCCCATCACTCGCCTAGCAGGTGTGATAGCCGACACAGGCTCGTCTGTGGTGCTCGCCTCTCCAGAAAGAGTTGAGCTGTTCAATTCTGTTGCAGCCAATAAAGTTGTGATCAGCGAGGCCCTAGTCAACAGTCTTGAACAGCCGGCTCAATCCTGCATCACCTTGCCAACAATTCATCATACGAATCCGGTATTCGTGATCTTTACCTCGGGTAGCAGTGGTAAGCCAAAGGGTATCGTCGTGCAGCATAATAGCGTCTGCACGGTCGCTATCCAGCACGGGTCCGGACTCGGATTCGAGGGACCGGGACTTCGCGTGTTACAATTTGCTTCATTCAGTTTCGATGTCAGCATGGGAGAGGTTTTCATCACACTGGCCAAAGGTGGTACTTTGTGCATTCCTACTGAGCATGATCGTCTGAATAATCTGGCAACAACTATCAATCGGATGCAGATCACATGGACCTTCATGGCTCCCACTGTCGCAGCTCTACTCGATCCGCGCGATGTTCCGAACCTGAAGACTCTCGTCTTGGGTGGTGAGGCTGTCTCGCAGAGTCTTGTTGATCAATGGTCTAACAGTGTCAACCTCATTGACTCTTATGGTCCGGCAGAGTGCACTATCTGGGCTTCTCACGCTATCGCCAGCTCAACAGTATCTCCAGCAAACATTGGGCATGGAGTGGGCTGCCGGTATTGGATCGTTGATCCTCAGGATTACAACCGACTCACTCCCATCGGCTGTGTGGGTGAGCTCCTCATCGAAGGCCCGAATGTCTCTCGTGGCTACTTGAATGAGCCAGAGAAGACGAAAGCCGTCTTTGTGGAGAATCCCAGATGGTGTCAAGGAAAGAGAAAGTCGCCCTACAGATTCTACTGTACTGGTGATTTGGTCAAATATAACTCCGATGGGTCTCTCAACATCGCTGGTCGCAAGGACAGTCAAGTCAAGTTCAACGGCCAGCGAATTGAACTCAGCGAAATCGAGTTCCACTTGCGTGCTCACTCAGAAATCGAGGCAGGTATGGTTGTTCTGCCAAAAGAGGGGCCATGCAAAGGCAAGCTCGTCGCTGTAGTCGCTCTCACAGGCCTGCAGCCCGCTGCGCTTGAAGGAGACCACATTGAACTCGTTCCCAGTGCACAGAAGAATGACGCGCAGCATCGGGTCCGACAGGTACAGGGCAGGCTTGGTGAGATTCTTCCGCTTTACATGGTTCCTTCAATATGGGTTACTCTGCACTCCATTCCTCTGACTGCGTCTCGCAAAATCAATCGACTGCCAATTTCCCGCTGGGTGCAGAGGATGTCCGACGAAGTCTACCGTGACGTGGTTGATGTCACCGTCGCAACTACACATCAACCCACTACTCAGCTTGAGAAACAACTTGCCCATGTTTGGAGCCACGTTCTCAATTTGTCGGTGGACGCCATCGGCTTAGATAGGTCTTTTTTGAGCCTGGGTGGGGATTCAATCACCGCCATGCAGGTCGTCTCACGTTGTCGATCCTTGGATATACAAGTCAGTGTCCAGGACATCCTCCAACCTAAATCATTGGCTGGAGTTGTCGCTCGCGCTTTGGCCACAAAACCTAACGCTGTTCACCGGGAAGAACAGTACGACGTTCCTTTTGAACTGTCACCAATTCAGCAGCTCTATTTCGACGATGTGGTACGCGGCAATGGTGAAGACATGCACCACTACAACCAAAGCGTCTTACTGCGCATTCTGCGTCCAGTCACGTCAGTCCAACTGTCTGAAGCAATTGAGCGTGTGGTAGCAAACAACGCCATGCTGCGTGCTCGCTTCCACAAAGAAGTTGACGGTTCCTGGACCCAAGTGGTAAAGCAGTCTCTTCAAGGGCTGGCTTCCGTCGCTTCACACATCGTCCAGAACCGCGCCGAGGTCTTTGACATTGTGAATGCTGCCCAGCGAAGTCTCGACATTGAGAGTGGTCCGGTATTTGCTGCTCAGTATTTTGAAGTTCTGGATGATGATCTTCGCCTGCTTTCATTGATTGCTCATCACTTGGTCATTGATGCTGTGTCGTGGCATATCATCATCACCCAATTGGAGCAGGTCCTGGAGTCGCCGAAAATCCAGCTCAGTCAAAGCCGCATGCCCTTCCAAAGTTGGATCAAAGAGCAGCGAGGGTTTGCCAAGAATCTCCTTGAGACTCAGATTCAACATGGCTATTTTCCGGCTGCGAATCTTGAGTACTGGGGGCTTACGGAGCTTCCTCTCTGGGGTGATGGCGAAGAGATCGCATTCACACTCAATCAGCAAAGTACTGCTCTTCTGCTCAAAGACGCAAACGATCCATTGCGCACGGAGCCAGTGGACATTTTGCTTGCGGCTCTTCAATTGTCATTTGCAGAATCTTTCTCCGATCGTGAGATGCCCGCATTCTTTGTTGAGGGACACGGTCGCGAACCCTGGGAGTCTTCGATTGACCTTTCCGAAACAATTGGATGGTTTACCACATTCCATCCGGTTCACTGCCGAGTGAGAAAGAATGAGTCTGTGAAAACAACCATCAAGCGTACCAAGGATGCTCGCCAGTCATGGAGCGACAATGGTTTTGCGTACTTTGCTCAACGGCATTTCAATGCTGAGACACGGGAAAAGGTCAAACATCATCGCAACATGGAAATTTGCTTCAACTACTTGGGTCAGTCTCAGCATGCCGAGCGCGAGGATGCTATTCTTCAAGAAGAGGCACTTCATTCAGGAGAGGTCCTGGATAACCTCGGCGATTCTATGGGCCGCCTCGCTGTGTTTGATATCGTCGCTGCGGTCTCTCACGGACGGCTTGAAGTTTCTTTCTTCTTCCAACGAGAAATTCATCGACAAGACAAGATTCGCCAATGGGTTCAGCGCTGCCAGGAGACTCTTCAATTGGCAGTCAATGAGCTTTATGTCAGCGGAACAGAGTTCTGCCTTAGTGACTTCCCGCTGCTTGAGATCACCTACCAGGACCTGGCCACCCTTACCACTGCGGTTTTGCCTAGCATCGGTGTCTCACCTGATGTTATCGAAGATCTCTATCCTTGCTCGCCCATTCAGGAAGGTATCCTGATTAGCCAGGCCCGACAGCCAGGCACTTATGAAGTTCGGCAACTCTTTAAGGTTGTTCCGCGTCAAGATCAACCCATCGTGGACGTGTCTCGCTTGGTGGCCGCGTGGCAGCGAACAGTGGACCGTCATGCTTTGCTTCGCACAGTCTTCATCGAGGCAATCAACGGATCTGGTGTCTATAATCAATTGGTCTTGCGCTCACATCAAGCAAATGTCAGACGATTAAATTTGAAGGATGACAGTGGAGACGACAGTGTCGCTACATTTGTCACCAGCCAAGGGGGCCCTGACTATCGTCAGCCGGTTCCTGCACACCGGATGACTGTGTGCGAAGCGTCAAACTCGATTTATTGCCAGTTGGAAGTCAGCCATGCACTCATTGACGGCACGTCGATGGCACTTCTTGTCCGCGATCTCGTAGCTGCTTACGAGGGTTTGCTTCCGACGACTCCAGGTCCACTCTATAGCACTTACATGAACTACCTATCGCAACAGTCCGATGCAGACGCCCTTTCATATTGGTGTTCCCAGCTAATAGGCGTCGAGGCTTGCCGTTTCCCCTCTCTGAATTTGAAGTCTTTGTCTGCTACGGGTTTCCAGTCAAAGACTATCGAAATCGACTCAGCTGGAGAGCTCAAGAGGTTCTGTGAAGCCAATAATTTAACCATGAGTAACCTTTTCCAGGTCGGGTGGGGTCTAGTTCTACGTGCTTACACGGGGAGTTCAGACGTCTGCTTTGGATACATGGCCGCAGGGCGTGAAATCCCTGTCGAGGACATTTACGATGCCATCGGACCATTCATTAACCTTTTGGTCTGTCGGATGCGACTTGACGATGCACAGTCAGCTCTTCAAGTTCTACAGGCAGTACAGTCGGACTATCTCAACAGTCTTCCGCATCAACACGTGTCCCTTGCCGCAATTCAGCATTCGCTCGGACAAAGTGATGCGGCGCTCTTCAACACCATCATGTCTCTTCAGCGCAAGCCCTCGCCAGGTGTCCCTCCGAAGATCGACCTTGAAATTGTCACCGAGAACGATCCCACAGAAGTAAAACCCCTATTTTTCCCCTTCTGTTGCGCTCCCCTGTTGTGCCATTTGAAGATGCGTTGCTGACTTGTACAATAGTACGATGTCGACCTCAATATCACGACTGGAGATGACTCAGGCGTTGAAATTCACATCACTTACAAAACCTCCGTCCTGGCTGATGACCAAGCGGATAGCTTGTTGCGAAACTTTACTAGCATTCTTTTCGCACTTGCCACTCGCGCTGATAAGCCTCTTGCGCAGCTGGACTTGGCCGAAGCGGCCATGGGACTTAATGCTCAGACTGTATCTCGCGATGACCCTGTAATGACCGAAGCTTCTATCCCTGCCCTGATTGATGAAAAGACACACTCGATTCCAACAGCAGTGGCTATACAGTCCATGGGTGATGATACTCTACTCACGTACCATGAACTTGATAGCTTGACTCACTCGCTCGCGAGCTATCTGTTGCATTTGGGGGTTCACCCAGGTGACAAGGTGCTCCTCAAATTTTCTCGTTCAAAATGGGCTCTGATCGGTATGCTGTCTGTGCTGAAGATTGGCGCCATCTCGTTAGCATTCACTTCTCTTCATGATCTGGAGCGACTGCAAGAGATTCTTTCACCACAAGCACCCATGCTTGTTCTCTCCAACGAGGAGCTTCCTGCAGAATTTGGCAACGCTTGCCTCACCAATGTGATTCTGGATGCGGCTTCGATGTCTAAGATTGATAGCCTTGCTCTGCCGCAGAAGTTCCCGCTCAGTCCTTCTCCAACTGAAGTGTCCCTGGCAGTGAAGGATGGCAATGATTGGGCTCTCCTGGCTCACCAAACCATCACCACCACGGCGAAGCACCTTGGATCAAAAGCCGGGTTATGTTCTGGGACCCGAGTCTTGCAGCTCAGCGCCGTCGATTCACCCCTCTACTTGGTGGAAACGCTGTTCACTCTCATTTGTGGTGGCACAATCATTGTGCCTCCTCCTGGTTCGGACGTTGAACAATCTATCTGTCAATCTCGGGCCAACTGGGCTATGTTAAGTCAAGACGAGGCCACGCTAGTTAGCGTCTCTCAGGCCCCAGATTTGCGAACACTGGTGCTTACCGGCAGCGACATCCCCACCTCCCTACTGAAGAAGTGGCAGGATGTCAATTTGGTGCACCCTCACCAACTTCAACGGATTCCCGTTTGGATTTCCTTGATGGCTGCGCCTGCTGGCCAGAACACCCTGCAGACTTGCTCTTCGCCGGCAATTTCTCGAGCCTGGGTGCGATCTCCTTTCAGTCAGAATTCACTCGCGCCTTCAGAATGCAAGGGCGAGGTTCTGATCGACGGCCCAGTCGTTCCACGATCCTATATGCAAGGCGGCTCAGTACATCTTCTGGAGAACCCTTCATGGCTGCCGAGCGCTGTGCTAGTTCGGACAGGTGTCTGGGGTCGCTGGAACGGCGACGGAATCGAACTCGATGACAGTTCGCTCTCGTCTGACAATGGCGGAGACGCAAACTTGAGGAGGCTGCAAGAGTTGATGCAAAGTACTCTGCGGCCCACTGAGCAAGCGATAATCAGTTCGATTACCGTTGATTCCCAGAGTCATCGAGCCATTTACTTCGCCAGCTCGCATCGTCCGGATCAGACTGTGGAACTGCTGCCCTTGACTGATGCCTTGCGACAACGCTTCTCTCAAATTCGACTCTCATTGCACTCACAAATGCCGGAAGACTTGACGCCGAGTTTCTTCATCCCGGTCACTGCGATGCCTCTTTCTGAGGGGCGTCAATTCAACAGGTCTCTGCTTAACCGAATGGTGTCGCAATTAGGCAGTGAGAACTTGACCTCCTACCAAGTGCAGTCGCAAAATGCGACCGTGCGCCTCACATCAAATGAAAGTCTCGTTGCTGATCTTTGGTCGAGCGTCCTGCATCTCCCTGACAGAACGAAGCTTGATCCAAGCGAGAGTTTCTTCCGCCTTGGGGGAGACTCGATTGGCGCAATGCGAATTATTGCAGAGGCGCGCAGTCAGGGTCTGGTTCTGACCATGAACGGCATTTTCCAACAACCGACGCTTGCCGGTATGGCAAAGGAGATCAGACTTCTTGCTCCGCATGAGGATAGGCCAGTTGAGTCATTTTCGCTACTACCGCCCGTCGTAGACTCCGAGATCTTGCTGTCCGAGGCTGCTGACAAGTGCTGCGTTGATCCCTCGGTCATTGAGGATCTCTACCCCTGTACTCCACTCCAAGAAGGCTTCATGGTCCTCAACAGTCAGGACTCTGCGGCATATCATGTGCAAGAGATTTTCAACATGCCTGACTCGGTGGATATCGCGCGGTTCCGTGCAGCATGGGTCGCTGTTTTGTCTCGGAGTACCATTCTGCGCACTCGAATCATCTCTACTGTCGACGGGTTCTTCCAGGTTCTGCTCAGGGAATCCGTGCGTTGGGAGTCTGGTTCCGATCTCGAAACGTACCTGCGAGAAGACATGATGAAGCCCATGACCTATGGCCAGCCACTGTCCCGTTTTGCGATTTTGGATACTCCGGGCCAACGCTACTTTGTTTGGACCGCGCATCACGCCGTTTATGATGGCCTCACCTTGGCCACCTTGGCAAAGCAAGTTTCCGCAGAATACAACCGAGAGATGGCACTCCCTGAGATTCCGTATAACCGATTCATTGACTACATTCAGGGTGTCAGTCCCGCAGCTGCTACTGAATTCTGGACTGCACAGTGTGCTGTTCATGCGACATCCTTCCCTACACTACCTGCCCGTCATCACCAGCCTTTCCCTGACCATTTCATGTCCTACTCCATCCCGGTCAAAGCGAAGCCGTCCACCATCACACTCTCAACAGTACTGCGGGCCGCGTGGGCCATGGTTCTTGCCCAGCTGACAGACTCCGAGCATGTCAACTTTGGAGTCACTCTGTCCGGACGAAACGCCTCGATGGTTGGTATCAATCAGGTACTTGGCCCTACCATTGCTACCGTTCCGATTCAGGTCAATGTTCCGCACTCCGTCTCTCCTCAGCAATTCCTGCATGCCGTTCACAAGCAAGCCATTGAGATGATACCCTTCGAGCACACTGGTCTGCAAAATATTCGAAGAATGGGAGAGCAGTGCCGCGAAGCGGTCAGCTTCCAGAATCTGCTAATCATTCAGCCGGGCACCTCGCCTGTTGATGATAGCGACTTTTTGGGCTTGACTCCAGTGCCACAGAAGGGTGACCAACGTGACCCATACCCTTTGACCATGGAGTGTAACCTGCTGGCAGATCGTGTCGAGGTCAAAGCTCAATTTGACCGTCGTTCAATTCCTTCAAACGAGATGTCGCGCATTTTGAAACAATACGCACGCACTGTTGAACGCCTCCAGAATGTCGAGGAGACTGCGTCTCAGGACGGTGACGAAGAAATTCTTCATGCGTCAAGCGGCCTCAGTGATGAGGATGTTGAGCAAATTCTGGAATGGAACTCCGATCGCCCTGTGTTGATTGAGAAATGCATTCATGAAATGTTTGAGGAGCAGGCGCGCCTGCATCCTGGCACTCCAGCCGTCTCGTCTTACGACGTGGAGTTGACCTACGGGGAGCTGAGTGACCTCATTACTCGTTTGGCCGCCCAACTCCAGGATCTCGGCATCAAACCGGAAATGAAGATCCCCCTCTGCTTCAGAAAATCCTCATGGACTATCGTGGCTATGTTCGCGGTCTTCAAAGTCGGAGGTGTCTCATGCATGTTGAATCCCGAACATCCCAGCAGCCGTATTCAGCTTCTTCTTCAAGACTTGGAAGCCGAATTTGCATTGTGCGACGAGGACTCTCTTCCAATGATCTCCTCATTGCTTCCACCATCAAGTGTTCTCTCTGTTGATGGGACGTATCTCGATTCACTTCCCTCGGCGCCGGCGCTTTCTTCCCAAGTTCGCCCTGAGAACGCGGCGCTTGTGGTGTACACATCTGGAAGTACAGGCAAGCCCAAGGGAAGTATTCTTGAACATCGTTCCCTGGTCACCGGTCTCATGGCTCATTGCACTGCCATGGGCATGGGTCCAGATTCTCGTGTCTTCCAGTTTGCTGCCTATACGTTCGATGTCTGCTTCGAGGAGATTTTCGGTGCTTTGATGCTTGGTGGATGCATCTGTGTGCCAAGCGACGATGAGCGAATGAACAGCCTTGCCGATTCGATGGCAAGATACAAAGTCACATGGACAGAACTCACTCCCACTGTCGCAAGCTTGCTTCTTCCGAGCAGCATTCCGTCGCTGAAGAGCCTTGCCCTTAGCGGAGAATCAGTCACCAAAGAAGTTGTTCAGCGATGGGGGGATTCTGTTCAACTCATCAACACGTATGGACCTAGCGAATGTTGCGTGTCGAGTACCTGCAATGCTGAGACTGCGATTGTTCGTGATCCAAGCAACATTGGACGTGGACTTGGCTGCACGACGTGGATCGTTAATCCCGACGATGTCAATATTCTAGCTCCAATCGGCGCTACCGGTGAGTTGCTCATCGAGGGCCCTATTGTTGCTCGAGGCTACTTGAACGAGCCTGAAAAGACTGCTGCTGCCTTTATATCCGCCCCTGCATGGTGGCCCCAGACTTGGTCTTGCGGGCGAATCTATCGTACCGGAGATCTCGTCAAGTACAATGCAGATGGTACGATCCAATTCATTGGACGCAGAGACACGCAAGTCAAACTACACGGCCAGCGTATTGAGCTGGGTGAAATTGAGCATCGCATTCGTGGCGCCTTCATAGATCCCTCTCACCAAGTTGCTGTTGAGGTTCTCTCTCCAAAAACTCGCGGCGGTATCAAGATCCTGACAGCATTCATCTGCGAGAGCAGTCAAGTATCTGAAGAAACCGAGCAACTTCTACTGCAGCTGAGTGGTGACATGTCTCACCGATTCCTCGAGCTACAGGCCCGCCTGGTGGGTGAGCTACCTCGCCATATGATTCCGCAGCTCTACATTCCCATCAAGCATATGCCGCTGTCTCCGTCTCGCAAAATTGAAAGGAAGGTCTTGCGGTCTCTGGGCAATGACCTTCAATCGGAGGAGCTTTCTGCATATGCCCTGACGCAAACAGCGAGGTCTGCCCCGAGCACGTCTACTGAAAAGGCCCTGTTCGGGATCTGGGCTGAGGTTCTTGGAACTAGCCCAACTGGAACTGAAGATCATTTCTTCCACTTGGGTGGAGATTCAATTGCCGCAATGAAAGCCGTCGCGGCCGCGAGTAAGATCGGTATTTCGTTGAGCGTTGCTGAGATCATGCAGTTCCCTACTCTACGAGCCATGTCTGCTGCTATTGACTTAGCCAGTGAGAATAGCGACACGGACTCTGAAGTGCTTGAGCCTTTCTGTCTGATTCCCGCTCCTAGCGTATCCGATGTCATTGAGGAAGCCATAGCACAGTGTGGCGTTGAAGAAGAGGTCATTGAGGACATCTATCCATGTACCCCTTCGCAGGAGGCTCTCATGGCTCTCACCGCGCGGGACGAGGCGGCGTATGTGTCGCGTGCGGTGTATCGACTGCCGCAAGACGTGGACGTTGATCGTTATCGTGCTGCGTGGGAAATGGTCGCGCAGCGTCAGTCAATCATGCGCACTCGTATCATCTACTCCAGTGCTGCTGCAAGATCCTTCCAAGTGGTGGTGCAAGGAAATCTCATCTGGCACACCAACGAGACAGTTTCGGCCTATCTCGCCGCTGACAAACTGACTCCCATGCGGCACGGCGATCCGCTTATGCGGTTCGCCCTTCTTCAGGGTACACTAGAGGACCCTCGGCCAAGCCTAGCTTATACTGCTCATCACGCCGTCTACGATGGATGGAGTGAAGCTTCCATGTTCGAGGAGGTCGAAATCATTTATCGCCAAGGCTTGAGTGCTCTTCCAGACGCTGTGCCGTATAAGAATTTCATCAGATATTTGTCTACAGTTGACAATGCTGCGAGCGACACTTTCTGGCGTTCGCAGCTCGAAGGCGATCTGCCTGCCCCCTTCCCTCCCAGTACCTCTGACAGAGCTGCGTCGCTTCTGACTTCCCACCCCAATCGTTCCCAGACCCATGAGATTCACTTCCCTGACTCTCGCTCCCTCCCCTATGCCTTGCCCACTGTGCTCAAAGCCGCTTGGACCCTGCTCATCAGCAGATATGCCGCTTCTGAAGATGTCATCTTCGGACACGTTCTTTCCGGACGTACGGTGCCACTACGCGGAGTGGCCGATATGATGGGCCCTACCATTGCAACGGTGCCAGTCCGCGTGCGAGTTAATCCAGATGAGACTGTTGAGGCATTCATGCGCCGCATTCAGACCCAGGCGCAGGATATGGTGCCTTTTGAGCAGGTTGGTATGCAAAACATTCGCCGACTGCTCGCTAGCCCAGATGCCGTCGACGTTGGCCATCTCTTCTTCATTCAGCCCCCCATGGAAGCTGAATCTACAGGCCTCGCTTTAGAGCCTGTCACGGACGCGGACTTTGACTTCGACACTTACCCGTTGATTGTGGAGTGCCAGCTTACCACTGGCAATGGTGCCACAATCTCGGTCAAATACAACGACATTCGTATCTCTGAGACGTCAATGACCTGGCTTCTTCTGCACTTCGAAAACCTGGTTGGTCAGTTGTACCAGACACCACGCACCGCGGCTATTTCTACTCTTGAGCTTGCGGGGCCTTCTGACATTCAGACCTTGCGTCAATGGGTTGGTCCTCCAGTCACAACCGTGCAAAGAACTGTGCATGACGAGTTCCGATCCCGCGCATTCGCCCATCCTGAGCGTTGTGCTGTTGAAGCTTGGGACGGCGCCCTCAGCTACCGCGATCTTGATGTTCTTTCTTCAAGATTCGCGCGGGAGCTTGTTCAGCTTGGCGTTGAAGTGGGTCAAGCAGTCGGTTTGATCTTTGATAAATCATGCTGGACTGCGGTCGCCATGATGGCTGTGCTTAAGGCAGGAGGTTGTTGTGTGCAACTTGACTCTAAGCATCCATCTGTTCGATTGGTCGAGATCATTGAAGATACAGGCATGAAGCATCTTCTTGCCGCGTCCTCGCACATGATTCTGGCAAAATCACTGCCAGTTGATCAAGTCATCGAAGTGACTGTCACCACGGCCTCTAAATTACAGATTTCTTCGCCAGATGCTGGACGCCAACCAGTCGTCGACGTCATGTCGCCAGCCTACATGACCTTCACCTCCGGTAGTACCGGCAAGCCCAAGTCCGTGGTCATTGACCACCAAGCCATCCACACAAGTATCTCCGCTTTCAGTTCTGCTCTTCACATTACCTTCAAATCCAGGGTGTTGCAGTTCGCTGCCTACACTTTCGATATCAGTTATGCGGAGACTTTTGCACCACTGACGCTCGGTGCCACTCTGTGTGTGCTCTCTGAGCAGGATCGTCTCAATGATTTGGCTGGTGCGATTGCTCGCCTCGGAGCAAATTGGGCATGTTTAACACCCACCGTGGCTAGTCTCGTGGAGCCTGCAAGTGTCAAGGGGCACCTCAAAACCCTGGTTCTCAGTGGCGAAGCTCCCACGGAGGAGAACCTCAGAGTTTGGTGTGGAAAAGTGCCCAACTTGATCAACGCATATGGCCCAAGTGAAGCTTCGGTATGGTGTGCCGCTGGGCCCTTCACAAAGCCAGATGACAGTTGCACAAATATAGGACGGCCCGTCGGCTGCAACCTCGTGATTGTGGAGCCTCACGACATCAATCGCCTAACACCAGTGGGATGTACTGGTGAGCTCATTGTGTGTGGACCAATCTTGTCGAGCGGATACTTGAATAACGACAAGGCCAACAACACTGCTTTCCACGGAGACCTTGCATGGCGTGAGAGGCTGGGACTTCACCCAGATTGCTCGCGCGTCTATCGCACGGGTGATCTTGCAAGATACCTCCCAGACGGCAGTATCGAGTATCTTGGGCGTGCTGATACCCAAGTCAAGATCTACGGTCGCCGTATCGAGCCACGTGAGATCGAACATCACATCCGCCTCCACCTTTCCAACTACCTGAACATGGTCGACAGCGTGACTCTGGCCAGCCGTAAGAACCAGAAGATCCTGGTGGCCTTTATCTACCAAGAATCTGCTTTCGTGCCCAACCTTGATCTCGCCACGCTTGCGCGTGAATTCGATCCCGTTGTCCAGTCCACACTAAGCAGCCTACAAGCCGCGCTTCGTGCCAGACTACCCAGCTGGATGGTGCCCACACTCTTCGTTCCCCTCCGCTTCATGCCTACCAATGCAGCTGGCAAAACTGACAGAAAGCTCCTCGCTCGCGCTGTCAATTCTCTTACAGAAGAGCAGCTCCGCGATTTCGCTCTTTCTGGTCGGGCCGCGAAGAAGCCGTTGTCAACTTATCTACAACAGCAACTTGCGGGGCTCTGGGCCGATGTCCTCGCACTCGATGTACAGACCATTGGTGCTGACGATACCTTCTTCACACTAGGTGGTGACTCAATGTTTGCCATGAAACTAGCCAGTCGCGCCCGCAGTGCACAGATCAGTCTGAGTGTCGCTGACATCTTCAACTACCCAGTCTTGGCCGATTTGGCTTCCCACCTACAGGTCCAGATGCCGCTCACTCCTGGCACAGAAACACCTCCATTCATTCTCCAGTCCAAGTTGCAGGTAGCTCCTGCAATGGAAATGGATCTTGTCGAGGCCCTGGCACTGAAGGCGAATGTCGATGCTGAGCTTGTTGAGGCTGTCGAGCATACCACGGATTTCCAGGACCTTGCTCTGGTGGGTCACCTAAGCAAGTCGCGTTGGATGCTGAATTGGTTCTTCTTTGACGGAGCTCGGAGCGCAGATTTGGAGCGTCTGCGAAAGGGGTGCCATGGTTTGGTTCAGCAATTCGGCATTCTTCGCACTGTGTTCGCAGCATATGAAGGCCGATTCTGGCAGATCGTTCTGAGAGAAATGCAGCCGTCGTTCCGAGTGGAGACAACCGCCGACTTTGATGGCTTCACACAAGAACTATACAAGGAGGGCGTCTCTAGAGAGTTGAACCTGTCCATGCCTTTCGTGGAGTTTGTGCTCGCGCTTCACCCCGACGGTAACTCTCATCGGCTGCTCGTGCGCCTGTCCCATGCTCAATACGACGGAGTTTCTCTTCCCACCCTGTGGGACTGCCTCCAACGTGCTTGTCGGGGTGAGGCACTTCCATCCATCTCATCTTTCACGCAGTTCATCAAGGCAATTGCCCCCGTCGATCCCGAAGCAACGCGCTCGTACTGGCGATCTCTCTTGGACGGGGCAAAGGAGACGCGATTCGTCGAGCATTCCAAGCCCGCCCTTCGCAATGAGCTTCACGATCGTGTGCTTCACGTCACGCGCCGTCAAGTTCCAGTCGTCTCTCTACGCCAGCACGGAGTCACCGCCGCGACTGTGCTTCGATCGGCCTGGGCTGTCCTACTGGCGCGCATATCTGCATCTCACGACGTGACATTCGGTCAAACCGTCGCGAATCGTTCCGGTGCGACTCTACCCGACATTGAGAACATCGTTGGACCGTGCCTCAATGTAGTTCCTGTCCGTGCTGCTTTGCAGCCCGGTCAGACTATTTTGGAGTTTTTGCTTGCACAACAACAACAGGAAGTCTCCGGTCTTGCTCACGAGTCCTTGGGCTTCCGACAAATCATCCGAGAGTGCACCAACTGGCCAAGCTGGACCCACTTCAGCAGCGTCATCCAGCATCAGAACATTGAACCCGATCGCGAAGTTTCGCTGGGCTCCAACGATGCCGACATGTACAAGCCCGGCTTCCTCGGCGCCGATCTCGACCTGACTGATGTTTCCGTGTTGTCAACCCCCGTGAACGACGACTGTGTTGACATTGATCTGCTCACATCTTCCAAGATTATGTCATCATTTGCAGCTGAGCTGCTCATCGACCAACTGAGCGATCTCTTGCACCTATGGGCCATGGTACCCGTTGACAAAGTTCCAGTCAACGAGAGAAAGACGTCCACCGCACTTATCCCTCTCGTCTCCGAGAAGCAAAGCTCTGGTCTTGGGGTGAAGGACAACCGTCGCGTGGCCGTCCAAGATGCTTGGCGAGCCTGTCTGCCTGCGGGCTGTGACCTGGAGAATGGAAAGGTGGATTTCTTCCACCAGGGTGGTGACTTGGTGCAGATGGCACAACTAGTGAGCGAATTGCACGAGAAGGGAATTGGTTCAGGTATCTCGCTTGAGACCCTTGTTCAGCATTCTACTCTGGATGCCATGGTTGAGGTTCTTTCGTAGGGGATGATCGACATGTCAGATTTTCTTGTTTCGATTTAGCAACCGTTGTTATTTATTTCATTTTATTACCTGTATTTGGTGTTTTTATTCGTTATCAACTCTTCTGATTCATCTCATCCACTACTGTCCCCTTTGAAATACTTCTTCTTTCCTGGGGCTTCACAGAATTGTAGCCGAATACTTCGTGGCACTAACCTGGGCTCTAGTTAGCAGCTACCAGCTTACTCCCAGTAGAGTGTGAATCCAAATCCCATTCACATATGGCACGTACTCATAGCTCCATCCACTGATCATGGAATGCGCAGATCCCACCAATCAGTCCCGTAGCATACTGCGTCCGTCAGGAACTGACCCTCTTCAAGCCGTGTGTCTTTCTCCACTCACGTCAAGAATATTGCTCTATTTCCAACGTTCCACAGAGAATGGCCATTCACGTGGCAATATTCGCACGAGCAAACAAGACACCCGATCATGAGGATTATGGGTTTGCTCAGGTAGCTAACTTCTGACGACTAGAATGCGGTGCTTGAAATGTTGAAGGTCATCAATTGAAGGCTAAATAGGTATCTCAGTCATCACTCCTCCAGGGTCAAGAGAGCCTGTGGGAGGGACACGTTTCGCACATCCTTCATCAATCACACTAGCATGCAATGCAAAGGTCTTCATCATTCGGGTATAACACAAGCATCCAAAGTCATAACCCTCCAGTCCTGGCGGGACGAGAGCACTCATAGGTAAGTATACACACGGCCACGCATAAATCGTTTAAACCACTTTAATAGGATTCCCTACGGACCACCCCTTTTGTTATTTTTCCCACAAGTGGAGAGTAAAATGCTTCATGTGAGGGGGGATTCCTCTCATCATTTTCTATTGCGCCGTTCCACTCAAGCAACAACCTCATCTGAGGCGTCATCTGGCATAGGCCGATGCACCGAAGCCCTCCGTTGATCGTTTCCGCCCTGGACACGACGGAATCCAAACAACTGGCCGAACTCCCTCCAGAATCCGACTGGCGGATCCAAGAAACTCGCCTCGTAGGCATCGATCAAAGGGCGTTCCCAGACGAGATCCACCTCATGAGGCTTCAGCCACTTGGTCTTCTTGAGGAGCTTCCAGACCAGGAAGAGAGGGGGGATGACGATCTGCATGGTGTAATCCGACCAGAAGGTTGAGACATTCCAGGGCTTGTAGGCCGGGTAGCCGTAGAGGATGGTGACGAGGATCATCCAGACGAGGGCGGCGTAGGCACAGAAGGGTTGGAGACGCGCGAAGTAGGAGAAGGTGCGGCGGTCAAGACCCTGGGCTTTGCAGGCGCGGTGGAAACAGATGTAGGTTATTGAGATGACGATGTAGTTGATTAGACCTGTTGAGATGATTGTGAGTATAGAGCATCATCCCAGTCCAGAGGAATGAAAGCTTACCTCCGGCAGTGACCAGGTTGGCGAACCAGGTGATCACGATAGAAGAGCTGTTGGATACCTGCAGGAAGGACAGGATCGGGAAGATCATGACAAAGGCAAAGCAGTAGATGGGCACACCACTCTTGGTGGTCTTGGTAAGCACACGTGGGGCACGTCCCTCAAGCGCCAGACCATACAGGGTTCGAATGGCACAGTAGGTGTAGGTGTTGCCCGCTGAGAAGATGGAGGTCAAGAGGAGACTAATGATCCTTGTCAGCTTCGAGCACATCACAAAAGCACAAATAGATGGGGATATTTCTTACGCATTCACGATTGATGGGAAGATGGCGATTCCCATGTTTCGCATGCCAATGACATATGGCGAGGCCGCCGCGGACGAACCGCCCGTTTTTCCCGTCACCACGTTGGTCAACTGTGGATCGCGTGCAGAGCAGACGATGCCCACGGCCAAGGCGCCACCAATGAAGAAGATACCGAATCGGATATAGACGGTCTTGAAGGCGTTCTTGATGTACACACGAGGACGTCTCGCCTCGGCCGCGACCATGGAGATGTACTCTGGCCCAACCACGGCAAAGGCCGCCGACCACAGAGATCCGAGGAAACCTTCGAAGCGTCCCAGAGCCCCGGTGTCGAGGTACTCCATGAAGGAGCCTGGGTTGTTCCAATTTCGGAAACCATAGGCATCATGCTGCGGGTTTCCCCCAACCATGGTGATGAACGTGAAGAAGAAGAGAGAGAAGATGAGAATGACCTTGCCGCCGGAGAGCCAGAACTCGGCTTCACCGTAGGCTTTGACCGCCAAAATGTTTAATGAACTGGAGTGACACTTTGATTAGCTCTGAAACATTCATCAAAGTGGAAACGAAGTGTGCGAGCAGCAAGGAACTCCAAAAACCATAAAGGATTGTTGATGCTCCACCATAGTTGAGTGGTGGTCGATCCGACCCGCTGTCACCGGTGGAGCGGAGTCCACAGGTGTGGGGAAGAACACCAAGTAAGGGACCAAGTAATCGGGATCACGTCACGACAAAAATGGGCACGTGGAGGGTGAAGTTTGCTTACCCGTAGCACAAGATCACGGCAGCACAGATGCCGGCCACTGGGCCAGGCTCGGTGACTTTCTCACTCCAGAAGGAAAGGACCAAGGTAAAAGCAGAGATTTCAAACGGAATCAGCAGAGCCTCGTAGAAACTATATATCCTCAAAATTAGCATGGCAAAATCATCGGCCTCGTGGGGGAGTCCCTCTGCAACTCCCGGACATGGGTGCATCTCTCTCGTTGGAGTATCGATGCGATGTCACTTGGGGTGGATAGGGGGATAGGGTTGAGACGAACAAGAAATTCCAGCCGACCATAAATCCTAGGGCGTCGTCCACCCATTTCCCCGCCAACCGAATGAAACCACCACTGACTGGGAAGGCTGTGGTCATCTCCGCGAGACAGTTGTTGATCATGGCCAGGAAGATGGATTGAATGGTAAAGGCCAAGAAGAGACTACCGGGACCACCATGGTATAGACCTGATCCAATACTGACGAAGAGAGCGGTTCCAATGGAGCCACCGATGGCAATCAGCTGAATCTGACGATTGCCCAGATGACGCTGCAGGGCATCGGCATTATCGGCAAATACACCTTCTTGGACATCCCCGGGACCCTCTGATTTACCCATGGGGGTGTCAACCACGGAGGGTGGGACGTGACTTTTATCCTTGGGATCCATCACAGCCATGGTGGATGTGACTGGACGTGAATGATTGAATCGATCAATCGGAGGTTTCCTTCGTTGGAATGATGAGACACTGGTGGGTGTCGAAAATGGAATCAAAGTGAATGGAAGCAAATCACACGGCGCACCACAAAGGATGGGCAATGGTTAGCGTAGTAGGGACGTCAGCAAGAAGAAGCTTTGGGAGATGTCTAGGTCGCAAGGGCACGCAGGGGTGGACGATCGTGCTTTATGGTTGCATGGGTCCAGATCCGTCAGGGCAACTAGAGAGTCAAGGCAGATGCGGTCGGTCCGTATGAATCCTGAGGCGCAATGGACGGTCGAATCGATTTGTACCTTGGGGCCGAATAGTGGACTTCGACAATAGATCTGGTTGCAATGGGAGAATTCCTTTTCTTTGGAGAGTTTCAAAAGGGTCGATTGTCGCTTGGGGGAAGCAAAGACTCTTTCAGTCTGTCACGAAGATCCGGCGAGAGAAAAAAAAAAAAAAGGGCAACGCCTGTGGGCAGTGATGGGCGTTCGACAGACTGGGTCCGAAGTGAAGCTATCACGGGTCGAGACAATAAGCACGCTTTTCACTCGCACGCGTGAGCCACAGAAGAGATGAAGCTCTCACTGGAGAGGTGGGTGAATCAGATCAACGTAAGGTTGACAATGTTAATGGATCAGATACACGATTGACACAGGCACCAGGAGGAGGATGGCAATCCTGTGAGATGAGATGTGGATCGGAGAAGAGTGTATGAGGGGGGGGGATAGGTAGAGAGGGAAGAAGAAGGGAAGGGAAGAGGACAATCTGGGATGTCCTGTCGAGGGTTGAGAAGGATTGAAGCAGATGATACTCTCTGTCTTCGTCTTCTGAATTTTTTTTGGCCTGTCGAACGACTGGAAAGCGCGGGTTGGCCGGGGAGAGGTGGGATTTTAAACAAATCGAGGCCGAGACGAATGAGCTGACCACCACAGCACAGCACTCGGTACACTACTACTACTCACGCAGCTCATCCATCTCTTTCGTCTGTTCCGAAAAGATTCAGACAATAATAGGGAAAAGAAGGAAGCCAAAAAAGAGAGAAAAAAAAAAAAAAAAAAAAAAAAGCTCGCAGCTCGTGGCGCCGCACTCTAAAGTGACTACTGCTGGTGCCCACTGCCCAGTGTCAATGCCAGTACCGGTAGTGGTCAGTGCCCCCAGTGGACTGTGCACTTGCCCAAGAGGTACCATTTGGGTAAGAATCCGGTTCGAGGCGACTTCCACTGTCCAGTGACCTTGACTTCGAGTCGGTACGGCCAGGGACTCGTTGTAGGGTCGGTGCGGTACTCTAGTCCACTTACTGCGGAGGGGCAATAAGAGGTACCTTGGTAGCCTCGATCAATGTACCGGTGCAGGCGTCCCGGATTGGATTCGACTTTTCAAGTGGGGGCACATCAACACGGGCCTGAGGGGGGAATTGCGGGTGGATCCACGATAGAGACCCTCCAATCCAAAGGCGTCCTCAAGAAGGCAGGTCATCTGCAGGGTCCCACTGCGACTGAACCCACTTGTCCAGGTTAGACCAACCTATCCATGGACAAAGAGAAGAATCCAATCAACACTGTGAACCGGACAGAGACGAGCTGTTTCAGGACTAGCGCCCGAACAGTGGGATGGAAAGGGGGGAAGAGGGGCAGAGGGGCAGCGGAGGAGGAGGAATCGCCATCGACGGACAGAGGGCACGTCGGTCTGATTGGACCGAGATATGGAGACATGACCTGAAGAGGAACCCGGGTCATTGGGACGGTAGGAGAGCACGGTGCCCTCGGACGTCTCCCTTGATTGAAGAGCCCGCGAAAACGCCATACTCCATACGGCATACCCTACTACGACTGCCACCCTCGTAGTAGTCGTGGTGGAAGTCAAAGAGACACACAAAGGATTCAACTTCTGTCGCACTAGTCCATTAGCGTGGTCGGCTAGTGTCAGTGCCATCTGGGCAGGTACGGGAAGTGCACTGTAGAACTAGAATGGACATCCTCTGATCCGACTCCTAGTAGGCTCCTACAGTATGAGGCTACGAGCATCTCGTCTGGGGCTCGGTCAATCGGGCGTACGGCGTGACCGCCCGCGGGTCTGTTGCGGACGATCTTTCCGTGGTTGCCTCGTGGAGGGGATATATACCTTTTCATGTCCACATCCATCTCTGCCGTGGCTCGCTCATGTCACTTGTTGAACATGACTGATCTTTCCCCCTCCCCCCATGGGGAGAGCCCGATCCTTCTCGAGCAAAAGATGGGATAGACAAATCTCGATCGTTAGATCATATCATCATACACAGGTGCCTAATCCGAGTCTCGTCGCGGTCCTCACGCGACAAGTGCCTCTGGTAGGGCGTTATGCAGTCCAATAATGGCATTGCTTTTGTTCCTGCGGGGACAACCCCCGGGTTGAGCCAAGAGTCAACTTTCCTATCAGAGGATGAGCAGGGAATGATCATGGTCAATCAGCTAAGTTAGTAAGGTAGTAACTACTATTCAGTACCTAGTAGTGACTAGTTCGTAGTAACTACTACATACCTAGTAGGCTGGTACTCCTAAAGTACTACACTAAGAGTGACGGGAGTTCTCACTAGTACATTACTTCTTGGTAAAGTTGGAACTCCGTTCAGCCACTCGATCCCCATGTGGACAGGCCGGTCCTTTTTTGACAGTACTGCCCCAGGGCCCCTCGGCACAGGCGTGATTCCCGCGACTCTATCGGAATGATGAATCATCTCCAGGGTCAAACTTCCGTGTCGAGGGTCCTTTTTGCTTTGTCTTTGATCGCGATAGAGGCAGCATACTACATAGTACATACTCTTAGTACGCATTTCCGTCAACGCTCAGTAGTACTGAGTCGTCCTAGTACTACTGGAAAAACATACTCGCATGATAGTAGTGCACACTGCACCAGACAAACTGCCCAGTCAGCTGGAGCGGATGGCCATTGACGTCACCCGCAGCGTGGCTGACCACGAGGACGCCCCCGGACTGAGGCTGGGCGCTTGACTCTTCTTTTTCCGAAGATGGATTGTGCACTCTGCAGTCTGCAGTCAGCCCAGCTATGCAGCTACGAGAGTCGTGACCTTTCGTGACCTTGACTTATCTCGCTTACCCACCATTTGTTGTTTTATTTTGTTTTGTTTTTTGTTTTCTTTTTTTAAACTCACTCGCATCTTGATTCCCTTCTTTTCTGCTGTTTTGTTTCTCATCTTCCTTTTACATTTTCGCTTTTGCTTTTGCTTTTTTGCTTTTGCTTTTTTGCTTTTTGCTTTTTGCTTTTTGCTTTGCCTGTGCGAATGGATGCGCCTGAGACAAAGAGCTCATTCGCCAACCGATATTCGCAATTGAGCACCAAAGCAAGCCACACACGGCCACCAACGGAGGAGGAGCCGAGGGCCACAAGCCGGGCACGACCGCAATGCTGTTCCCGTAGAATTGGACCCGTAGAGTTAGTAGCAACACAGCGATATGAGATTCGGTGAATAGGCGCGAATGAGGAGAAGAAAATATGAGAGCCACGAGGCCAATCACACAACCTCTTTCTCTCCGCTTAACTTTCCCCCCCCCTCCTCCTTGGAGAAAAGCCTATGTATCAGACACCACACGTTCTACCGGAAGTGCAGTACTGTAACTACCACCACCACCCTTTGTACAGTAGTATCATAGTATCACTACAGTACTACAAGTACAATCAGTATCTGGTAGTATCCACTGTATCCAGTAGAACTCAAACTCAATTGGTCTTTTTCAAAAACGCACCGGTCATCTGGGCGCCTTCCCCTCGGACCCTCATCCAGATGCCCCACTGCCTCCTCAGCCATTGGGGAACGAGGAGTGGCAGGCTGTTCGGGACGGGTCAACTCGCAATTTTACCGCAGTCTCACAGTGGACGACGCACGGGGATACGGGTGAGTTCTGATTTGACCTCAACCGATCTGGGCCACTTGTCCTCGTTTGGGAAGTTATCATCTCTGGGACGGACGGAAGCGGAGTTGTTGAACCGTGTTCTTCGGCTCGGGGGACGGTCAGAACGAGAACGGTCAGAGTCGGGACGCGGAGAAGAGGCAGGAAATGAGGAGAAGAGAGGGCGGAGGAGGAGTACTGTCGATCAGAGTCCGAATCCTAATCCTCGTGAGGGGACATGGAGATAAGGATACTCGAGAGATAAGACTGAAGTACTACTCCTGATGAGTCTGATCATCTGATGTCGAATGTGTCCATCACGGAAATCTTGACTACCATGACCACGTCCACCACGTAGATTGTCTCTCAGCGACGTGAGAAGATGAGGGGAACTCAAAAAAAAAAACTCTCTCTCCAACGTCCCCAGTCTCCAGTCTCCGCATGGGGCAGTCGCATTTCCTCAATCACCCAGGCCTCCTCCTCCTCTACTACTGTAGGTGACAGGTGTACCCATGTACAAGACTACAGTTCGTGTTAACGGTACAGGTGGTACAGTAAGACTCAAATCTGAAGCCCAGGTGAAATAGTTCAAGGCCAGGATTCTGCCCCCATATCGACGTCAGGGGCGTAACGCCTCAGCCATTCCGCGCCTCGCTAAAAGACACCCGAGCCGCCCTGACTCGGAGAGCCTCGGACGCAGAAAAAAAAATGCAGTAGTTGGTTCCCGAACGGGAATCCGTGTGGCGGAAGTGAGAACAACAACCTGAACCCTCCCATTCATCCTATCTCCTCTCATGGCGGATTTACGACTGGGGCGGACGCTGGGGCTGTCCGGACGGAAATGACATCTCCGCTTGCAGCCGGAGGGAGGGGGGCGGAATTGGCCTGGATGCCTGATGCCTGATGCCTGACGCCTGAACGGTTGAGAGTTGAGACACGCGGCCCCGCATAACCTGACCACAGCGCAGTGACTGTAGCGGACTAGCGGTAGCCTGTAGGACCCGAGGTACTACCGTAAGTGGGCTTGGCACGTCAATCTGCAGGGTCAGCAGTCAGCATTTATCGAGTCAATCATGCTAGATGGATCGATTTCATGGTTCTCGGGAGAGTGGAAAGACGCTCGTCAAGAGCTGGACCCTTTTCCCAGACCATTTCTCCTGCTGTCTGGAGTGTGTTCAACCAGACAAAATCACATATCATCCCGATTGAACCCTCCACCGGGCAAGCGGCAGAGTGGAAATGTTTTCTTTTTTTTTTTTTTCTTGGTTTCCACACAGGCCATCCCGCATTTTGGTGGAGTATTTGGGGGGAAGGAAACGCGGAGGTACTACTACCCGCGAGAGGGCTCTGTTTTGTTTTTTTTTTGGGGGTGGATCGGTGTCTCCGTCCGCGGAGCTCGGTGAAAAGCTGAAATATGGCATCCCATCGAGGTGTGTATCTCGATCCAATTGGACCCGTCGCGTATGTCGCTATGGTCATGAACAGAGACCTCTTTCAATTCTTCACTATCCACTATCACCCACGAGTGGAATCGAGGATGGTCCTTCCTTGTTCCAAATAGGCAGAAGACAAGAGCGACAGCCGCCGCACGACATCAAGAACGAAGGGACAACGGGATGGGAAAAGTCGGTCAACCCGCAGTTAAAACTTAAGAAGTAAGACTAAGTAAGTAGTAAGAAGTTAAGAACTAAGAACTGTCCGTGAAATGGCATCTGATCCCATCATCCCCTCTGAATCGGGCCGCCTGAGCGCGCGATTCAATCATTTCAGACTTGGTCGCCCCCCTTCCCCCAAGGAGGAAAGTATGCCGCGCAGACAATTTCGTCCTCTCCCCATGGCCACTCCCAGTGCCCACACGTGGGCTGAGTTTTCATTCTAGCCAGAGCTCACTCGCAATATGCGCTGCATACGAATCTACGCAATGCTCATGTGCACTGTTCAACCACGTGCAGGCCCACGTCCAAGCTGTGCATCATTCGAAACGCGCGGGAAGTCGAGATGCACGCCGCATATGTCAGGGTTCATTACCCTGGACAGACCAATGAAATTGGACTACCTCCCTCGACACTTCTGACTCGATCAAGATGCCCAAGATCGACAGGGACGGGACACTCTGCATCACCCGGTAGAGGTGCAGGAACCGAGATCGATCAGGGGTATATCGTGCATGTTGAGTGTCGATCAAAGTGATCCAAGGTAGGTACCTAAGTTAGGTACTGTCGGTACTCGGTACTCTTAATAATCAAGGAAGATCCTACTACTTAACTTAACTAGTGGCAGAAGCCCGAAGGAGCGTTCTCGACCAGTCAGTCCACCGTGGGAAGGTTTTCTTTCCGAGTGTTGAGGGGGTCCAATCGGGCCGGTCCCGTCAACTGGTGTGCCGTCGTGCCCTTACGGACCTGGGTAGTTGCGATAAAGGTAGCTACATGTATCATGTAGGTACTGGTAGCATGCCATTTGCTAGTAGGTACAGTAGTAGGCTGTGAGGCATATCATTCCTGACATCTACAAGGAAGCTACGGTCAGACTTGGGATTCCATCCAACCTAGGAAGCTAGTAACACGACTAGATCCTGCAAGAACGTGAATATCGGCAGTCCCCCGAGCGAGAAAGCATACGACCCCCCAACAATGTCTATTTGAGAAAATCAATCTTGAAAGCTCCAGTCTGAATTCGTCGATCCCTCTTCTATGTCAATTCACGAGATGTACCTGCCAATACCTGGTCCTGGGAGGCTCTTCTGTTACTATAGACCGCAACTCAAATTCAGTTGAAGTAGTACTTTATGCTTTACATCTCCAGTAGGTCAAGATGTAGCAGAGAGTGACTTGATGGGATCACACAGTCGCAGGCATAAACATCGGCTGCCTTCCACCTAGCCACCCCCTACTACGAGTACGTATCCAGAACCCCGACCGGAGCTGCGGTTCGGAGATCTCGTCCGATATCGCGAGTCGAGCCAGTGTAAAAGAGGCAGAGGACGTTGAAAAAAAAAAGTAATGAATCAATGGGAGTACGAATTCCACAAGAGATTGCCCACAAAAAGAAAACATATGCATAATGCTCACTATCTCCATGTAGCCGTGACCGTCGCTGTAGAGCCCACACATCCCGTGGGAACCGTATACGACCGATTCGGATCACTTTCCCAGGTCAAAGAGCTGGAGCCACTCGTCTCCTTGACGAATTTGTATTGGAACGTCGCGCCCACGGGCAGTGTCACCGTCGTGTACCACAGAGGATTGGAAGACGTATATTTATCCGCTGACAACGCAACAGCATTCGCAGTGTTCCAGCTACCGAGCTGACTGATCGAGCCGACGAGGTAGACGTTCTGTCCATAGGAAGTGGTCACTATCTCCTGGAACAAGACGGGCAGCGCAGTGGCCTGCGTGCAGCTGGTCCCCGTCGCCGTCGCCGTCGCCGTCGTCGTGGTAGTCTTGAGCGTGGTCGCACTGGTCGAGCACGCGGAGCTGCAGAGGGAGCATGCAGAGGTCGCCAGCATAAAGACCCGGGGCAGTCCCGAGGTCATGGATACTGGGATGTTGCCGCTTGAGTCCACGGTGACCGCTGTGCAAGTGTACATTTCCACGAGCTTGGTGCCCGCGGCGTAACCGCTTCCACCGAGGCTCAGGGTGTACGAGCTACCCGAGGCGCCGCGGTTCGAGAGGACGGTGACCACTTGGGAGCCGGCAGATCCCTTTTTCATCGCGATGGTATTGCTATCGGTGTAAAAAGCGTTGTTCTGTATCAAACACGTCAGCTTGAAATCGGCGCACCTGGACAAGCGTTGCATCATCAACGTACCTTTGCAGTGATGTAACCTGTATCCTTGGAGATGGCAAGACTGCGGAGCTTGTTGGTGGAAGAGATAAATTGATACAACTGAGCATTGGTGGAGTATCCGGACAACCAGGTTGCTTCACGATTGGCAGGGTCATTGCCGCCGCTGTAGTGCTGTTCCTGTCCCGCGTACACAATCGGAATGCCGTCAGACAGGAAGATGAACGAAATAACGTTCTTGGCCTGTGAGTAGTCGCCCGTGTACCTTTGATTTGTGCACATGTCAGCTACATTCAGGAAATCCGAACTAAAAGAGAGAGACGCACGAAGCAAACCGCGGGTTGTCATGATTCTCGATAAAGTTACCAAGCAAGGTTGGATCCGCGCAGTCAGATGCAACGGAATTGATCATGCTGGAAAGACTGCTGATACTCCCACTCGATGACTTGAAAGCATTGAGTAGCGGATAGTAACTGGAATTGGTCAGTTCGATTCGGTGGTGAAGATCCGAAGAAGCGGCATACATTGGATAGTTCAAGACACCGTCAAGGTAATTTTGGTAGGGGCAAGTATAAGCTGGGTCCCCACTGAAGACCTCACCAACGCAGTAGACGCCGGCTGCGCTCTGATATCCGGGCCAGAATGATTTTTGGACGTGCTTGACAGTGTCAATGCGAAGACCGTCGACTATTAGATACTCTGTGAGCCTCTTTGCGGAGCGAAGCGATATTGCTCATTGGGCCACCCACTGGAATAATTTGAGACTAGGCTATGCACCCAGTCGTACCATATCGTCTGTACCGAAGACTGAGTTGTATCGAGATCGGGTAGTGAGACTGTGGTATCTCCAAGCCAGCAGTCCTCCACATTTGTTTGATTCGAGTAATCGCTGATTAGACAGTACGGGTGGAAGTATGAGGAGGAGCTGAATGGCTGAAAGACACTATAGTCCACGGTGTTCCCGGCTCCAGCATAGCCCTGCGATTTTTGGAAGAAAGTAAGCATGACCTATTCTGACTGATCTCGCCAGAGGTGTCTCTCACCATGTGGTTTGCTACCACGTCGACCATCAGGTACATGCCCCGGCTGTGAAGGGCCTTTGAAAGTGCCTGAAGATCGGCAGCAGTGCCGTAGTTGGTGTTAACGTTGTATCTGTATAGCCATGTCAGATAAAGCCTTGGCAGGTTGCGAAGAAACATTTACATTTCCTGCTGCCAGTACCCATGGTATGCTTCGCCGTCTCCCGTGTCTTGGGGGAGCTGCTCAGTGACAGGGGTGATCCAGATGGCAGTGAATCCCATCCCCTGGATATAGTCCAGCTTTATTTCACGTCAGTAAGCAGGTGGGCTTGTCCTGAACAGGGGATTTGACAAGCGTACATGGTTTATAATCCCTTGCCAGCTTCCACCACAATACACCTTGAAAACAGCGTTAGCACAAGCGAGCTGAAACGAGGAAGCACTTAAAGAAGGCTTACCCGGTCATTTGTGTTGCAAGAAGCTGTCACCGAATTGTCGGTTCGTCCAAATCGATCTGTCATGAGAAAATAGATCGACTGGCTGCGCCATTGTGCAGCCGTCAGACCAGCAACGGTCTGCGCAAGGAACAGAACTGCCAATCCGAACGCCTTCATTCTCGAGTCTGGGGATTACTTGGATAACGCAGGATAGGTTGCTGTTCCCTATGTTCTTTGGCTACTGTCAATGGCCGAGGAGACGACCGCGTGGTGGTTATATACGCGCGAGGCCCCTTCAAAGATTGTGGTTGACAGGGATTCCCCATACATATGCAAGCCACCCCTTACGGCGCGGACCAGAATTTTCCCCAAAGTGTCCTGTGCAGTTTGGATCTTTCCCCGGCCAGGATGGCCGCCCGCTGCTGAAGACTGCCTATCGGAAATTGTGACCAATCATTGGGAAATTCGTACATGGCAGCCCGATCGCACGGAGAATTATTCCAAGGATTTGGGAGGCACACTTGTTCACTCGCAATGGATCAGAGCGTCGATCCCGCAAGCTCTCGGAGAATGAGGTGGAGTTTGGGGTCATGTCACGCTAGTCAACATGGCCATGCAACCTGTATTGCCGAAAGGTTGATTTTCTATCGCGGTCTATACCCAAGTAAGCATAACGACACGCCGCGAAGCCAGTCCGAGTGGAGGGCCATTGTCTTGATGAACAAGTGTCTGAAATGGCAGCACATGGCAAGCAGCGTATTGACCATGCTGAATCTGTCATGTTTAGCACCTCTCTCACAGCAATGACCCCGCAGTGAAATGAGTTGTGAGCCTTTGCTTCTTCTCTCGAAGAAGGTGAAGGTCGGACCTTAATCTTCTAGTGTCCAGCCACTCGCTCAGGTGACTCGCAAGGGGCGCCTGCAGCATCAACTGGTGCAGAACTGTGGATCGGGTGCGGCTGCCCGAGTACGCAATGCGACGCCCGTGACCCGACACGCTGCCGTCAGCTGCAGATTACCCGGCATTGGAAGGGATCATATTGAAGACTGCCCTCTGTCTGTGCCGCTGAATGGCCGGATGTGCATTTGAATGGTTCAATGCAACACACGTGTTTGCTTTGATGCATACTTTCGCGGGCTGAATACTCTTCCGCCTCCTCGTGTTCAATCGTGGGGAATGAGACCTCATACTCGAACTTTGCGAAATCCTCCACGTGCCTTGACTCCTTGTTTTGGCGTCGGCTTTGAGGGGTTTGACGAATCCCTGTCCAGGGCGTCACTTCCTTGTTCCTTCGTCTCAGGTAGAGCGAGGTTACATCCTCATTCTCTCCAGATCTCGTGGAGATTTGAAGATGATCAGACCTCTGCTTTGCAACCCACATCTTCTCACCGAATTTCGTCAGATTATGTTGAGTTGAGAACATTCTCCGGGTCGTACCTACACTAGAGATTGAACCAAGCTAGAAGCGGCACTTGCTCCGGGGTAGTGCGGGGAAAGACTCTAAAGTTCTGCAGAATGTTCCATTTTGTGGATGCCGCATGTCGGTTGTTGACAATCTGAGTTTGAAAGTACGCCATGATCGGGCTGAAAGGCATGGAAGCTTTGGAAGCGACGACAGAAGCTCATCATAGAGTTTGCTCGGGCTTTCCTCGCCCCATATGCTGTGCTCGGATCAGCGCAGTCGTCACGCGGTCGTAGCAAGGGTCAAGGGCCTGAGGCCGAAGAGCAACAAAGCGTGATGAACGCGTCGGCCGTCAAAGGCCTCATCGAATCATCCCACACACCGAGCAAGATCGGCAGGCCGGACAGGGGACGGGAATTCTGCGGGGCTCCGCGGAATTCAAGAACCACATGTGTTGCACCGAGACTGGGGCCATCTCGGGTAAAAGATTGGGGAATCTATCGCTAACCCTCGGGGGGTGGGGTCGGTGATGCTTAGCAAAGATGAGTTTCATGGCGGGGTAGAATCCGTCTTGAATCGTGAGTGCGCGGGTCCGGCAATTAGGTAGCCACGTCTATCCCTCGCAACCTCAGCAGAGCGAAACTTCCCTTTTAGGAACCGTACTTCATTGATTTCCAGTGCAAATCAGAGTCGCACCGATACGCTGACTAAATACTTTACCGAGCCCTGGCCTGATGGACTAAAATTCTATGGACTGGTGAGTTACTCCCTTCTACAACGGATTGCTAAACGTGACCGGCCAAGACTGGAGAAGACCTACGATCAGATAAACCAGAGGACTGGAGTGTGCCGGCACCACTGCGCAATACTTACTTTGTCATCCCCGTGTTCGGGAGGAGTGGACTCGGATGGGTAATCTGGGATAGCTCCAGTCCTCTAGGGGATACATAAATCTTCATCTCTGCTCAACGAACTGGTATAGTTCATGTGTCATTCTGTGGGTAGTATCAGGTACTGACTCATTAGAGTTTCTACGTTGATGCTGATTCATTATGCTGTTTACGCTGATGCTAATTCGGATAGTCTGCTAAGCTTCCAATCAGCTCTGACGGCTCTGACGGGGGAATTACGCTTGCCCTCTGTGCGCCTACCGGCCGCCGTGGGTAAAGTCAATCCAGGCGTGTGCTCGACGACAGGCTTAAAAGCAAGATATTCGATCCTTTTATGTTCGAGAATAGTCCTTCCTCAATTGTCTTAATCTCATGCACTACCTAGGAAGGATCACAAATGGTATTGTCGCGGATTGTCGACGGTGATTCCCATACGTTGCCACATGCTCTCAACATTCATGTCCTCGCGACCACTGAAGAGGCAAATTGGGTTAGTGTATGATTTCAAACCTTGCCAGGTGTGTCCTGATTGTCCCAACTATCACTCACTCATTCTTTTCCATGATGACAGGGTCGATCTGGCTGTCTGCGGGATTCGGATTGCGGAATATTATGTTGTGTTGCTGCAAAGATCCTATCAGTCAGCGCTGGTTGATCCCAGGGCCTTGGTTTCGTATGAATTGGGCAAACTCTCACCATTCCCAGTGTAATATGGATGGCACCGGGCCCCTTCGCAAACTTCTCTTGCGGTGTTTGTCCCTCGATCAGTGACTGGATGTTCTTAGCAACGACTGCAGCTTGTGCGGCACCAGGTCTCGCTGCTTTTTGCGCCCTCGTGTCGGCGATATCCCCAACAGCAAACATGTTGCCATACTTTTCATCCAAAAATTGCATCGTTGGTCGAACCCGAATAAAGCCATTATCCGGGTTGATCACCGATAGAGACTCAGGTGTGGACGGCTTCAGATCGGCCACCAATTGGTTATTGGGGGTTTGCCCCGTGGCCAGGATGACAAAGTCTGCCGCCACTTTCGAGCCATTGGTAAGTTCCACGTCAAAGGGAGTCCCATCACTGCGGAACCCATCCGCGGGAACTTTCACCCTTGACCCCGTGATGAGTCGAATGCCAAGCTCGTCGAAACGCGCCTGAATTATCTCGTGAAGCCGAGGATGGAATCCTGGCATGACACGGTCTCGCGATTGTATGACCGTCACCTCTTTGTCTGGATAGTACTCTTTCAGATCCGTGGCCATCTGAACGCCCACTGCACCACCTCCAACGATGAGAATAGATTTTGATCGCCTCACTTGATCCTGATGGGACTGCAGATATTCGACAGATGACAGTTTGTCGTCTTTGTCCATGGCAGCGGGCTTTGAGAGTCGCGTTCCGGTAGCAACTACCACGTAGTCGAATGGAACACGCGTGGTTCCCTGCCATTCACGATCCAATTGGATGTATTCAGATCGAACAGATGTGACACGCGCTTGGATGACCGCATGGGCGGTCGGATCCGTTGCGCCCGCAAACAAGCCACTGTATGGAATGAAAGCTTTGTGTTCGTGTTCCGGGACAATGGCGAATCGAGGCTACAAGTCGCGTCAGTGTGGTCCAAATCTTTCAAATTGCTGGTCAGCAGCGGTAGAGACTCACGAATGTGAAAAGATGATGGAAGTGACTGTGTGTCTCTGCCAGAAGGATCTGTTGATGTCGTCAGCGACAGAATGTCTCAGCAGATGTACATGTGTGCAGATGAGAAGCGAGTGTCAGCGTACACGATGTGTTGGTGGGACGATCTTCGCGAGCTCCTGGACGGTGGCCTAATGAGATTTTGTCAGCAACCCGGTCGAGTCTGGTAGCTTGTCAGTCTGGGAATGTTTGAACTCACTCGTCCCACAAAGGAACCGCCGATAACAATGATGTTTCGAAGCGACGAAGCAGGCATTATGCGAGTATAAAGGCCAAAAGCTGGATGAAATCAAAGTCGTTAATCTTCCCTGGCCGGGCTCAGGACACAGGTTCTCCCTTTATAAGAAACGACTAGCACTAGGAATCTCACTCGGTGAGTCGGAATTGACGGGAAGCCGTTATTCCTAAGGTCTGGATACATCCGCTGGTTCGCTAAGTGGGGCCTTGTCCAAAGTCTGGGGCTTATCTGATTAACTCCGAGGCGCTGCTTGCCGAGTTTGGGTAAATGCCGACGACCGGAGAAGTTCACATCCGCCACGGGTTAAACCGACGCTCGACACAAGCCGACTGGACAATGTGCTAGCAATGGAAGTGTCTGCGCGTTACAAACTCGGGTAGGCAATGATTGAAATAGAGCATGACAAAGCCACCACGTCTTACCAAAAAATAAGCTGAATCAACAATTCTGGAATTAATATCGCAATTGATGCTCGCTCACGCTCTACATTGCCCATCTTGGAGTTCGCATTTTGGTCTGTGGTCTGAATATGCAGCTGGTCCAAGCCTCTTCATCTAGATGGCCTTCGGCATCTCGGAAAGTGGGCAGAATGTGCTAGTCCGAGTGGACAACTAGAGGCAACACATACTTCCAGCATGCTCGATCTGAGGTGGAACAGTCCACCTCTCCGAGGTGTAAATACCCCCCGGAAGTCATTCCACCATCATAATTATTACTGAGAACAAGCAAGATCGTCTCCGGTTAATATCTCTCCAAGCGTAACTATCAATTTCGCGTAGAGATGTTTCAAGATTCATCAAGTGACATGACTGCAAGTCAATTATGGTGCATATGCTGTCTGACAAGTCACTCGGCCAATCCAAGTTCAGCCAGAATAGCCTCATTGTGTTGTCCAACCCGCGGCACAGGGCCCATCTGAGGTGCGAATCCGCCTTGTGTTGCTGCTTTTGTCAAGCCTGGTGGTAAAAGTGCCGGAACCACACCAGCAGGAGTGTCGACGTCGACCCAGCGATCACGAGCCTTTAGTTGCGAGTGATTCCACACGCCCTGCAAATCATTGAGGTTTGCGTTCGCGATCGACGCAGCCTCCAAACGTGAGATTGTCTCCGACGCAGTCAGCTTGGAAAACACTTCGCAAATGATTTCCTTCAAAGCATCTCTGTTCTCAGTACGTAGTGTGTTGCTCGAGAATCGAGGATCCGCCGACAGATTATCTTGACGCAGGACATCATGACAGAATGTGATCCACTCCCGCTCATTCTGTATCCCGAGCATAACCTGGCCATCTTTTGTCTCAAAAGGGCCGTAAGGATAGATAGATGCGTGTGAGGCACCCGAGCGCTTTGGACCTGGAGCTCCATCAAAGGTGTAGTACAGTGGAAAGCCCATCCACTCGACCATACTCTCCAGCATTGAAATATCGATGCGGCGTCCCTGTCCGTCCTTTCCTCGTTGGATAATCGCAGATAGAATGTTGCTAAAGGCGTACATTCCTGCGGCAATATCTGCAATCGAAATGGCCACCTTCACCTGCTCTGTACTAGTCCCGGTGACGGACAGCAAGCCCGCTTCACTTTGGATGAGAAGATCGTAAGCCTTTTTGTCACGATATGGCCCATCCTGTCCATAACCCGATATGTCGCAGACAATAATAGAAGAATTTCTTTCCTTCAGCGCTTCGTACGATAGGCCCAGTCGTGCACTGGCACCCGGGGCAAGATTCTGCACGAGCACATCCGCTCGCTCCATAAGCTTCATGAGAACTGCATGATCTTTCTCATCCTTCAAGTCCAATGCCAAACTTTCTTTGGAACGATTCGTCCATACGAAATGTGACGAGAGTCCATTGACGCGAGTGTCGTATTGACGCGCGAAATCGCCCTGTCCGGGTCTTTCAACTTTTATCACACGAGCTCCAAGATCCGCCAGCTGGCGCGTACAAAATGGTGCAGCGATAGCTTGTTCCAAGCTGACAACAGTGATGCCAGCAAGTGGTGGTGCTCTGTTAGGCAGGGTAGAAGTTGCGTTGGAGCGTTGATGAAGCGTGTTGACTCTCCGCGCGGGGCGAGCCAAACACGACGGTCCCGGTCGCCACGGCTGGCTGCGAAGGAATGACGCTTTCATAATGCAATAACTGCTATCAACACCTTCAACGTTATTTATGTGCAGGACAGGTCTCAGTGCAGCCTCGTTGAATGCACAATACCACTCGCGACTTATTTCAATGGCTGGACGGAGTACACGAGTACTTAATGTCGTCCCCTCATCCCCCGCACGGGCCGTCTTGAAGCTCATATTCGGCCATCTTCACAAATCACCGAACATGCGGGGAAGTCGGCTAATCGGTAAGATCCGTTGCCTCGCCGAGGACGTCAAAAGACGAGGAGTTCAAGGACTATCCGCTCGCGTTCGCCATTCTTTTTGTGCGATTATTTCATACCTGCTGTGTACCACCGAGACGTGCGAATCGACCATGTTCCGTCAACCTCTCAGACAATTCTCACGATTACAATGGACGTCCTTTCCCAGCAGAGTATCTCTAGCTGCCGGCAGTCAAGTCTCGACGTTCGAGCCGCGCACCTCAAGCTTTTCAACGTCACGACGACGAGGTATAATGGAAATGACGGGATTCACAGACGAACAGCTTACGGTTCATGAAGCGATCAAACAAATATGTTCGAATTTCCCAAACACATATTGGCAAGAGCGCGACCAGCAAGAAAAAGGATCCAAAGGAATTCCATGCGGCTTTGGCTAGGGATGGGTGGCTGGGAATAGCTCTGCCCGAGGAACTCGGGGGTGCTGGTCTTGGTTGGTCATCACTGGAAGCTGAGGCGGAGTACTTCGGTACAGACGGAGCGCTAACCCATTCTCGCAGGAATTTCTGAAGCAACTATGATGATGCAAACCATCACGCAGTCGGGGGCTGGAATGGCTGGCGCGCAGGCAATCCACGCCAACGTGTACGCGACACAACCCCTTGCGAAATTTGGCACCAAGGAGCAATTGGAAACGACCATACCGAACATTATCAATGGCACATGGAGGACCTGTTTCGGGGTCACAGAACCCAACACGGGGCTCGAAACTCTCAAGTTGAAGACAGTCGCCACCAGAACGGAAAACGGCTATTCAATATCAGGTCAGAAGATCTGGATCACTTGCGCGCAGGTCGCTTCGAAAATGATTCTTCTGGCCAGGACTACACCACTCGAGGAAGTGAAAAAGTCCAGTGAAGGGTTATCGCTGTTCTGCATTGATCTTGAACGCAATCAGCCGGGTCTGGAAATGCGCAAAATCAAGAAAATGGGTGGCCGGGCAGTTGACGCTAACGAAGTGTTCTTCGATAACTACACAATTCCCGCTGAAACACTTATAGGCGAAGAAAGTCAGGGCTTCAAAATCATTCTGCATGGAATGAATGCTGAGCGCTGTCTATTGGCGGGAGAGGCCCTTGGTCTGGGTTATGCAGCTCTCGAAAAGGCAGCACAGTATGCCAAAGAACGTATCGTCTTTGGCCGGCCGATCGGACAGAATCAAGGCGTTGCCCATCCGCTTGCAGACGCTTACATGAAGCTGGAGGCAGCCAAGCTCGCTACTTACCATGCAGCTCGCCTGTACGATTCCAACGACGACTCAGTACCCTTCCATGCAGTTGGGGTTGCTTGCAACAGCGCCAAGTATCTAGCTGCCGAAGCTGCATTCACTGCATGTGAGCGTGCCGTCTTGACGCATGGAGGCATGGGGTACGCGATGGAGTATGATGTGGAACGATATTTGCGTGAATGTTTCGTTCCCAGAATTGCCCCGGTCAGCCGAGAGATGATTCTCAATTACGTGAGTGAAAAGGTACTTGAGTTGCCTCGGAGTTATTAAGGAAGCCAGGCGATGCAGTCTTTCGAGTTAATACTGCAGCCATGGCCCTGGGGCGTTCAACTGTTGCAGCAGCTTGACATTTACACTGTGCCCAAATCAATTCTTTCTCGATGAAGAAGGAAGCTCCCATGGTCACATTTGGCATGCAGACTTGATTGTCGTCGGTGCAGATAACCGAAACCGTAGATCAGCCTTAATGATGTGACGACTGACGACAGAGTGAGGTTCAATCTTAGGAACTTTGCCTTTCGAGGATAATTTGGTGTGTGATCTCCCCAATATATGAGCGTGCATCACAAATTATAAATCGATGGAAGGCTTCTTCGATCCCCATTCTGCCAGCATGTTAGAATATGACAGATTGCATTGGTCTTCAGAGGCTATGATTTGGCGCTGCTTCGCGACATAGACCTTCATCAGATCAATAATATCTGCCCGTCGACCTATAGACTCCCAAACACGTGCGAGATGGACCAGACTCCCTAGTGTAGAAGGGTGATCTTCGCAGAGCCTGACCTTGCGGAACTTCATCACCTTTGTTGCAAGCTTCTCGGCTCAAACCGTCGTTCTGAGCGCTTGTGCATCGACTCGATAATGGACATGCCCGTGAGCACATCCGCATCAGGGTGACTCTCGCCGAGCCTGAAGTTGATATCATTCATCGCTAGCTTTCTATCGGCCACCTGCAGTCGCCTACTAGTGACTGGACGCTCATTGACTCGACCTTGATAGGACTCTACATGTACCGACCAAATACCGTCGTAAAATGGCACATGAATCTCCATACCATATACCTAGGTCTGACTTTCCAGTCGAAAGTTTTGACTTAGTAGAGTTTTCATGATCATGTTGAAAAATGTTGACCTGTCAAACCGCTTTAGATGGATTACGGGTGTATCCGTAGACGGTCATCGCTCAATGCGGCGTTATGCGTCAGGAATTTCCATCTATCCCTTGCGAGCTGGAGCTTTCCTCTGACTGATCGGTTAGACTCGCGCCACAAGATCGCGTCCTTTACTCATGCTTCTTCATGATGACTACCCTGATCTTAAGTGAATGGTAAACTCACGGAGAGATACTGTACTGAAAGCAAACCTGACGTTGACCTAGGTACACAAGCGGCTTCGTCCGGATATCACATATCGAGGAGGTCCGGTACAATGCATTCTTTTCAAAGACTCCTAACTCAGTGCGATGTTCAAACATACAGCCAGGCCACCAGCTATGTTCTAAATGAAGTCATCCTCCTCATATGATAGGTCCATACCCATTCCAACCCGAAACGCCACACAAGTTTGCGTGCAGAAGAGCCACTGTGCTGGGCTGTGAGGATTGCACAGAGCCACAGACTAGGGGATCAAAAAAGCCCTTCGAAGGTCAACCATGGGTAGATTTATTCAGCAGTGCAAGAGCACTGTGGGCGCAGTCGACTCTCCCACCTCGAGACCAGGGTGAATGACCGGAAAGGGATACGATGATAGTACTATGATTGTGTGCCGGTAGGTACCAGGTCCATTGCTGACGGCGCTGCATGTGATCGGACGAAACCGACATCCGTGTCGGGCTCGTTTGTGCTGCAGGTGGGAAAAGGGATGACTCATCCACGTCACCGTCACGCGGGCATAGTAATCTCACTGTGGCAGGGCAAGCAGCTAGGTACCCGGTGCAGCCGCGGACTTCTTCGTTCTTGAGTCAAAGGCGACAATGCTGTACACTAGACAGTACTGGTACGAAGCCTCATATGCAACATTTTCACTTCACGTTCTGTCTGATGCCAGAATTCAATGGATCAGGAACTGTGCATGTACCAGATTAGGCTGCCGGGATTTGGTCGCCTCCCGTTGGTTGCATCTGCGAGTGGTACCTGACGGAAGCATCGCCCTTCAGCCACCAGGCATTGCGCGTCGGAAAGCTTCTGATTGGGATCATCCCTCGTTCAGCAGGTCTCCTCCTTAGGAAGGAGTGATGCTGGTTGACCAGTCGGATCGTGGTATCTGTAGCCTTCAGCGTCATATGTAGGAGCTGACCGAGGTAAGGTTTAAGTCATCGCGGACCTGGGCTCAGGCACGCTGGTCGCGATCGGCCTAATGCGTGGTTATAGACTGGTCGAGGGCCCGCTAACGGGGGTCTTTGCCACAATCTCATTGATCATCGAATTGGACTTGGGCCTATTGCGTACTTGGACAGTCTTGCGATTTTGACTTTACTTTTCTGAGGGACCCAGGATCCATTTTTAGAAAGAAAGCTCGGCGATCGTCTTACTAGGCGAGCTTGTCCTGCATACCCTGCAGGCCTACACTCTACACCCTGCACACTAGTGACTTTACAGTGAATGGATGTACCGGGTACATTGTACACTCCTAAAATCATGCAATGGAATGATATCCCAAATCGGCGAGCCAACGCTTTGGAGATTCTCCTTATAAGACAACCTGGGGCGCCTGGAGGGTCCCATAGCCCTTGCTCTTCACGATTCATCGCATGCCCTACCGCATACCTCACGGCTCACCATTTTCATTATCACTGAGAGATATTCAAATAAGCAGGATCAATAGACATCAACCATCTGCTTCTCACAAGAGGTCGATTGTATAAGCCTCGTACCCTACTATCCAACACGCCACTCATCATGCCTTCCTCAAGTTCCGCCAGTTCTCGCAGTGGCTCCCTGCAGTCATCGGCAGGCTCCAACAATGTCATCCAGAGCAAAGCCGATCCCAATGCGGCTTTGTATGAGGCACAGCCTAGTGAGTGTCCCCAGGTATCCAGAAGAAATAAGCAAAAAGTCTCCTGGTGCATCCATTCTCACCTACTATGCATCACACTTTACCGCTTTGGGAATGCGACTAATACTTCGACCTCTATAGTGGCTGTCAGCGCAGACATGGGCAACCGTGACGTCTTTTCTTTAAGAAGCATGCAACACAAGGATCGTGAGGGGAAAGTCATCGGTTCGTTCTGTGTCCAAACTCCAATGGTCTCATGCTAGAAGAGAGGATGCGAACAATATACTAACACGTCTATAGCCGACCCCGATCTCTCCAACCCAACTCGTCCCCGCTTCGAGCGCCCATTAGACACTATCCGAGGATTCGAAGCCGCGATCGAGTCAACACGGAAGCAAAATCGCATGTGAGACGGTTTGCACCAGTCCAGACTCCTAACTGGATTCGTACGACAGAAAGAGATACGATAGAAAGACAACGATAGCGATTTGAAATTTCCTTGGTCCTTTTTGGGTGTTCTCAGGTAACAATATGGGACGATTGGTGTGTACGTTAATGCTATTTGCCTAGTTCGCCGACGACGTACGAGGAATATGGACAACATTAGCCTTCTAGAGCCCTCAGTCCCAGGTATTTGTGTGTGTAGAGACTTCTATCAGTTCCCATCGCCCGGGCACTAATTCTAGATCTTTCCTGACCCACATACGCAGGGTCCTCGAGCCATCGCACATAATCTGGAAGCTTGGCACGTTTAATCATCTCGACGCGACCTGAATCTTCAGGGCCAAATGCGCATAGCAGATGATGACAGGTTGCAAAGCCGACCGGGCCGACCGTGTGACACATGGACATTCACATCATAGTAGTCGGTCCGCAGAGAGCTAATTTTGTTGAGACTCACTTTCTGGTTCGTACACTGCACAGTGCACGCCACAGTGCAAGTAGGCCGCAAGAGGCCGGAACTGAAGATTCTCCGAGTACTTCCCGAGTAAGGCCGCTGCTTGCCGATGTACAGGACGCTTAGATGATCATGGGCCCCATCTAACGCGTCAGCTCCCACGCGTTGAATCGATGTACTCTGGCGATCGGCTCTTGTCCATGTATCTTGAATGTCGATGACAATTTTCATGCAACAGACTTATGTCCACCGAATCATCGCCTCTTTTCAAATCTAAGGTTCTCAAGCGTGACATCACAGGAGCCTCAGGTGTAGCGCGTCCTCGATAGGTACCGGCATATGCAGCACGAGGACTCTTTCCGAAAACGCTCAAATCGCAAGTCTCAGCACGTTGACATACCGTCTTTGCCAACTTTAGCTTGGCCAGAACCCCCTCAAGAACCAAATTCAACAATTGAGCAAGATGACTCTCAACCAAGACATGTAGACATGGCCACTTCTCGCGTCGCATTCAAATCCCGTTGGAGACTGACAATCTTGTCTGTCCTCCAGTGCAGACACACAGTCAGCGCCCAGAGGTAATCGGAGATACCCATGGCCATCTTCGACCGCCATGAATATCACTTTCGCAGCCTTTTCGGGATCACCCCTGACCGTGTCGAGAAACTTTTCACTCTTTGACCGACATATCAACCATCTGCTGGACACTGGTTCCTTGATAGTCTTCACTGTAACCTCCGCTCTTCTGATACTTGGAAAGGATGACAATTCGGGACGCAAAAGATGTGCCAAATGCACCCGGCGCCACGATCAATACTCGAATTCCAAACTTTTGGACCTCATGGGATAGTGATTCATGAATCGCTTCGATTGCAAATTTGCTGGCTGAGTAGGTACCTCGACCTGGTCTTGCGATGAACCTATTGTTTGAAGCAAATAAAAAAAAATTTGGAAATATATTATCGCAGGTCGATCAACATGCCGGACCGAGTGATGCTTACCCAGCGTCACTACTGATAAGCACAACTTCCCCTGCTCGCCTCTGGCGCATTTGAGGAAGAATGGTCCGAACGACACGGAGGGGTGCGTAAACATTGACCTCCTTTTGAGAGCGCACTTCCTCCTCGCTAGGCATAGTTAGGAAAGCCCCCCGAATGAGGTCTCACGCGTTTGTCCAGTCAGATTTAGACTGTGTGCTTTGCAAGAATCACCTTGTATCTTCTACGCCCCCGATGAATGCAAAGCCTGCGTTATTCACCAAGACATCGACTCCAGTTCTCTGCGCTAGCTGCAGCGCCCCGTCATAAGCGTCGGGCTGCCCGGGATCCAGTGTGATCCAAATACCGCCGCTCTGCTCAAAGCCAGGAAATCGCTGTCTAGCCCTCCCCATCCCACGAGTTGTGCCAAGGACCGAATGGCCTTGTTTCAAGACGTGGCTGGCGAGAGACTTGCTTATGTCCTGTAAATTCTTCGGAAAGGCTAGATAAATATTCAGAGAGACTCCTTCGAGACGGAAATTGAGCTGTGTTTGTCAAAACGCCATGAGGGTCGCGTTGATAATCAGATGAAGGTGGTTAAAGCCGTGAGACGGACTCAAGAGTGTTATACCCGTCTCAGATCCGGCAATCGTAGGCCTGAATGTCTCAAAACATGAGTTCGTCACCTGACTAAGTGGATAGATCAATCTCATCTTCATTGCGACTTGTCATTCAGTATCTTAACAAGCAAGTAAGGCATCGATTCGTATCTGCTGCATAACATAAGCTCGATGGAAAGCACCCAGCTGACAGAAGATCCATGAATGAATTCCTTCGCCGGCCAGGATCAAAGCACAAAAAGCACATCTTCCTCGTCCCCAGTTACGGCTTACAGGCGCAACTAGTCGAGACGGTCAATCTTGATCAGTAACTCGCCGGTGGAAGCAAATCTGCCTTGGCTGCACCTTTAGTTCTTGCTATTGCCGCTGTCATCGTCTCCGTTGTTGGAGTAGTAGTAGGTATTGTCACTAAGGTAGGCCGTATCAGCATAAACTCCAAGTTGGCAGTGTGCAGGGACTTGAGACTCACGAGTTGGCGGGAGTGTACCAGGCTTCGCCCTTGCCATTGTTGTAGTAAGTGCTTTCGTCAGAGTTCTTGTAGTAGTACGATCCATTCCTGGTTGTAAGTGAAGTGAGCATGATCTGGCGTCGTCTCCGAGTATAATCCAAACAACCAGCAAAAGGACGATACGCACTGGTTGGAATAGTGATAGCCACTCTGACCAGAGTCGTAATCACGGCTACAATAGTGGTTACCCTGACAGGTAGAAAAATGTCAGCTCCGAGATTGCGGCGGTCATAGTTGCTTGCGTGGTCCCACCTGGCTGTTGGTGCCCGAGTTCTTGTAGGTGTATCTGTTGCGCTTGTTGTCGGTTGGCATCGTGTCTAGAGGTGGGTTGTTTTTAAAAGACGTGAACAAATGCTGCTCGTGAATTCTGGAGACGAGAAAGTGCGCTGGGGCTCTGTGGTACGTCGAAAATTGAGTTGATCTGGGGGAGGGAAATTTGGGGAGCAGAAGAGGAGGTGAGCACAGAGTGGCGAGGATCACGCGTTCGGAAGTTTCCGTCAAGACACGAACGTCACGATGAACCGTTCTGTCTCATCCGAGTTGGTCTACTAGACCAATTTTGGCCTCATGCCTTATGTTCGTCTTTTGAGGCCGAGCGTGGTGGACCACTCTCACAACAACTAGAGGTAACGCAGTTGGCATTTCCACTACTGCACACAAGTGATTTTCGCGCTGATAATTCTACAGGGTGCCTTTACAGACATTTCCCACTACACCTTCATGTACGGTCCCTCGATATCTGCATCCATTGACGGCTGGACACTCTACACTCGACCGTCAGTAGAGTCACGGATTTCTGTAGCATTCGATTTTGGAACGGAGACCAGGCTCTTGTATACAAGAGGAAGTGTTCATGATTATTTATTTCGCCCATGAATGACAACTTGAGTCACCGGCATTGCAACATGATCAAATCTGAGGCGTCCGAGTTCAGCGGGTGCACCTCTTGCTGGTGCGTCCTTTGACACTTTTCGACATTCGGTGTCGGCGCCATGACAAGAGACGTATTCGAGGATCCGGATAGGTCTATTGAGCTGGGCCCAGCAATATTTTGTGAAACAACCTTCGTGGGGTATGCGAAATTCGGCCGCTATGGGACTCAGCATCACGCCTTCTTGAGGTGTGCACTTCCGAAATCGTGGGCTTCACGCCAGCATCACCGATATTTGAACTCCAGGGCACATTCTCTCTCATCAGACGCGCGAAGAATTTCAAGGATGAGAAAGAACTCAGTCATGCAATTATTAACCGGCAGCCTGCCCAGAGAGCGTGCAGAAAAGGCCACCAAAACTAATATTGAAGCTATGAGCCAATATTTACCTGGGTGGAAGCAAGCTGCAAGCTTGTTTTATACCTGCGCCAAGACTACGCAAAGAATGGCTATCTTCCGTTCAATTGGACCGCATTCATCTTCCACGAAGGCTTCTAAGGTCATAATAGCCACGACATGGGCGTGTGCTGAGTGATAAAATGGTATGAGTTTGGAAGGCATCCATTCTACATAGGTAAGCGTGTTCGTATGTAGGGATTTAAATTGATTCACATTGTTTCACATTGTACACGGTCTATTTACAAGTAGTCTAGTATAATCATAGCTTCGTCGAAACTTCCTGGCCAGCATCTGATAGTTCCGTTGCGGTATGTGTCATTTTAGTGGTCGTTGACCAGAACGTAGCGGAAGCGAGCCTTGCCAGCGTCCATATCCTGAATGGCCTTGTTAGCGTCCTTCATGGGACGCTCCTCGATCCAGGGGTGAACATTCTTAGCAACGACCAGGTCAAGCATCTCACGGATCTCATCGGGGCTACCGATCAAGGAACCTCCAAGCTTGATGCCCTTCACGATGAGGGCGAAGGCGGGAAGCTGGAAAGGACCATCCTCAGGGGCACCCAGCTGAATGAAAGTACCACGAGGACGCAGGAGCTGGCAGTAGCCAAGCAGCGGCATCTTGGAAGAGGAGGCGGTGGAGACAATCAAGTCCAATGAGCTTGCGTGCTTCTTCTCCCAGTCCTCGTCCTCACCGGTAGCGATGTAAGCGTCAGCACCGAGCTTGAGTGCATCCTCCTTCTTGTCAGACTTGCGGGAGATGGCAACAACGTGGTCGGCACCCAGAGCCTTGGCGAAGAGGATACCAAAGTGGCCCAGACCGCCGACACCGACGATACCAACCTTCTTGCCGGGACCGCAGCCGTTCTGGCGGAGAGGAGAGTAGGTGGTGATACCACCGCAAAGCATGGGCGCTGCCTCGGCGGAGGGAATGGCATCGGGAATCTTGATCACGAAGTGGGAGGGAGAGCGGTTGTACAAAGCGTACCCGCCGTAGGACTTGCCGCCGTTGGCGTAGGTTCCGTTGTAGGTACCGACCATGCGAGCGCAGTGCTGCTCCAGGCCGTTGGCGCAAGGCTCACAGTCGCCGTTGACATTTTGGCAGGAGCCGCTCTGGGCACCGACACCGACACGGTCGCCAACCTTGATATTGCCCTCAGCCTTGGAGCCGACACGGACGGCGACACCGACAATTTCGTGGCCGACACAGCAAGGGTACTGTGTGGGACCCTGTACAAACATATCTATTAGCACTACTCTTTCGAAGAAATGCTTGGAAGGGAGTCAAAGAGGTGTATCGCATACCCAGCCGCTGGCGAGAGTGTGCATGTCAGAGCCGCAAATACCGCAGTGAGTGACCTTGATGTCAACATCGGTCTCTTCCCAGGGCTTGGGCTCAAATTGTTGCCAGACCATCTTGCCCTTGGCGGCCTCCTTATCGAGACCCATCCATCCTTCGAACTTGTAGTCGGTAGAGCCCATGGTGAATAGATGTAGTGCAATGTATTGAATAGATTTGTTGCTTCAAAAATCGACGAGTCGGGCGGATTCCAAGATTCTTATATCTGGACAGAGAGGGCCCTTCGAGCTGTGGTGCGTCATTGCTCTGACAAACTGTGGATCGATGGATACGGTGGAGGATTCGGTCTAAGTGGCAGCACCGGACTCGGTGGACTGGGCGATTCGTCTCGAAGTCCGAAGCGGGATCTTGCACAGCTTCCGTGTTTCATCGCGAAAGGCAGATAGCCAAGATCGCCTTCGAACCTCTCATATGGACTCATCGGACCCACAAGGTCCGTCGATGGGCTGTTGTCATCAACGGGGTTAACCACCATCCCATCTGTATGTCCGCGAAGGGTGCGGTCGAAAAGCTTGACACCTGGTGGTGGCGACCACGACGTCCCAGCCCGCTCGAGCGGTTGATGAGCGCCATGTGTACATGCCAACCGCACTCATGGACGCTGTCATCACCAATCGTTTCTGTGGGAATGACCCGGCGCAAGGATTTAAGTTTTTGAGTTCTGATGACTTTCGTCATCCCGGTCAATATTTCTCATGCCTCAGGCCACCACATCCTTGCCGTTCCGCCACAATCCGAACTTGCCTGTATCTGACATTTCTGTTCAAGATTCTAGAATGACCAGGAAGGAAAAAGAACCGATGTGCCGATGGAGCCGCCATTTCCCCCTATTCTGAGGAGTTTACCGGTGGCCACCACGATGGTATGTTTGAATAAGTCGTAGGCACCGATAGTCCAGACCTGCAATCACCAAAGCACTCTTGCTCACCACGACTACTTCGAACTTCGAAGTATATCTTCACTGACCGAGGCTCGGATCATAAGTCCAACGGCTAGCCGACCGCGAGTACTCGGTGGCCGGATATAATGATCGGGCGGAGATAGAACAACGGGTGATACGATGAGGGCCTTAGACGATTGGCCGTGAAACAAATTGAGACCCAATCCTTCGAAATTCAGCCGACCCCGACGGTCCCTATTAGCCAAAGTCTCCGAATCAGCGGATGACGTCGGATAGATACTCATTAGTGCAGGATTTGCTGCAGATATGCTGAAGCATTGGAACTAGCCATTGGCATGTGTGTCCGAGTAGCGCTCAAGCCCGACATGTTGTTGAACACCGTAGATAGTTAGATACACAAAGTACGAGGATTGATCGGTGAGCGAACTATGGAGCGTGACTCGGCTGACAGCGAACGACGCTCGAAGGAATTCTTCATGCCATCGTTCATTATGAAATCCATGAAGACTCTGAACCAACCGCGGTTTGTTGAGATCCAGAGGGTTAGTGATTAGCATTTGCTGTCTGCCATATGGAAGCCCAATGACCGAACTAAAAGAAGCCCGCCTCTAGCTTCCTTATATTAACCATCATTCATGGATGTTTCTCCATTCTCGGCCAGCCCGATCTCGGCGAAAGTTGAAACAATGGAGGTGAATATCAGCCTGCTAAACTAGTCATCAGCCTTCTTAATTCACAGATAACCAGATGTGGCTTTAAATCCACGCGGGATAGTTTGAAGTGTGTGGGAATATGCGGTGTTGCTGTTGCCAGGGGGGCTTCCGTGCCGTAGCTGGGTCTGCCCTCCTCCATGAATCATGAAGATGCGACCGGAGGACGTTATTGACCACCGGGTTCCCGGATGAGTATGCTTATTTGATTTTTCTTTGCCGTTGCAATTAGTGTTGTAATGAAAAAAAAAGTAACAAGAAAAGGGGAGGTAGAGGCCCTAGCCGCGAATCGAACGCGGGTCACATCCATGCATAGACCGATTTGCGATCTGGGTTTGAGCCCGAAGGATGTATGATACCACTATACTACCAGGGCGTTTTTTAGATGACATAATCCTTTTTTATAGTCCTATATTCCAAGCAAAGAGCCCGAGTCAACCAAATTGTCTTAATCTTGCCACCATGTGAGGCTACGTTAAGGATGCGGTAGTAGTACTAGTGGATATGAAATAATAGCAACGGAGCACCTCCCCTCAACGAAGAGGAATTCAAGCTCCGCCCACTTGAGTCCATTTGAAGGCCAAGCACTATGCTTATAAATATTCACGGAAGGGTAAATTCTCGGGGTTTGTAGTTTTTGAGGTGTCTCAACTAGGACACATGCTATCCATACGAGCTTCCAATTATATTTCCAGCCAGTCAGAAAGAACTTGTAAGATCTGTTTTGGGTTTACAATCAATTGAGATAGTGAGGCTCACCTGACATGCGGGCGGGTACGACTAGAGCCTCGCCCTACATTCAACCTAGGTACCTTACCTACCTACCTAGGTAGGTCACCTTGCTGCACGGTCGAGTATTGGGCCTGAGCATGTCGATTTAACAGTTGAAAACTTGCGATGGTGGTATTTTGGGTCAATTATGGACGGTAGTGGCTCAGAAGAGTGTCTTACACTTTGACTGTGATAGTTTTAGCAGATCGGAGGGGAGGGCTCCCAAAGATACTAAACTTTCAAACCAAACTAGCGTGGGCCATGGAACAGCCATAGAGAAGACAAGAGTAGATCTGGTATGCTACAACCTTGCTCCTTCATGTGGTAAGGATTGTCATTAAAAGGGAGTTTTAGTGGGGGATGTGATAGCATATAAATGAATGATAGAATTCCGACAGAAAAACTCTTGCTAGCCACTGTTTCATAGATCGCGAAAGACCATTGTGCCGAAATGCAAAAGATCAAAGCAAAGCGCGCTTCTGATGTTATTCATTTGGACGCTGCCGAAGATCAAGCATTATCATCAATTTAATCACGCTAGCACATACGTAGTTGCATTAAGAAGCCGGGGAGCAAGTTACTTGCCGTTCTCGAGCGCATCAACCACCTCCTACTGGTTCAATATTCGCGCATACACCACGACTGTGCGACCTTTTGCATCTAAGATATTCAAGTTCGAACCTTTTCTGACCGAGTAGCGAGACACGTCCGCTTTACCGAGTTCAGCCGCTTTTTGCAGAGGCGTTCTGAGGCCTATAATAGAAAACTGCGCCAAGACGGATATTAGTACTCAACGACTTACCCTGATATAGATTCAAGTTCGCTTATAGGCTTGTTGATGATATCCCACCTATTCTTATGGAATACCTCTAGGGCCTCCTTTGCCTTCGTATTAAGAGCTTGTAGACCATAGAGCGGATCTATAGCCACAACGTGACCAAGAAGCTCTTGAATAAATTGTGAGTCATTTCGTTTGATAGCTTCGGTCATTATCCTACAAAGCTGGAGGTCGCATATGTCAAAGCTCTCCGACGAAGAATCTTGCGATCCTGTAATCTCGCAAGAACTCTGGACGCCACCATTAACGCAACATGTATACAATACTTCAAGGGTCGCTTGTGGGGGTCCGAAATAGAATTTGAGGGTAATCACTCGATTTAATCGGAGGGTAATCAGCGGCGGTAAGACATCCATAGCGGGAGCAATGAGCGAGCTTTGCGACTTCTTGGCCAACAAGTACTTGAGGTTGAATGAAGCGGAAAATACTAGTTGCATATTAAGTGGCGAGGGGGACACACTCAATTTGAATGAAGTCCCCGGACGTCGAGTCCGCATTCACCGTGCCGCCGTGCGCAGCGTTGGCCAATTGGTCATGTGCACATCAGTCGCCGTCTCGAAGATTCTTGAATACATCTTCTACTCTTCTGTCTATCACCACCCTTGGGTAAGACTATATGGATGAATATCACAAATTCCATGGGAAAATCGAGCCTATGTGTCCAGATAGTACACCGATATCTCTGGAAAAAGCCTTATACATCATTGGTAGTGTTCAGTACCATTCATTGTTTGTCGGAACCTCGTGTTGGATGGATAGTTCCGGATTGTTGCTGATCTTCTGCTCCGGATATGCACGTGCATGAAGAATGCGAGAATATAGATAGGTGAGCGCGCCGACTAGTGAGCCTTATGCGCGTTGTTCCTTCCCCGCGTTTTCCCCGCTATTCATGTCTGCACAGCGGCGTCATAGCGCTAAATGCTACATCAGTTACAGCCTCCCACGCGAGTCGAACTTCCAAAATTGCTGACATGCCTTGACTCTGGGACTACTATAGGATACGGGTCTAGGTGGAAGGTTTGCTATGCTCCCACAATGTCTGTAGACAAGGGCATCTTCCATATCTACATTGGCTAATACATGTGCAACAACTTGCTCTCATTACTTATTTCTGGCGTGAGAAAATCAAAGCTGTGAAAAGGTAAATTTGCGAAAATCTTCACAGCGCGGAGAAATAAACCTGCCGCCGTGTCTTGAGTGAGAAGTATGGGCTATTTCGCGCTGCAACCCGAACCTCTCAGTATGGTAGTCGCTGGCGTTGTCTTATGACCTTCGAGACGGCGCAGGTTCCTTTTTTAGCTCGGAAAGTGTCTTTACCGAGCCCTTGCTATCTCGAAGCGGGGTCCGCAGGGAAAACCAAGAATTTGTATGATCACGGTCTTTGATCTTAACTTCAACCGAGGAAAAACACATGTCGATGTCTTGATTTCCAGGCTAGTGAGCACTTCGCTCTCATACGAGCTGTGCTTATATGGTGCTCTGCAACCCCCAGTTGATTTTGTTATTCTGATCAGCGGTACCTGCTGGGCGCAGTCTCTATATTGGCGGAACACTTGCCTATCAACCATCATCTAGAGCATAGGTTCCTGGAAAAGACCCTTTCAGAATGCTGCCCGCTCTCATTGTGCCAATCATCCTGGCCCTTCCCGCCGTCTTTGCAGCACCTGATCGCGTGAAGCGAGCTGGTGTACCAACAGTGATCATCACACATCCGCAAGCTACAGTCGTCGGTAAAGCTGGAGTACTCGGTGTGGAAAGCTTTAATGGTATCCCCTTTGCAAAGCCACCCACGGGTCAGCTTCGTCTGAAACCTCCGCAACCCATACAGACCCCACTCGGTATTGTCCAAGCCACAAGCCCAGCCAAGGCTTGTCCTCAGTTCTTCTTCTCTACCGATAACTCTGACTTCCCTCTTTCTGTCATTGGAGAATTAGCCAACATTCCACTTTTCCAAACAATCAGCAATGCGGGCGAAGACTGCTTGACGGTCAGTATCCAGCGTCCTGCTGGGACGGAAGCGAGCACAAAACTGCCGGTCTTGGTGTGGATATATGGCGGTGGGTTTGAGCTCGGATCTAGCGCGATGTATGATGGGTCGAGTCTCATATCTGCCTCAATGCAATTGGGAATGCCCATTGTGTTTGTTGCAATCAACTACCGCGTGGGTGGGTTTGGCTTCATGCCTGGCTCAGAAATCCTGAAAGACAACTCTGCCAATCTGGGTCTTCTCGACCAACGGCTTGCTTTACAGTGGGTTGCCGACAATATCGAGTCGTTTGGTGGAGATTCAAGTAAGGTGACGATCTGGGGCGAGTCTGCAGGGTCAATCTCTGTGCTAGATCAGATGGCACTCTATGACGGGGATCACACCTACAACGGGAAGCCCCTTTTCCGAGGTGCAATCATGAACTCGGGCAGTATCGTCCCTGCCGATCGAGTGGACGGTGTCAAGGGCCAGGCTGTCTATGATACGGTTGTCCGGTCTGCCGGTTGTTCAAGCGCCTCGGACACTCTAGCCTGCTTGCGCAAACTGGACTACACCACGTTCCTGAATGCAGCGAATTCTGTTCCTGGTATTCTCTCATATAACTCTGTTGCTCTTTCATACCTCCCTCGGCCGGATGGCAGTGCCCTCACAGACTCTCCCGATGTCTTGATAGCGAACGGAAAGTATGCCTCTGTCCCGTTCATTATCGGCGACCAAGAAGATGAGGGGACTATCTTTGCACTCTTCCAAGCAAATATCACTACAACTGAGCAGATAGTAGACTATCTGAAAGAGCTCTTCTTCAAAGACGCGTCACGAGCACAGCTTCAGGCTCTAGTGGCCACTTACCCCGACGTCACAACCGATGGATCCCCATTCCGCACCGGTATATTCAACAACTGGTACCCCCAATACAAGCGCATCGCGGCCATCCTGGGCGATCTCACCTTCACCATCACTCGACGAGCCTTCTTGACGTTTGCGCATGCTGCGAAACCCAATGTGCCATTCTGGTCATATCTCTCTTCTTATGATTATGGAACGCCTATTGTGGGCACCTTTCATGGTTCTGACATTCTTCAAGTGTTCGATGGGATTCTGCCCAATTACGCGTCTCGGTCATTTCACTCCTACTATCTTTCTTTCGTCTATGATTTGGATCCGAATTCAAGATCGGCTGGCTTTATGACATGGCCGCAGTGGGCGGACAAGCAAATGCTGATGCAATTCTTCCGAGACCGGGGTGCTCTTTTGCCGGATAACTTTCGACAAGACACTTTTGAGTTCATTTGGAACAATGTGGCATCTTTCCATATTTGAGTTTCATACGAGGGTCAAGACTACCCCTCGCTGGGGTTTCCATGCCATGGGAGTGGATGTCGACTGTGAATAAGGTCATATTGTGTCTGCCAGCACCAGTTCCTGATAATGATTATTTTCGGCATACTCAGAAACATCGTTTCTGAATGGTGATTTGTCTTGGGATTCTCTATCTATCAGATCATGTGGCGTGAAGACTAGGAAACAATGCACTTTGAGATTTTGCCTCAAACTCTTGGGGGCCAAGACGCGTTTACTGTCTCTTGAAGAAAAGATTTTCCAGCAGTATTCATGACCTCGCCCACCGTGGAGTAAGACCATAACTCTGGTTTAAACATCAAACAGAATCGGTCAATACTACACCGCGTCCAATGGCTTTGAAGGCTCTCTAGCAACGAAACAGAAAGAAAAAAGAGTGTTCCATGGTCCACTTATTTTGGTGAAGCGGAATGAGGAAGCGCCAAAGTTGATGCTCGGAAGAACGCGGGCTGCCACGGACTAGAAAGCACATTACATGAATTGATTTGCGAGTCTAGGGACTCTTGAATGGGTCATAGCACGACGTATTATGTTGATTTTGGCTTCTTGACACCATGAAAAATCACACCTATGTTCACCACTCCGTCTCAGAAAGACTGGGCCATGGTTCCGTATGCCAGCACACAGGAACACGTGCCAGACTTTAGTCTTACAGCACTCCATGGCCGAGCATGTCAGTCAGCAATTATCCGCGAACATCCACTCTCACGGTATCCGTGACACGAATCTTTTGGTTGTTGTCCTGATTCCAAAGAACCTCCTGGCTTGCACTCCGTTCACCGTCAATCTCCGTCATATGCTCGTAGGTGTTGTTTCCATGAAAGACTCTGTTCTTCTTCTTTTTGGAGACCGAGTCAAGACTGATGGGCTCAGAGCTGTTGGAGTAGCTGGCGTTCTTGGAGCGATGTTCCTTCAAGAATCCGAAGATCGCTCGGAGAGCAGGGAGGGAGAGGGCGATGATGGCGGCGCTGATCTCGGCACAGGTCCATGCAATCACGGGGGAGAAGTACCAAGTGGCGTCATCCGGGTGTTGCACAGAGACAATCATGGCAATCAGACGGAGTACGGAAGCACTGATTTCAATATTCACATTAGTCTGAGTTGTTGCGTGTTGGTAGAAAAATTGACTCGAAGAGCTTACACCACGGCACTAAAGAGCAGTCAGGGGTTAGCAAATTACATTCGTCAAGGACTCCAGCGAGACGAATCAAAATTGATACTCACAAGATACCAAAGCAAAGCACGAGCAGCAATGCTAATTTTCGGGCCATCTTGGCCTGAAGGCCCATCACAATTTTCACCGGCAAGAGGAGAATCAACGAATCGCAAGCAATTGTGAGAGCGCCCGTGGAAATGAAGACCACCTTTGAGCCCATGCATTTCCCGGTGCCTTCTCCCCACAGAGCTGACAACGGAATGCATTGCAAAGCGATAATCATGGTCTGTGCAATATACACCGCGGTGATGAAGGCGAAGGAGAGGCGAAGATATAGGATGAATTGCGGCATGGGATTGAGTCGGGCATAGAAAGCAAGGCCGGAGACTCGACAGAGCCACAAGTTGAACATGTACACGACCTGCGTGGCGACCAGCCATTTGTACATCTTGACAAGTTCTTCTGGCTTACTGACAAGAGCGAGAAGATGTTTTCCGGAGCCGTAATGAAGGATCATGATGCAAAGGCCCATGGTCGCCCAGCTCGTGAGCTTGACATTGAAAAGTCTCAGTCTTGTGTTCATGAATTCAGCCGTGGGCAATGAACTTACCTGCGCCATGAGAATGAAGTAGTCATCCCATCCCAGTTCGCGGATGAAGAATTTGCGAACGTAGAGTCGGATCATCACTACGATGAACGAGAGAGTCGTTACGAAGATGATCCCGATCAAGGCAGGCTGCCTACGATCCTCAGCCAAAAAGGCTGGCGTGACACCTGGTGGCAGTTCCATCTTTCTTCGTATAGCTCGCTGCGTACTTGTCTCTTCAACTCACCGATCCGTGGGAGGCACACTCTGGCATCATGACTATAAGTAAATAGGCTGACCCATGGCGGGAAGGTCCTTCAAGGTTGAAGATTGACGTCCCACAAATGCGGGCCGTGACCGTTGACCTGTCATGTCGACTCCACCACCCGGTAGCTAGAGGCTATCCAACTTGGTAGCTCAAACGTGCCGCTTCTGATCCTGTCACTGTGCAGATCACGCTAACACGACGCTAGCTGACGAGAAGCGAATTAACACGGAGCAAACTCTTCCTCGGCCATCGCCACTGAAGAAACGGACTTTTGACCCCGTTCTCAGGCGCGGAAGGATTTTCCCATCCCGTGGAAAGGTTTGAATTCAACCCCAAAAGAGGCCCATGTAGGGATGATCCCACGGTCTCGCTAAAGCCTCTCCTGAATACGAATGCTTTTAATTAGAATATGATGATGATGATGATCGCCATGAGTTTTGCATTGACACGCTCTCGCCAAAAAATACCCCCGACAATGGACATTGAGCTGCGGGAACGAAAAAGTGACCTGTCGTGAGCGCGAAAGTACTTTCGAAAACAAACAATCAGGTTTTCAGGGTCCCAAGAGGTAAGGGCTCGCTCTCCCCCAAAAATCGTTCCCCTGAATGCTTTGATTTCTCTTGCAATATTCTTCTTCCGTTGCCATATGGTTGTGGAACGGTTCGGCTTGACTCCTATACCACTTCGCCCACCTGAGGATACTAACAGTCCATGATTCAAGACCACATCTTCATGACCCTTCTACAGCGGAACGTGAAGAGCCAGACCGAGACACGGCACATTTGGTCAACGCTAGACAAGGTTCTAGTCCATCCCCGACGGCCGATCGGTACTTTTGGCACGAAATTCTCCGTAAACCAGCAGCCCCGTGCGAGCCGGCATGGACTCCACTTGGTGAGGGTTTGCGACACCCGGTCTCCAATTCCACGCCAATCTCACGGCCCTCCCCAAAGACATTCTGTATACTGCATACTGCATAGTACTAGTGCAGTAGTGTAGCACTGCCGTGGAATGGCTCTGAACGAAAGGTTGAGCAGGTCGCCCATGCTGGATCGGTTCAGGTTTCGGATTTTTGTCCCCTCTCCTTTAATCTGGGCCCCTCTTTCTCGATTGACAGCTCTCAATCGTTTCATCCTCCGATTCCTCCAGGAACCTCCCATCTCTCTTGCCAAGTGAGCAGCGACGCTCGATACGTCCACCTGTGAGACCAACAATGACAATCAGCATGCAGGACCTTGTCTTGAACTGGAGTGTCTCGCATCTCGTAGCTTGTGTGGCTGGGGTGATTGTGATACGTGTGCTATTCAGAAAGTACGCAACAGCAATCAGGGACGTCCCCGGCCCATTTTGGGCATCTTTTTCCAGTCTCTGGCGCGTATATCGCACGTGCAAGGGTCACATTGAAAATGATATCCTCGATTTACATCGAAGACATGGTATGATCTCTTCCACCCGTTGGGGCCATGAGTCGTGCAACTAAGTACTCGAGAAGGCTTCTTTGTTCGAATTGCAGACAACGAAGTGAGCGTGTCTCACCCGGACGCAGTCAAACAGCTTCTCCATACGAACTTGGAAAAGGTACGTCGACGACGGACACTCGGATCCGACGGCCGTCAAGATGAAGATTAGGGCTGATTGATCTCCAGGGCACCTTCTACTCGATTTTTAGTCTGCCGGATTATCGCTACGTCAATCAGATGTCAGAGCTAGATCCCACACGACACATCCACAAAAAGCGTAGCCTGGCAGCAGGATTCTCGATCACGAATATTGCAAAGGCTGAGCCGTATATTGACAATGTCCTGAGTCTTCTCAGGACACGATTCGACGAGCTCTGCAAATCTGGAGCCCCGGTGGAGTTCCAGAACTGGTTCAGCTACTATGCCTTTGACGTTCTCGGAGAAGTCACATTTTCCAAATCCTTTGGATTTGTCGAGTCTGGAAGCGACATTCGTAATGCAATTGCCAACACAGGGGCGTTGGTCTATTACATCGCTCTCATGGGCAATTACATTTGGTTCCATAATTTGACCCTGGGTAACCCATTATTCAGCTGGCTGGGTCTCCAGCCAAACTCTCACATCTTCGACACCTGCTTGATTGCGGTAGATGATCGAAAGAACAATCCCAAAGTTCGCCATGACATGATGCAGCGCTGGCTCGATACCCGTGCAGCATATCCTAATCGCCTGTCGGAACGAGACGTGTTTGCAGCCGCCGTTGCGAATATCGGAGCCGGCGCCGAGACTGTCAGCACAGCTGCACAAACAGTGCTGTACAACTTACTGCGCAACCCGCATCTTTTGAAACGCGCTCGACAAGAGATCGACGAAGCTCAGTCTCGGGGCGAGCTCTCGTCCCTGATACAGTACAACGAGGCATCACAATTGCCCTTCTTGCAGGCCTGCGTATGTTGACAACATCTATGTGCCCTTTCTCCTACTCAAACAATTACTCATACACTCCCAGTTAAAAGAGGCCTACCGAACACACCCCGGTGTCGCCTATAATCTTCCCCGCATCTCACCAAAGGGTGGTATTACCATCGCCGGAAGATATTTCCCTGCAGGGGTGAGTAATCTCCTTCCGCTACATTCCCGCATTATCAAGAAGGCTAATCACCATTTGCAGGTGATCCTGAGTGTCAATCCGTGGGTGATCCACCGCAATGCCGAGATTTTCGGAGCCGACGCCGAGACCTACAATCCCGATCGCTGGCTTCGAGAGGATACGAAAACCATGGACGCATATTTGATTCACGTAAGTCAACTTGTACACGTATGCATTGAACTATACTTACTGACGCTTGATGTAGTGGGGAGCAGGATACAATTCATGTCCCGGTCGGAATCTCGCCCAATTCGAGCTTCTCAAGGTTCTCGCAACGGTATTGCGAGACTACGAGGTTGAATTGTTGGAGTCGCATAAAGATTGGGAATACAAGACACGTTTCCTCGCTGTTCCTTATGGGTGGCCATGCAGGATCCGCCGCCGTCAGACGAAGACGGCATGAATTGCCCCAGAGAGGCAGGCGTCCAAGTTGGCTTGGATAACTGGTTGATGTTAAAGCACTCTTTTTCTCATGCTCCTACGTATCCTCTCCGAATATTGCCACAAATTTTATGACCGTTCTGTCACAGTCATGACAGCCCACCTGCAGTAACCCACAACCTGTAGAATACTGGAAAAGTAGTCTTATACTAAGAAGTGTTGAATTCGCCCAGGGAAGACCGACTAGTGTAAAACAGATTGAATTAATCATAACCAAATAAATTTAAGCACGGTGGAATACAGTGCCAACGTTCAATTACAGCAAATTCAGTCAACCCCGGTCTGTACTGACTGTATGCTACTCGAGCATCATCTCGGGCAAGCTCGGCCCAAAATGGGCGGTCATGGAGTCGTTGCATACGGCCTATATCTAATGCTCTCATGTATTTAAAGATTCTTCCTCGGGATTTTATCGGTTCTGCGTAACCAAACCACGTACGCGGACTAAATAGCTACATAGCCGGAGGGTAAACAGGGAACAGCAAACAATATTATTAAGTGACAAAAGTTGACCAGGCGATACACTATTGACAATCAATAGAACAACGTCCTTTGGACCTGTGCAGCAGTGGCTGAATTGGGCACCGCCACCAATTCCACAGATCGACAACCAGCGTGATGCTTCAATCATCCGTCCGTTTCACGCTCAGATCAATCACGAGCAACCGCAATGTGGCGTTTCTCTTGCCAGTAATATCTTCCAATTTTGAGATCTCTTCCTGTAGATCTTTGGCCAGCTTCTGGACAAGAGCAAACGTGTCTCTCAGAGTGCCAGTGTCATGGAAGATATCTCGCAGTTTGACTTTCATTTCGTAAGATAATCTTGGCCCTTGACTGATGCCCACAGGAAGTTGACGAAAGATTCCGGTCACATAATCTCGATACTGTGGGTGATGGCAGAGAAGATGGACAATCGGGAATGAATACTTTCCCTCGTCGAAATCCTCACAGAACCCTTTTTGGTCGGAGTACTTGGCTGATTTGAGATTCATGTAATCGTCTCGAATTTGGAAAAACCGGCCAAAGAGGAGAGTCAACTTGTCGAAATTTACCTCTGAGGAACTCTCGAAATCTGAACCTGCTTCGCTTTCCGCTTGTAAGAGCCGGGCGATCATTCTGAACATACTTCCGGTCTTGTTATCCACCATGTGAAGATATTCTTCTTTCGAAGGACATCTCAAGTTGTGCTTCCAATAGAGATCCCAGCTTTGGCCAAGATAGAGCCTCTGCAAGGTATCGAGCAGGATATCCATTGACAACTCGTTCTTGAATCTTCTCGCCTCTTCGACGGCTTCTGTGAACATGAACAGCCCACTGTTGACTGTCTGAGGCATTCCGAAGATTGTGTGCGCGGCTGGATTTCCACGCCTCATTTTGGAATCGTCTTGAACATCGTCTATCAGGAGCGAAGCGTCATGCAAAATGCGAATGATGTCGGTCAGGGTCGTTGTCGAGTCAGTAGAAGCGCCGATCCATGTGTTGAAAGCTCCAATAAGCCCAGAGCGCGTACCCTTGGACGGCGAGCTGAAAATGAAATTCGACGGAGCTCTAATAGCAGCCTCACTTGGCTTTCTCCACATATCCACCTCCTCTTCCGTATCACAGCTTCTGCACATCCTCTTCGAACAATCATTCTCTCCTTCTCCGCGAGGCTTGATCGCTTTTGAAACTTCAATATTGTCCCCACAAGGTTGTGATTGCTCTTGAGACGAATCGATCTGGCTACCTTGCAAGGAAGTGTGGACTTGCGCTGTCTCTGTCATCGAAGCTGCGATATCGGCAGCCAAGAGAGGATTTTTCTTCCAATCCTGATACCGAGGCGAGAACATAGCCCAGTAATTGAAGCCCCCGAGTGTGAGGCCCATAGATTCAATATCAGACCGAAGAGCATCAGACACTGAGGGATTGACCGTGAAAAATCTACCGATCTGCTCATAGAACTCCTCTTGCGCTTCAATAATCTTGGCTTTGACCTTCTCCTTTGCCGCTCCAAAGGTGATACCGTCAGTCTTGCTCAAGAACTCGACAACGTTCAGCACTCTCGTGCCGTTGTGTTTCCAGTCTAGGTATTCCTTTTCCCAGCTCCAATAGTCTTGACTCAGGAGCGACACTTTGTTAGCCGTCAGTCTAATATGATCGCTCATTTGCAATTCTGCCTCTGACAGCACGATACCCATAGCAAGACGATTAGTGGCCCAAAACGGACTTCTTAGAGTTAGTATTTGTTCACTTTGGACTTAAATCAAGCCGGTGGCAACAGTCTTACTGACCCTATTCCAACATCTATCATTCGAAAAGCAATAAACTGTTCGAGATCCTTGCCGTCGAACTCGTGGCAAATGTCCTTAGACCAATTCCGATTGGCATCCAGGACAGCGATCCCAGCAGGTTCATCGATGGCTATCAATTGTAGGATGCCCTCCGAAAGAATCTCTCTGAACCCGTGTTCCTTCGTAGACATACGCGCTTCGCCCGGGGGGGGGGATTCCAAGGATGGCTCAAGCATGTTGTAGTGCAAGTGCTTGGTATCACCTGTTGAGACCTCTCCAACGTCTACCAAGGCTTAGTGGACCATGTGATGACGCTTGAGATTATCGGAAGGAGACATACCATCAAGAATTATTATCGCTTCACCCAAGTATGTATGCGCGCCGATTCTTTCTGGTAGACCGTTGGGTGTGCAGTATGCGAACAGGTTCCCCACTGGGCCGACGCTTGGGGGCGCCTCGAACATAGATTGGGGCATGTCCTGACTCAGGTGTTTCTTCGCATCTTCCAATACCCTTGAGCAGGCTTCGTCGCACAGATGCCCGTATTTGCTGACTCGTACCGGCAGATCCAAAAAGTATCCCGCTTCGCGCAATGTTTCAATGTCCACCGGGTCGGAGTGCGGACTGTCAGAAAACTTGATTCTCATCTCGGCCAGTCGTCCTTATCTGTATTCGATTACAATAAGAAGAAGAGAGCCACCTAGGTCAGGGGGTGGGAGGCAGAGGCTGAAGGTTCGAAAGCGACCAGGCTTGAATCTAGTTTCCAAATGTCGGCCAAGTTGTACCTTTTAAGAATTCGCAGTTCAACGCGTCGCTGACAAACATCCATGCATTGTAAGCATTTCCTCGTTCCTTAACTCATCATTGATTGAAAGGAATCATCAGTCCGGCGAAGTACAGAACAATTGCGGGAGAGTGGGGTTGACACCCATCTTTTCTGCATTCAATGTGCATAGATGTCCAATGGGTCTGCCATGCGGAAGCTCCCAACTTGACAGCTGTATATATCCGTTCGATCGCTAGCAGGCTATTTGCTGGAATCATTCAACTACATGGCATGGATACAGATATGATTTGTCCATAAAATCACCTGAGGTCTAGGTTGTGGGTCGTCGCTGAAGGAGTCTCGTTCGTGGTTGCATATCTTATCACATTTGACACGTCTCGAATATGCCTTGCGTTTCCAGGATAATTCAATTAGATCCAGTGCTTCCTCAGAATCCATGGGTGGTTTGTGCATATGATCCAACTCCGTATGAATGCACCGAAAGACACGTCAGTTTCAAGCTATAATTGTCAACAGCCATGCACATTCTGTGCAACTGACGCTGTGTCGACTGTCGACCATTTTTGGCTACACCGCTTCTTTCATAGCTCATTCATGAGCACACTTCAAGTGGAGAATGGGTGGCATATGCCGTGAAATGGCATGTTTCCATTCTCACATCGCACAAGCTGCCACAAGAGCCCGAGTGTCCACGAATGGTTGGGAGGTGATTCAAAATATGTTTCATGAAAGTCGTTGAGCTATAGAAACAAATTGCATCCACCGACAAGGGGCCAAAGATGAAATTCATCAAGGATCCATAATGGATCGATTGAGACGTCCTACAACCAGACGACTGGGTCGGTTGGTTCTATCAATAGTAGTAGTAGTATCTCCTGCTCCTACTTCTGCCAAGTAAGGATGTGTCAACTTACCTGTGGAGACCTGACTAGATGACAGCTATTCATCGTACGCATAGACTAGAAGACTGGAGGCTTCTCACCCATAGCTATCTGACCATCTTCTCCCACCACTCTTTTGGTAGTCTACCATGGACAGTGTCAAGCTGACGTCAAAGAATAGTGACTCGTGGATAATCCAACTGTAAAGCTTCGTACCAAATTAAGCCCCCAGGTTGCGTCTAGTCACCTGGTCGCCGCCCTCGCAACATCCTACAGTCTCACCACACGAGTCTCGATTCTGCAGTGATGGGTGCCGGAAACCTATTAGGTGGACTTTCTTTGATTAACCTCCCTAGTCACCATAAGATAGCTGTTGATCCTCAGACATAGTAACTCTTGAGGCTGGCACGAGTTTCAATTCGAATGAGCTCTAGAGGGCGAACTCGAATCAGGCAGCTCTCGTGACGCCATGACAACTAAACATCTTATGAACCATGAGATTGGAAGGAGTGAAGAGCGATTAGAGGTCTTTCTTCAAGCGGCCGCTCATTCGACACCAATGCTACTTTAAGTATCCTCATGATTAGTTATGTGTGGCGCGCAGAAACTCATTACTTGGTAGGCAGGTGGAAGGAGAGCGACTTTATGAAGTTAGTTATAAGGCACCGGGCGAGCACAAGGAGGGGGCGAGGCACGCGCATCGCGGCCCCAATGTATTTATTTACCTTAGGGTTTCCCCCGTCCACCTGCACCACTCTCTTCGAGTACCTTATTCTACCATCCTCAAATCTACTTCTTTCACTGAGTCGCACGAATCATACTGGTTTTTTCTGATAACAACTCTCAAGCAGTTGCGATACATCATCCACGATCAAAGTACGGTCGGTGTCTGTCTATCCCAGCACTCATTAACTCGAAGCCTTGATTACCAGGGAAGCCACCGGAGACGTCCAACATTACCACGGCGCGTGGGACAAAGTTGCAATCAATATAATGTCAGCTACGTTAATGTTTAACATCACACAGCCCCACTGGCGCAATGGTAGCGCGCTTGACTTCTAATCAAGAGGCTGCCGGTTCGAGCCCGGCGTGGGGCTCTATTTTTGGTTTCGCGTGGGCATCTTCCCGCGAATCTTTGCGAGTTCTTGTCACCATACAGAAGACACCTAGCAGGGTACACAAACTGCACTGAGGGCTCATGCAGAATATTAAGCGTCCACTCTTGTTACCTTTTGAATATGAGTCTTTAAAACACTAAACAATACTTTCCTGTTCGCCATGCTGTAGAGCAGTCGCACGGGGCGAGACAAATCCCAGTCCTGGTTGCATTGATGCCACATTATTTAGGCATGCAAAGAGTTTCATCTCCAAATCACATGTCAGGAGTCGGTCGGCACGATGCGATCCGCTCAAGCTTTCAGGGTTGGCCGAGTCTCTCTCTTGAAGGGCTCTGTGAGTCCAAGCCATTACCTGATTTACTACTTATCGTAAATGCTGCAGTGCTTTGTTACATCAGTCTTTGTCCTACCTCTGAAGCGGAAAGTGGTTGCCCTGGGGAACGCAAGGGGTGGTGATGCCGGTAGAAGCCCCCATTCAGTAGGTACATAACCGGGCTTTAATAAGCGCGTGTATCCAGTCGACGTTGCTAATGCTGGTCGCACAAAGGTCACCTTTTCGCCTTCCTAATCATGGCCGCGTTCATCGCCGCTAATTTGAATCCATTCAACTATTTTGGAGGTGTAAGATTTCGGCCAGAAACTGATATCCCCGATCTGAGCGGAAAAGTCATTCTCATAACAGGCGGTACGTACAATCAACAGACAACGACTTGACCTAACGCTTGTCGGATTGAAGGGACTGATTCAGACTCGAGGCAACACCGGTCTCGGCAAGGAGACTGTTCTTCAACTAGCCCGGCACAACCCGCGCAAAATCTATCTAGGAGCTCGGACTGAGTCCAAAGCCGTCGATGCTATCAAATCTATCAAAGAGGCTACCTCGAGCGAAGTGGATATTGTCTGGCTACCATTGGACCTGACATCCACCAATTCAATCCGCAATGCTGCCGAAAAGTTTCAAGCCGAGACCGACAGATTGGATCGACTCATTCTGAATGCCGGTGTCATGGCTCTTCCTCCAGGAGAAACAGAGTTGGGCCATGAGATTCAGCTTGGGACCAACCATACAGGGCATTTTATGCTCACCAAGTTGCTCATGCCGACCCTGCTCAAGACAGCCGAGGCGTCGGACTCAGACGTGCGAATAGTATCGCTCTCATCAGTCGCGCATAATCTCGCTCCCTCTTTTGAGACCATCCTTGATCAGGGGAAGTTGAAGAAGGTCAACACAAATTCGCGCTATGGAGCATCGAAGGCTGCAAATATACTCCTCGCAGCCGAGCTCAGCCGCCGATATCCATCAATCACTTCGGTGTCCGTTCATCCCGGTGTGATCTTGACGGATCTGTATGAATCAATGAATAGCCGCTCCGTCCTGTTGAAGTGGGGCCTGAAATTGCTGCGATTTTTTGGCTCCTCGATTCCACAAGGTGCCTTGAACTCGCTTTGGGCCGCCGCCGGCGCGAAAAAGGATGACCTGCGCAATGGAGCATATTATGTTCCGGTCGGCAATTGCAAGCCACGCGACAGATATGTTCGAAAGACGGATATGGCTAAGCGTCTGTGGGACTGGTCTGAAAGCGAGGCCAGAAAGGCAGGGTTATGAGCCTGGGCGAGTCCGCCGTTTTCTTATGTATATAATGACATGAACGGCCGCTGTGCCGATAAGATGTGAAGATTTCAAAAAGATATAACACATGTATTCGGGAGGACACTGCTTGTGCCATTTGGCTGGGCTTTTCTTCGGACTCACAACGTTTTACGCCTGTGGCCGTAGAGTAGTAGCCAACTGGAGATACACATTCATCGCAGAGCGATGGACATATGGAGAACTTACCGATGATGGCGGCGGACGGAGCTCACCTTTAGAGATCTACGGCTTGTTTGAGACTTCGCTGCTGCTCACATTGAAACAGTGACCAGATGCAGATCAAGTGAGCCGTCATGAACAGTAAGTGGCTCACTGTTGCCAGACATTAGTCGGCAAGGAGCGCCAGATATGCTCGCCAAGTAAGCCTGCTGTTCCACTCCGATACTGACACAGGTGAACTGTCTCGATTTCGCTGTGGTCTCTTTGTTGTGACGACCGTCTTCAAGTCTCAATGGCTTTATCCACTCCAAGCATGGACTATATCAATCTGACTTCAGCCAAGGATCGGTCGATAAGACTTTCGCCGATGCTCAGTTCTTTGGTTGGGATTGGAACATTTTCCGCGAGAACTTCTATTTGTGCCCTGCAAATTACTCTCCAGCTTCTCCAAGGATGTGGGAGGCATTTAGACATAGCCAATCCGTTGACCTGCTTAGAACCATTCATTGCCGGAATGCCAATAGGAGAACGGGGACATGAAATCCTACCGTCACGACCAAGGAACTTGATCACGTACTCGTTTTGTTGAAGAATCTCTCTTGGCCGCACGCCCAATATAGCTATCGTGCTTGAGAGTTGATGCCTGCTGTCTGAGAATTTCTCCGTTGGATCCACCACGTAGACGAGAAGCTTCTGCTCGAAAAATTTCCAGACCCAATATAATATTAGTATCCAGCCAATTTGGACCTGTCTTGCGGTCGTCACATACAAAAAATTCCATGCTCCAAGTACCAATCCTCTCATTCCACGGCATGCATAATACTGCCCGCCTCTGGAGCCCGGTAAGGGGAAGACTGAACGTCCTTCCACTATTTACCCAAAGTCTAGGACGCCATTGCACCTTTGAAATGCCTAAGCACCGGGAGGAATAGATCATTCGATCGTCAATAATCTTACAAGAGCGTGGGCTGATATTGTCTGCTTTCTCGACATCGACCAAAATCGACTCATCTTCCACACTTTGCATAATGTTGGTCTCTTGTACATCTGCAAGAACCCAGTCAACATGGATGGGATTTCGGGTACTTCGGCGCTAATGTGAGATCGAGAGTCACATACCAGTATACACAATTTTTGCTTTCGAGTGGAGGAAGTTCATCGTAAGCAGATGAAACAAGACTGCTTGACCAAGTCTTCTCAGGGACCCTATCCGAGGTGCGCTGATATAGTTTGTATAGAATCAGAGCCGAAGTCGGATGCATGAGGAACCGATAGGAGTCGTCTTTTTCGGCAGAGCTAATTTGAGAGTCGTCGGTGGTGCATCGTAAAAGTATTCAGTCTGTATGGCTATACTTGAAGTTTCCGGGATAGCTGTAAGCCTCCTTTTCTCTCCCAATCTCTAGGGTCGTGCTGCTGCATTTCCCATGTGACACAGGCCTGCTTTCTGCACGGCGTCAGTCTTGAGTCCCTGAATTTGAAAGACGTTGGCAGTACAACATACTGTATATCTCTGCAGAGCCACACCGTCAATAAGCTCCATAACTGACCCAATAACCTGGTACTTCAAGCAAAATACATCAGCGGTACATGAGGTAGAGCTGCTCGGGCGAATACTCTCGTAGATTCTCCTCCTCTAGTTTGTTACTTGGGTCGAGATGACTGCCCGAAGAAGAGATTTTCTACGCGTACAAGGCAATCACCCAAAAAAGAGCGCTTCAGCCGCTTCGTCAGGTTTTGTGTCATTTCTGGGCTAAGCTTGCACGGGCAGGCATTGGGATAGTCACTTAGGAGCAGTGACCTAGCCGGACAGTCGCCTGGATTGACATGATTCATGTGCTTTGCAGGAAATGTACGACTCTGGTATATCACGACTTCTGAAAGACTGGCTCATGTTGTTCCGGATGTGGCCCCCGGCTTATATGATCTTCTTGATGATGTGCAACCTTGCCTTCGGTCAAAGTAATTCAATACGTGATGCCGTCCATTCACTGCATCACGTATTAGTGAATCAAGTGCTTTCCGACTATAGCTCGTGTGGAGCATCAATAAAAATCGTACCTGGTCATATTTAGAGAAACAAACTCGCGACTCCAGTCTTGTGTTCTCTGGGATCACTCCGTGCCCTCGGAAATTTGAGCATCTTCATTTACCATGGCTCAGGTATGGCTGAGTGGACAACAACCCATATTCTTCATATCCAGCATGGTTGCGTGCGATGATAAGATCTGCCAGCTAGTCTGAGGAACAGAAGTTTAGTCGCATGGAGAATTCAAGTCTTGAACATCAATTCTGCCATCGGCGCTCTCCCTCACGGGTCTATCACGAAGATGATAGTTTCCTTTTGAAAGGACACAAATTCTTACCGCCCGCAAAATCTACTCGCAAACATGACATTTGCCTCAACGTTCTCGCCCGCATCACTTATACCTGATAACCTACAGCTACAGTAGTAGATGCAGCCGCAGAATATGTGAGAGGAATGAGGTGTGAGATTGTTATGGGGAAGAGATTCTACCCAAGCTATGGACTGTGGTGAGCAGCAGAATCGCATGCGGCATGCCATACAAACAATACCTATCAGGAACAACCACTTGATCTCAGTCTTTCCCGTAAATCAGTAAGGAAGGCTTCCAACAGGCACAAGAACCTAGATGTTCTGGGTTGCGCCCACCAGGCCGTGAGAAATACTCGAACAGACTGGACCACGGGTGTACTTGGTGTTGCACCAGTGTCGCGATGGGCGCTCGAGTGACATCGTTTGATCCGAGTCTCTCACAACAACATCGTGTGAGCCTACAAGGCGTCCTGCGCACGCCCGGGGCAGGCAGTTTGCCACGTCAGGCCGCGGGGCCAGTTCTCTCCAGTAAACATCCAGATGGAGTGCTGAGGATTTTGTCGATGCTAACATTTCGCTCCTCTGACATTCGGCTCGCAAATTGACGAATTCTACCGATATATTGATCGCATTTGTTCCAGAAGAAAGATACAAACATATCGTTCACTGGGCTAGGAGGCCTCCGCAAATGTGGTCACTGTGCGAAATCGGCCATGCGGGACAAAGTCCCGGGACACAAGTAAGCTCAACAGGAGACACAGATGCCTTGTCGAAGACAGAAAGGGCTTGAGTGAAGTGACCCAGTTTGAAGACTCGCCTCATAAAGGCGCTCACCGTGTCGGGCGTTCAGCTGCTCCTCAAGAGCACAAGACTGGCACTCCTCTCTGACCGTTCTCCTTCTCCGCATCAAAGACGGATTGGACATCGCCACCATTCCTCGGCATGGTTATTTATTTATTGAGGCATTCTCATTTGCTAGTCCTTGCTGGTTATGATCGGCTGACGAAAAACCAACAAAGGCATTGCGTGTCGAGTTGTCCATTATCGAGTTGCAGAACTCACAGGAGCCGTGGCAGTACGCCTGATATTTTCCAAAACTGGCAGGCACCGAAGCGCAAATTGCACCTCTGGGCTTTGATAAGACCCAAACCTAAAAGTGGCGGGGAGGTACCGCAATCAGGTGCTTGTAGATATGGTGAATCGTCACAGAGCTTTGAGATTGTCCGTCATCACCCTGGCCTAGTCTGGCAGGTGCTCCGTGACAACTAATAGGATGAGAAAATCATACGTTGCTGTCAACTCTATGCTACGACTTGGCTCAGCAAGCTTCCAATAAAACATCTCACGAACGGCCGGGGGTTTCCCTCAAATTCAACCGTGTTCATGTCCAGCTTACATGCACATTACAGCTTGGACCGCCGCATGAGGCCTGGGCAGACTATTGCTGATGTCGAGTCCCTTTCGATCCGACTTATTATGTAAGATGAACCCTGAATTCGTCTTGGCTTCCTATCGTGGTATAGTCATGGTGCTCCTTTGAGGAGCATATGTCGTAAGATTCACGCTGCAGATCGACGACGATCAATCAACCCGTGTGGTCATCTTGACTACAGTACATGTCGCTGGCGAGACTGCGGAGGTTACCCTTCCCAGTTGCACGATTCCTGCTTGGCTCTTCAAGTCCTGTGCTTCCAGTCGATCTATATTTGTCATCACCTATGCACAATAATAATGAGCTGTCAACGTCGCATCAATCAGAGCTATGGTCGCAACCGAAAGAAACGCACAGGTGGCTTCAAATCAAAGTCAAACCTGTGGCTGTAATTTGAAAGTTAAGCCGAAATAGGCGGGTGCATGCAAAACGAAAGAAATGGCGACTATCTCGGTGTTGGTTTCACTATCAATGGGATGTTGGCTCGTTTTCGAAGAGGATACGAAATTTTTGTTTCTGTATGTTGTTCCTGACCTTGTGATTTTCATCAGCTAATCTCCCTCGCAGGTCTACCCTCATTCTTGCAGATGAAAATCTTCTTGCGCACATGGGAAGAACTACTGAAACAGCACCTACCGACAATCACTCACTTTATTCAGAAAGAAGCTACTTCTTGAGATCCGCCCAGTTTAAGATTCTGAGGGACGTTTGATCCTCTCATCATATTCGACTTCCCATGCAGCGCGTCTGAAGATCCATGTCTTTGGCACCACGTTATAACGCTCTGATCTTCTCCCCGTTTCAATCCTTGCGCATGCGCATCTCCATTGAACGAATCAACAGACAGCGCGGCGAAAAAAGAAAGACATTTTCTGGCGATATGACTCGCTATATGCATCCTTTAGCTCGAAGCTAGCAACCCAACAGACTGGCGCACGGTGTCATGACAGAGGCATCAGACCTCACATTCAAGAAAGCTCAACGACATGGCCATGGTCGCGAATAGACTGATTGGCTAGCCGCACACAG